GTAAAAATAGGAGTAAAATACAATAATCTAAATATTAGTAAAATCAAAAAAGAAATATGCACTTGCACTCTTTTTACCAAACTGCATGATCTTACACTTCTTGAATCACTAATGCATACACGGTCACTCCATATTCTAGTTTGTGACAATTCTAGTCCGTGTCACATTGGCTGTTCGGCTATGCTCGGTTAGACTCATGTTTCATGCACAGCCTTGTAATCTCACTGCTCAATTTAATGAAAATTGAAAAATACGTTAATCTCTTCCTATTTCTTTAAAACAAATTACCATTTTTTTACAAATGAATTCGTAACGGAAGTAAGAAAGAAATTCATACAATTGTTGACGTCGGACAAGTTACCCGAGCACAACCGAACAGCTTTTCAATTATGATCAGTTAAACTGCTGTTACAGTCACACCCGCTTCCCCACTGAAGTTAACTGACTGGAATATCGAGTCAGGAAAAAAATTCGCTTTCATGACGTTTGTGTTATTTCCCTATTTTTTGCGTAACCCCTAACAATATTTCGTAGAACACTAAAGGGCCGTTCAGACTGGGGTTTATCTGTGCTAACGGATTCAGTTCCATGTGTCGACTAGCTAAAATGATAAACTCCATCAAGCGAAAGCCACTTTCTTCTAGAAGTTGTATAAAGCACTGTGAAAACATGGATAAAGAGCACACAATTCTGTTTCTATATTCTGAAATCCGGTAGTTAAGTAGAAGCAGAGGATTTATTAGGTTGCATGCACATTTTCAATAAAAGTACAAAAGAAGATTAAAAAGGTTTAGAAAGAAGGTTAGAAATGCATGCACATTTGAATAAAAGTACAAAAAGGGTTTCACTAGAATGCTTTAAGGATCAAATGTGGGTGAAGATGCTAACTTACTTAACAGGTAGCTTTCGTCATTTGATTCAACTGAATGTGTTACTGCAATGAGGCGGAGGAAATATACTAACTTCGAGTGGCAAGGTTCTTGGATTTAAAAGAAAACTAATGGAAAGATCTGCAGTTTAGATTTTTCAACTCGTGGCCCTATGGGGAGAAACTGGTTTTGGAGATGTCTCTCTTAGCTCAGATAAATCCCAGTCTGAACGGTCCTGAAGGTTTCGGGGAACCCTGACTGGGAAACGCTGCTGTAGAGTAACATCATTTCATTGTTGACAGCATTCTGCGTCACTGACGTCCACAAGCGACGTGCAGAGTTTCTCTTTTTCATGTAACTCCAAAAGAAATAATCCTGAGTGGTGAACATGGAATTCAGAAATGTATTTTCACATTCTCATAAACCCCCTTCCGTTGGTGATCTGCTTTAGCATTATATTTTATTCCATTTGTAGTTTTTTATTTCTAAATTTGCGTGCAGGGAGGTCTTTCAAACAAGCAGTTTATTATCTGCGGAGAGAATCCATTTCGAGCAGCTATGGAAAAAAGTCATTATTTAGCGGGTCAAAACTTTTAGATATGAAATGGAATGTCCAGAATGAATGCGAGCCTAACCTCTAGCATGAAAATATATTTGATATTTCCTAATTGTATATAATAATATCTAGCAGTTTTAAAACGACTTTTTCTAGTTACAGATAATTGAAAATTACTTTTCAATATTTTTTTACAATTTCCCATTTGAGAGTTAGATCTTCAACATGACTTAAGTCGACTATTGAATATCTATGCATCTTCAATGCCCAATATGGAAATGTTACGCAGTTATTTTAAAATTAATCCACATGGAATTACGTCCACGATTTGCATCACCATACAAAGTACTGATAGCAAGCTATCTTATCTGTCCATATTTTGAATCACGCCCTGTTCAATGAAGAATACTGCAGGCAGACAATTTCAAATCCTGTGCCGAAATGCCGAAACAATTGCCCAACTATTCGCTCAGCATATGCAGCCATAAGACTGAGAGCATTAACGCTGATTAACCGCGCTCGACTGGAAATGTGGTTAACCTCGCCGCCAATGGGACCTACTGGTACTTTGTTAAGCATGTAAATAATAGAATAATAGAGTAAGGAAAGAAATTATATACAACGTATACAGATGGAAAGCAGAGTTGATATAATTTTCTCTCATTCTCTTTCTCTTTGCAAATGTAGACAGGATATGTTATGATCTTACTTGCTAATACACTCACGCATTATGATTAATTATTTACAATCACAGTGCCTTCATTGACAGAAAGCTAGATTTTTCATCATTATATATTTAACCTTTTCACATGCAGAGTACATTATCATCGCAAGAAATCATAGTACTTGCAACTCGCATATTCTCGTCGGGTAAGCTTTTAGCACGTCCATCTGCAGTTGGAAGATCCGTGGTTTGAATCTCGTTGATAGCAAAGTTGACATGTTACATTCTCTGTTTTGAATAGCCTGATAATTTCTGAAAGGTGTATAGTAACTCCTAACTAGGATAACTCATTACCGGTTGGATTTGTTAGACTAGCTCCCCACTCGCCTATCAAAGGCAAGGGGTAAATGTAACCATATTTGTCGATTCTTCTCGTGTGGGTTCTTGTAGTGTTAACGATTAGCACATCCATCGAACAAATGAAAATCTGTGGTGTGATTCTCGACGAGCGCACGAGCCAGGTAGAGCAGTAAAGTCTCTGAACACTGGTAGCTCTGTCCGGAGTTCGAATCCCGGCGAACGGATCCGCTGGATGAGCGTTTTCAGGGTTTTCCCCATGTTTAAAGTGTATACGAACCAGTTTCCCTTAAAGGATTTTCTAACTTCGGTAACTGGTTTACATACCATAAAATCCTCCATAAAGACATCCTTTCCTTTCGACAGGTAGCCTCGAGAGCTTTGCCATAATTAAATTAAATAAAAGGAAACACCAGGCGAGCGCACAGTTGATATTTCATGCTTCTTGCATTACAAAACCCTTTCAAACCCATTCGATATCTTTACAGGAGAGCCTTTTTACTTCCTTGTACGAAGTAAAAAGGAAGTAGTATTGTAATCGCGAAAAGTTTCAGGCAGCATATTTTAACGAAAATATCCATTTTGACCGCTATCGAATGCAATTTAACGATGTTTTTGCGTGATATCTGTACGTAAGAACTGAATAAAAGACTCGTTTCCTCCCAAAAAATTATAAAATTGCTTTAAAATTAATACTGAAGACAATTTTTTGTGGCGTCTGTACGAACATATGTACGTACGTGCGTACGTACGTACGTATCTCGCATAACTCAAAAACGAGTAGCCTCAGAACGTTGACATTTTGTATATAGGACTGCTATACATGTAGATGTGCACCTCGTATTTTGGTTGCAATCGGGCCGCACCAAACGTATATAAATATATTTGTATATATATCCACTCTGTTACCCGGCTCAGTGATCTCAGCTTCTTTACTCTTATATGTTTGTAAATTGTACATTATTTGTTTTAAAAATGATTGAATTATGTTGTTTTTATCTTCCGGTTAAGGTTTTTATGCCTTTAGTAAATCTGTGTGCAATATTTTTAGAATTATCAACAATTTTAAAGTTGTTTAAGTGCCGCTAAGCCTTTTTTTATGGCGGCCATTGATTGTTTACATTTGAAACAGCAGACTAGTGTATTTATTGCCAATCTAGAGAAACTTAGCTTCGCAACAAAAAAGGTAACGCCTTCATATATTATTGCGAATTAAATCACGCTTAATCCTTTCTGGAATTTTTTCGAGGAAATAAGTGTTTCAGATTTACTTCGTAATTTTTAGTATAGATATTTTGAGTTTTTATGTATTTGTGCCTTCTCTCGAAGTAAGAACTGAATTAATTGAATGAGAAATACTCAATCGTCTGTAAAAAACTGTTTCTTTTTTGCTTTGTTTGCTTAATTTCTTTTATACATCCTTCTAGCTTTATTATAAATATTTGAATAGAACATGTGGCAACGATTATATAATTTTATTCTTTAAATGATATAAATTTTGTGCATTATGAGTTATAATATGAACGAAATATAATACTTTTAAGGGTGTCGCTATGGTAAATAAATACTAGAGTGAATTTTAAAGAATGCATTTATTCTATTGTGGTTTATGCGCTTTCGGCGAAATAGATTTAATTCAATCCAATAAGTTTAAATGAAATGCAAGAAAAAATGAATGTAATTTAATATTCCGTACAAGGAAGTCATGTGGTGTATACATCAGATTTTTTTTTATTTTATTTTTATTAATGAAGTTATTTTACAGCACTTTAACACATTTTATGCCATAGTATACATTAGAGTTCCACCGTACATTTAATGTAAATTCTAATCAGTTAGGAACAGGCTACCCATAATACATTTAAGATAAATTCATACACAATATATTTAATATAATAATATAATTTGTTAACATAATAATATAAGTTAATCTAAGTAACACTTAATATAAGTTATATAAGTTCTAATCCGCTAGGAATAAGGAACACATCATAGCACATCAATGATTTCTGAACAATGATATTTGCATAACAGATCAATGAGTTCTCAAGAGACTGCATATCGTAGCTCTTAGATTTTCAGGGGACAGACGAAACAGAGTTTTTTCACTTAAGTACTTCAACCCGATTGGAAGTATTTGTTTAAGTTAACTGGCTAAAAGAAAGCATATCTTCCTAGGAAGAATGCCTTTGTGAAGGATTTTCTAAGCGAAACTGTTATACGGGAGTTACGTTACATATAACAAAAACCACGAAAACACCCTGAGAGCCAGAATGCCGGGGTTTGAATCGCAAACACCCTGTTGAACTGCCAGTGTTCAGTGATCTTATTCATTGGGCCACTAGGGGCGTTATTTGATTAAGCCTCTCTTACTGTACGTTCAGTTCTCTGATTCATAATAGTAGCAATATATTTTGGCTTATAGTTAATGATCAGAACTGAGGAATGTACGACTAGTTAGCGGTATTTTCGAATCCTTTCGATTTTTGACCGGAACAAATTTACGACAGATTCATTTGTTTACTCTATACAACATGAGATTATTTCATTCTAGGCTGCGATGTTTGCTGCGGTTGCTTGTCAAAGAATCGTCATCCTAAATCAACATCAACAGACAGTGAGTCTGTCATGCGCTTTCTTGGTGAGCAAATACTTCCTTGCACTTCTTTTTCTCGCTTTCTGTTAATTAAATTTTGGATTGCCACATACTTTATACTAGCCATTTCCTTACTAGTAGTTTTGTTGAGTTTTTATGTTAATTTCATGATGTATGCTTTTAAAGGTTTGCTTTGTCTAATGACTGCTCATTAGTGCTCAATAATCGCTTGTTCAGATTGTTACGAAGGTCTCTTAATCGGAAAACTATTTTCTCTTTATTAACAGCCGAAAACGAATTGACAGCTACTGATAAAAAAGGGCCTTTAACAGGCTCAAAATAAGTCTGTAACAAATTAATACTTTTTTTTTTATATTTTAACTTTAGTAATTTAAATAAATATTATGAATCAAACACCTTTATTTAATTTATGTGTGATTGTAACCATCTATGATATCCTATAAGAACAAAATGCATATTGATCAAAATATTTAATTAAATTTTCTGCCAAATATCAACTCCTTACAGCGAAAATACGTAATAAGACAAGCAGAGTGCGCTGGGCCTGACACTTTCGTTTATGACTTCCTGCATAAGGATGAAATATAATTCGAGAATAATGAACATCCACCAAAGCTCCAACAATAAATTCTAAAACAATAAATTCAAAACATTTAGTGCAAATAATAAATAAAATTTTACCCAAGAGAAAAAATCACTCAATTAACAACCTTCAAAATGAATAATCTAGTACCTCAAGACTTCTACACAAATACCAAGCTCTTTAGTATCACTGAAGTTCATTAAGCTAAATTTCACTCTATGTCATACAGACTATTCTCACAAAGTGCCGTGTTCTTGCTCAGTTACTTATTTTTTTTTATGGCCTTTTTTACTTTCTCTGTAAATTCGATTTCATTCACTGTAGAGCATACAAATCAGAAGCTTTAGATATTTTAAAAACTTGGCGAATTAGACGATGTTTTGCAATATTTCCTACCTTTTTACTTCCTTGTACGAAGTAAAAAGGAAGTATTGCAATCGCGAAAAGCTTCAGGCAGCATATTTCAACGCAAATATCCACTTTGACCGCTTTCGAATGCAATTTAACTATGTTTTTGCGTGATATCTGTACGTAAGGACAGAATAAAAAAAACTCTTTTCCCCCAAAAAAACTAAAAAACTGCTTTAAAATTAATTCTGAAGACAATTTTTTGTGGCGTCTGTACGAACGTATGTACGTACGTGCGTACGTACGTATCTCGCATAACTCAAAAACGAGTAGCCTCAGAACGTTGAAATTTTGTATATAAGACTACTATAACATGCAGATGTGCACCTCGTATTTTGGTTTCAATCGGCCGCGCCAAACGTATATAAATATATATTATAAATATATCCACTCTGTTACCCGGCTCAGTGATCTCAGTTTCTTTACTCTTATATGTTTGTTAATTGTACATTTTTTTGCTTTAAAAATGATTGAATTATGTTGTTTTTATCTTCCGGTTAAGGGTTTTATGCCTTTAAAAAATCTGTATGCAATATTTTTAGAATTATCAACAATTTTAAAATTGTTTAAGGGCCGCTAAGCCTAATTTGAAAGCGGCCATTGCTCTTGTTTACATTTGAAACAGCTGAGTAGCGGATTCGTTGCCAATCTAGAGAAACTTAGCTTTGCAACAACAAAGATAACGCCTTTATTTATTATTTAAATCATACTTAATACTTTCTGGAATTTTTTCGAGGAAATAAGCGTTTAAGATTTACTTCGTAATTTTTACTACAGATATTTTGAGTTTTTATGTATTTTTGCCTTGTCGCGAAGTGAAAACTGAATTAATTGAATGAGAAATACTCAATCGTCTGTGAAAAACTGTTTCTTTTTCGTTTTGTTTGCTTAATTTCTTTTATACATTGTTCTAGCTTTATTATAGTATTTGAATAGAACATGTGGTAACGATTAGATAATTCTTTAAATTATATAAAATTTTGTGAATTCTGAGTTATAATATGAACGAAATATAATACTGTTAAGTAAACCTAGCGCCAGAGTGTCGCTATGGTAAACAAAGTGAATTTTAAAGAATGCATTTATTCTATTGTGGTTTAAGCGCTGTCGGCGAAGTAGGCTTAATTCAATATAATAAGTTTAAATTAAATGCAAGAAAAAATGCGTATAATTTATTATTCCGTACAAGGAAGTCATGTGGTGTACACATCAGATTTTTTATATTTTATAAGCCTAGCGGTAATTTTTCCGGTACAGAATAACATATGTCAAGCAATTTTCTAATGAAAGTTGTATGCGTCAAAGTTCCCTATTTTCCTTCGTTAATGTTTTGGAAGTATCAAATGGGCACATATACTTTCATCATAGTGAAAACGTCTTCTCGCGTGTTATCCTATAACGGAAATAATCCGCCCCGGAATTATCAAGAAATGACAATTTCCGTTGTACCGGAGTTAATTGGTTAATTGATTATAGCAAAGCACGCGAGAGATTATGTCTCAAAAGTGCCTTCTAGAAGGATTTTCTAAAAAGCATTGACTGATATTTACGTTTCAATTGGAATTGCCAATACATCTCCATGCAAATATCAAGCTGTGGAAAAACTTTATGGGAGACGAACAACAAGCGTTTAGTAATCTTATCACTCGTGGGTTGCAATCACTGAAAACTGTAGTAGAGTTATTTACAAGCTTTCAACAGTTACATAACATTTGCAAGCTTTTCAACATAACATTTTGCAAACCTAACAGAATAATTAGGACAATACATGCACAAAAATAATACATTAATTTAGATTATTGCAAAATAATTACGCTTAATTTTACTATAACACAAGTTATTTATCTTATGTGAATTAAGAATTTATCTTAATTCACAATGAGACAAAAACAAATGCATCTGTATTCACAATGTTAACAAAAAATTAAATGCACACTAAACATAAAAGAATGTTTACATTAATTAACAACGTTCTTGTTTCTTTGCCTTCAGAATTGTATTATTTTTCTCTAATGGAATATTATTAAGTATTCTTCAATTGTAATGTCGGTTTTTTAAGTTTTAAATATTGTTAATTCTTTGTGTTTTCCTTCTTGATTCAGATTCACCTGAAACTGAGTTAAATTTCTGTTCATCTGCTTTCCTTCCCAAAATCGTGCGAAACATCATAAAGGAGAAGCAACTAAGTCTCATAACTGATGATACGACTCCATTTAACACTACCTTTACAGCTATTGTTCTTACTTGCATAATTCCAGGTATGTGCTTTTGAATTCTTTTAAAGCATTCGTATATAAAATTTTAAAAAACTGCGGTGACTTTATTTCCCATTAGATTAAAGGTCTAAAAACCTTCAAAAATTCGCTTTGTAATTTTCATTCAGTTTAATTAAATTAATAAGGTTCTTTAAAGATGTCCTCATACCAAATTCACTGTCAATGCACTGTAATTTACATCATCATTTATAAGGAACTATCCCATCCTCCCATGAGTACTCTCATAAGGTAATAGCTTAGCATGTTCAATTAGCAACTGGAAGATCCATAGTTCGAATTCCGGGGAGTGAAAAGTTCATTTTCCACCACTTGGCTGAGCAAAGTAAGTTTCTACTGAGGCGCGTGAACTAAGAATTATTATCCACCGTATGGTGGATAATAATTCTTCATTACTTGGATTTGGTCAACTGAGTCATATACCTATTTCCGGTCACACTTTAAGTCTACACTAATGCAAAGCATTATCACATTTCTTCGTGTGAATTCTCGAGGTGTAAATGGTTACCACAGCCAGGTAGAAGATGAGAAATGAATCCATTTATTAGAGCCTGAGGATTATCCACTCAGGAGGACGTTTGCTACATGGTTCCTGCAACATAATGCTAAAGACAACGCATTTACTGCGTCCGTATTGTTCACGGATGAAGCATACACACGTGATTGAGCCTTCAATTAGCATAACGCCCATGTGTGGGCTTTGGAGAACCCTCATCGTTCTCAACCACGTGCAGCTCAAGAGCGTTTCCATGTCAATGTTGGCCAGCATTCTTGGAGAATACCTCATCACGCCGTATTTACTGCCAATTCTTTGCACGGTAGGGCATAACTGATCTTCTCGCGACAAGTCCTGCCCGAACTTCTTGACGGAGCACATATTCCTCCGTCGTTGCGCCGAACTCTTTATCTAGTTCTGGGCATATAAGAAGATGCTCTGCATGCATGATGCCCGAATCGCAAAATTCGCATATACTAGATGGGCTAGATGGAAGGATGCCAATTTTATTAAGAAGATGTGTCATGCAATCATGACCTGCTTGTAGTATGAGGTTGCCAAAGCCTCTTTAAGGGATTTTTGCAAAACGTTTTCCATGTGTTTTCAATGTTAGCCCAGGATTTACCTGTTGATTTTGCTGCTTGGTCAGATTTTAGAGTATACATTAATTTCTAAAAAATATTCTTTTAAGTGACTGTAGAGGAAGTGGTTTGCTGTCTTGTGGAACAAGTGTTCCTCTCTTGGCTAGTGAGTCTGCCGTTTTTTTACCGTCGATACCTACATGTTAAGTAATCCATTGAGAAACGATTGTTTTGTTGTGTTTATAAAGAAATTTCAAGGTTTGTCTTATTTCTGAGATAATCTGGGTATCTCTGTCATGATTTATAACTGCAGTCTAAATGGCTGCTTTGGGATCGAAAACAATCGATCTTTATCCTCAGGTTTTCCAAAGCTAGCGAGGTTGCAAGGACCTCTGCACAAATATTGGACATGAAGTGTCACACAGGAGTACATTGGGAAAACGTTTACTTTATACACCAGCTCCAGTGTTGTCTTGTATTTTAGGGCCATCAGTGTATACTTTAGTTCATTCAGGTTCAGGGTATTGTTCATATAACATACATAATGTGTTTGATTTTAATATTGTATCAGGAATGTTTTTCTTTCCCAAGTCATATATATCTAGCTGGTATTTGATATCAGTATATTTAAGGGGATTAACCATGACCTTGTTACAATTCATTGGTTTGTTTTCATCTATTTCCTGTAATAATTTCTCACAAGCCTCTAGTTGAGACTTTTGGGTACTCATAGTACTTGTTTGCATTTGTTCATCCAATGCGCTCTATGCGAATGAATTGCTCTATGCGCTCTATGCATTTTAAAGAAATGTGATTACGCGAATATGATAAATTAAATAAAAATATGGAAAATGACTGGTAACAGCTATAAGAAGTTCAGGGTACTTTTGAACTCCTTTTAAAATCTTACTGTTTATTTGAACCAAACATTGTATTCTGGTGGTATTTTCTATTAAGGTACGGTGCTCCATGTATGCTTTTGATTACAATTTGATTACTTTTTCCCCTTCTCTAGAAATTGCAGAGGGAATAGAATTCTATTCTATGAACGACGACTTTTCTGTGGACGTCATCACAGAGGAATTAAATGCATATGTGACTAATGTTATGAAAGGTAAGTTTTGTTTAAAAACTGTTTGTAAAATAAGTTGCTGCAAATATAATTTATTAATACACTATCAATAGTTTATCATAAATATAGATTTTTACTTTCTCACATGCATTAATATATCCTTGATTATACTGGACTACCAACGAAAAGCTATCCAGCGTATTATTCACATATCCAGCGTATTATTCACATATATATTCGCAAACACGTATTTACGTATTAACGCAACCACCGTAATTACGCAAAAGTAAATAATTCTGCGACTTCTAACTTAAGATTTTCGCAAAATTAAAAAACTACTTATCTAGTCTAAACTGATTTTTCGAAACTGTTTCGGTAAAAAAACATGAATCAATATCAAACGAACGTATCTTATTTTAAAATTCAAAATATCAGTTAAAGATTACGCAACAATTTAAATTAAAATTCAAATACGATTTATTTTCAATATAAGCAAACAATTTTATTATAATATTATATTTATAATAATAAAATTGTGATAAATTTAATAATACTAGTTATTTAGTAATTATTTAAATTTAATTATTAAATAAAGATTATATGGTAGATTCATAAAACAAACATTTTTTACCAAATCTTTATACATTCTTCACTATTGGAATAATTACAATACGCACTTCTTAATAAGCAAGATTATCACTCTAGAAACACATAACAGAAACAATACTCTAGCAATCTTTACGTGCCGCCACCGAGTAATATTATTTATTGATTCTGCAAATCTTATTGATCTGAAAACATACGCTATCATTGACAGCGATTTTAGTGTCAAACATCCTAGCTGGAATCTGGAGTCGTTAGAGTCGCAGAGGTAGAGAACTTTTTGATTTCGTACAACCTTAGAATTACATTAAAGAATACCAAATCAACCGACTTTAAAAAACATCCTTTTAAAAAATATATCGTGTAACTAATCGAACGAAGTACATTAAACATTTTCATCTTATAGTAATCCAGATTGCCTTTAATTAATTAACCGATTAATTATTAATCCAGATTTGAACACCATACCTTTTCACCATCCATCTATAAAAGTAATGAGACAGAAATTTTGATGAAAGCCTGTAGAGGCATTGGGTATTTTTGGAAGCAGGCAAGATAAAAAATATGCAACGCCCTCGCCGGGAATCGAACCACGGACCTCTGGAATACGCTCCAAGCATGCAGACCACTACACCACGAAGGTTGGCTGAGAAGATGAGAGAAATACCCATCTTCCCTATGGGAGAAATACCCTACTCTAGCATCACCGTTAAAGAGTGACTGGGATTTTTACGGGACCCAATCTCCAAATCCTGGGTGTGGAGAATAATCCTTCACCACCCTTTTAGTTCTGACGCCACTGTTGAAACATTAGGTGTTTTTTGGAAGCAGGCAAGATGAAAAATATGCAACGCCTTCATCGGGAATCGAACCACAGACCTCTAGAATACGCGCTGAGCGTGCAGACCACTACACCACGAATGCAAGCCAAGAAGAGGAGAGAAATACCTTATAAGCTACTACTGATGCCATCATGATTTCTTTTAAGCAAATCCGTACACAGAAACCCCTTCTCAATCTTCATCTTATGTTCATCCAGACATCAAAATACATAAAGGCTGTCAAAGTGTATGTAATTCAGCTCATATCAAGCATGATATCTATGAATATAAATAATAGAAATGGACCAGCTTTTTGAAGTCTCCCCGTTAGAAGATAATTCTCTCTGTCACATTTCACGTAAATGTCGCAAAATACATATAGCTATCCACCCACTTTCTAGCATCACCGTTTGCTTACAGTGATCAAAAGAAAGCCAATGTCCTCCTACTCAAGTATTTTATCAATTTTACTACATAAATTGCTTTTCACTCAAAATTGTATTAGCGGAAATGCTTAATAAGAATGAGTTCTTTGGTACTCTACTTTGGTTCTAAATCCCTTCCCTTCACGGAAATATTTGGCCTAACTTAATTTGCCAGTTTGGCATCACCATTCTCACTTGAGTAAAAGACGAAACATCTTCGTATTTATTTATTAATTATTGATCATTGAACGGGAGTTGGTTTGTTCCCCTTGAAAAGACAACTAATTTCCGATCAATAGCAATAATTGCTTTTTAATTTAATTTATTTTTCCAATTACAATTCTGTTCTTCATGATTTACTTCAAGTCTCCTTAAAACATTTTTAACAATTTACATTCAAGTTACTTTAAAACAATTTTCGGAATTAAACTTCCTACCTATGGGCTCACTCTTTTTAGATACTTCTACTAAAATTAATATTAGGAGATAATATAATCAATATTTCTTTAGTAAATAAATTATATATATATCGAAAATGGGCAAGTACTCAGCTTCTGTAAAATCCGATTCTTTTATCATCATTTCTATTACAAAGCACAAATATTCTTTTGTCTCTAACAGCTGGTGTATAACTAATTCTTTAAGAAAAATTATCTTAAAAACTGAAACAAATAATAATTTGTTGTAATTTGAAAATGTTAAAAATAGGACGACGCATTCTACACAAATAGCAGTTTCGAATTGCAAAAGTTTGCAGCTGCAGCTAATTTTATCAGAAAGTCTTTATTCCTTAATTTCAGTTTCATTTTTAACTTTTTTCTAGATCTACAGCAGAAATCCCCAATCGAACTTTATTACTTTCAGATTCTTCTATTCATCTGTGGGTAGAGGGTAAATAAAAATAAGCCGAATCCATTATAATTTTTCAGAAAAAAAAAAGTACTAAAACTTCATTTAGCATTACATTGACTTTAATAAACGCCCACGTAATCTATCTTTAAACCTTGCTTACTCGTTGAACTTACTCGTTCTCCGATTGTAAGGTAGTTTAAAATCATGTCTCAAATATTTTATTTTCTTCTAAAAGTGTATGTGAAATCACAGTATATTTCTTTTCTCAGTAGAAAAGTTCAACAAAGAATAATAACTTCTGTTTTATTAATATTGCAATAAAAATTGATTTGTCTTTCTGTACATAACGTTATATAACTTAAGAAAGAGGGGATATTGTTAAAATAGGTATCTTCTTATGCATATTGATTTTTGTCCTAAGGTGCGTTAGCCCAGAAGGGCTATTAATTCCGTTTTGGCATTTTGCGTTGGTTCACGATAAATGTCGGTTCACTTTTCAAACTGTTGCCGCCAAATATTATAGCCCTGTATATTATTTAAAAAATTAAATAATGAAGAATCGGCATGTATGTATGTGGTAATGATTATTTCGTTGGTTGTGGTGGCAAACGTATATGTCACATGTTATGATAAACAGGAATATAGTAGCAACTTACCCCAGGACAAGATCCAGGTCTATAGCCCGCCGTGACGAGAGAGTGACAAACACGTGAAAACAGATTTAATTCTTGCTTTATTGGATACTAACAATACTGAAGAGATATTCCTTTTTTTTTTAAATCCGGTATGTCACATGACGATATGAGGCCTCCTCACTCAGTACAAAAAAGATAGGTCAATTCTTCCACACAGCCCTTCGAAGACTTGGTGTATTTCAGCTCATAAACATGCAGATACTCTTTCATCGGGATGCCGGGCGAAAATGCCAAGCCCGGGAAAAAAAAGGAGATTAGCTTAAATTTTGCAGCATACTGGGAAACTAAAGAAAGCTTGCACGATAAACTCCCACAAGTTTGCATTTTTACTCCACTCTTACTGTCTTTCTCTATGCAGCATCTCCATCTCGCACCTTCACAATCTCCTCCTTCTCCTCCCTCCTGGTAGACAAAAAATACCGCCTTTTATAAAGTTCTACAGTTACGTTTTGCCGCCCAATGAAAAAAGAAGATCCAGCGTCAGAAGGCAACCAATCGCAAAATACCTTCAGCTACCCAGGCAAACAGAAGTGAAGACGCTAGTTGTCTGACGCAATACTTTCCTCCGCTTACAACAGTTGTCTGATGCAATACTTTCCTCCGCTTACAACAGTTGTCTGATGTAATACTTTCCTCCGCTTACAACAGTTGTCTGATGCAATACTTTCCTCCGCTTACAACAGTTGTCTGATGAAAAATTTGTTCCTCACCTTACAACACAAGTTGGCGAAAAAAATGAAACTGTCACCAAAGGAATCTGATGCAAATATCTAAATATTGCCATAACGTAGTAAATAATTAATTCAACGTGACCTCGTCACAATGTATATTGGCAAATGTATGTATATTTCTCACATTGTGATAAAACAACGGTACCTAGAGCCATCAAATTTTGAATAACAATCTACCCGGGTATGGGCCCAAATTTGGAATTTGTTTTATTACCGATTTCATATTTTGTAAAAATTTTAACGAATTTTTGATTAACAAACTCAATAATTTCAAAGCAAGCAATGGCAAAACTGTACAAAAAAAATTTATCTTCAGAGACTGTGCATTGGAAATTCTAAAGATTTGCTCATTTTAAGATTATTTTGCAATATTGCTGTTGAATTGAATTTTATGGTTTAAGTGGGCGCCCAGTAAAATCTGAAAGGTTCAGGTTTTTTTTTTTTTTTTCTTTTTCTTTTTCTCGGGATTCTGCTTCCAGATTATTTAGAATGTAGCTGATGTGAAAGCACGAGAAAGCATTACTCTTGCAGGCAGATTAATAAGGAATATATGGAAGTTTATAACAGATTAATAAGAAAGCTGTTATAAACTTCCATAACAATCTGATGCTCCTACTCTTGATTCCAGATGGAATTTCAGTGCGAGCGATAAAGAGTAATGAGCTTTGTGTACCTGAATAAGGAGCCACAGTATGAAACTGTAAATTATGACTCACCTTAACAAATGAATTATTTTATAGTTTAATAATGCTTCTGTCAAGAGCTGCATAACCAATTAAACATTTTTTTCGAAATGTAATACGAAGAAGATATATGGAAATACCGGCTAAGTTAGGAAAACCTGCACACGAAATAACATTCCGTCATCTATGTATACAATGTACTATGTTATGCATGCATTAAACAGTTTGTTACATTTTAATAAATTTCTTTCACCACTTACAATGGACATCTATTTAAGAATAAGTATGACTAATTAAATTTTATGCACCAGCTTTTGTCCAGAATAAATAAATTGGTGAAGAATCATAGATGTAGTCGTAGCTTAAATTATCAGACGATAAGTTTAAAAAACAGGATCCATTTATTATTGGTCAGGAGAAATAACAGTTACAAAATCAGATATCCGGAGTAAATAAAAAAAGAACTACTAATAACTTTTTGTATGAAGTTTACTGCATCGTTACATTAAAGAAAAGACCCCGATATTCCTTTGCGAGTCCTTTTATAGCTTCTGTAAAAGGCGGAGCTTCCAAGAAATGACGTCAGTCTCGCCAGCCATTCCAGTTCGCTTTAAATATTTCCAGAACATTCTAAATCTGTACGTATAGAAAAGGCGGGAAAAATAACTTGAGTACGGGGTTGTGGATTTAATTCCACGTACTTTCAAATAAGAGACCGTCGCCATTAAATAATGAAAAGAACATACAGTTAGAATTTTAAGTGTATTCTTGACTATGGAATTATATTATTACATATATATATATATAAGGGACTTTGGGAGTAAATGGCAGTTTAAACTGTTGGTCTGTGGTGTTATACAGAAATACCTGCTTATGTAATATTAAAGAAATATTATAATTACGATTTCTTTTCCAGTTATCACAAATGAAGGAGGGGATATAATTTACATAGAAGGTGAGTATCTTTAAAATATTTCTTATCTCAAACATCTATAAAATTATTTGGTTTTTGTCGTATCCGTCTTTCATTACGAAGATGTAAAATTTTGTTCGGCAAGTGATGGAATTTCTTTCTACCTGCTAGATCTCTTTCAGGAAACCTTTTCACGCATTGTTACTTCAGACACAGTGACTGATATTGTCAAACACAGGGAGTGCGCTCATGTTCAAGTTCTATTTTAATAAAAAGTTTGTTTTAAACGTTTCCATGTATTGTTAATTCAGGCACAGTGACTGAAATTGCGAAAACACGGAAGTGTTCATGTCAAGTTCTATTTAACAAAACGTTTGTTTTTAACCTTTTCATGTATTGTTACTTCAGACACAGTGACTAATATTGCCAAACACGGGGAGTGCGCTCATGTTCAAGTTCTATTTTAATAAAAAGTTTGTTTTAAACGTTTCCATGTATTGTTAATTCAGGCACAGTGACTGAAATTGCGAAACACAGGAAGTGTGTTCATGTTCAAGTTCTATTTTAACAAAACGTTTGTTTTTAACCTTTTCATGTATTGTTACTTCAGACACAGTGACTAATATTGCCAAACACAGGGAGTGCGCTCATGTTCAAGTTCTATTTTAGTAAAAAGTTTGTTTTAAATTTTTTCACGTGTTGTTACTTCAGACACAGTGACTGATATTGCCAAACACAGGAAGTGTGTTCATGTTCACGTTCTATTTTAGTAAAAAGTTTGTTTTAAATCTTTTCACGTGTTGTTACTTCAGACACAGTGACTGATATTGCCAAACACAGGAAGTGCGTTCATGTTCGAGTTCTATTTTAATAAAAAGTTTGTTTTAAATCTTTTCACATTTTGTTACTTCAGGCACAGTGACTGATATTGCTAAACACAGGAAGTGTGTTCATGTTCAAGTTCTGTTTTAATAAAAAGTTTGTTTTAAACTTTTTCAAGTGTTGTTACTTCAGGCACAGCGATAATTCGTTCTAAGTCCATTAGGAGTTTGAAGCAAGTTTATGTTACCGAAGCTGAAACAAGTTTATGCTACCAAAGCAAGTCAAACTCTATAAAACATTACATTTAATGAGACAGTTTGTCTGTCATTCTAATTGGAAATAAATGAATTAATTAATTTTGGTAAGACTAAACTCTCAAATATTAACCTATATTTTTATCTTTTAAAATATATCCTAAAATGCAAGCGATCTCTTATATATTGAAAGGAATCTTTTTTTTCGAGTAAATGTGGTATATGCAGACATCATGAGGGATATTTAAAGGTTCATTGAGAATATGCACATTGCTAAAGAGCAGAAACAGTCTTCTTGGGGAGAAAGCATTTGCACTGTCTTGTCGTCAATACCATAGCCAGGTCTTACTCTAACTTCAATTTCTTTTAACTCTATGTAAAGAGTAAAAAGAGTGTATTGTCGAGGTTTTGCCTTATCAGGAACTTGGCTAATGATAAAAATATGCATTTTGGATGCAAAATGTTGCTAATAATAAGTAAAATTAAAAGCGTTCACAAAAGTTTTATATAACTTGTAGAGCAAAAATAATTTAAAATGCGAAAACAAGTTTCTTGATTTTCTGTTGTAAGCAATTAAAAGATCTGCTTCCTAGAATTCGCATTCAGAATTCTAATATCTTAAACAGAAATATAAACATCACTTACTCTGATGTCTACACTGCAAAAGCAATTTCTGTCAGGAGTTCAGAACATCTAAGCAGCGATCTAGTGGTCGAACTTTTATGAACTAGCTAGTAGACTTAAATGCTAAATTTATTCATAAATTACTTTGTTGTCTTCTTATATACTATACAACCTTCCCTTTTTGGTAAGTTTTGAAATAAAAAAGAAAACTAGAAGGAAAATAATAAAACTTAATCAAACCTCAGTTGTTAATTTCTAACCTTACACTACATCATTTTTTCAAAGCTAAAAATCACTTGAACACAAAACGTCATGTCTGTATATAAAATGAGAAAAGAAAAACATTTTTGATTCTTATGTGAAATAAATTATTAAAAATTTTGTAGATATTGATAGACAAAATTAAATTTGAAAGCTGACGTGAATAAAGATATTAAAGTGACAGGATACTCGCTCAGTACAAAAATTAATTTTAATTTATACCAGAACAGCTTAACTAGACTTATATAAACCAATTTAAGTTTCAAAAACATTTGGAAAAAGTTTCAAAAACATTCAAACACATCTCTGTAAATATGCATATGTGGGTTTAACATTTAAATAACCATCAACATGTTAAGCAGTGCGAATTCTGGTGGTCATTACCAGTCACTTTTCAAAGTGTACAATTTGAACACGTTTATCTCTTTTTTGCATTAAATGTATCAAATTTTGTTTCATTTGCTTCATATCCAATGGCAGTTTTACTTTTCACTTGTATACAAGCGGTAAAAGTTGTTTTGGAATTTCAGAAAGGAAAAGAGGTGAACATAAATTTCAAAGTAACCAGGATTTTCAGACCAAAGTTATCTCTACATGAACCAGATTCAGTTTGATAGAATTCAATTTTTAATTCTTAAAATTGCCTCTACTGCAGACAAAAAAGGTAAATATATAAATCCAAGAATAAATTTAAACAAATTTAAATTCTTAACAAATACGTATAAAAGTAAAAAAATTAATTCTAAAAAAAGGAAAAATAATTTAAAATAATTTTTAAAAATTTCAAACATGTAAAAGATTTAATTCTCGAACTAATCTACAATATCATTTAAATTCATAAGCATAATCAAATCAAGTGCAAAATCTATCCATGAAAATAAATCTACTAATTTAATAAATTTAAATTAAATTAAACAATTTTTTTAAAAAAATGCATATGTGAATGACCGTAGAGTAGGCAGAAGACAGACTTATCAAGGGGAAGTTGCCTCCAAACCTAACTCTCCAATCATTCAATTCGTGTTTCGTCATTCATGTAGGCAAGGGTAAAAGTCAAAAACAAAGTAATTCCAATAAAGTGGTACCCTTAGAAATTAACATTTAAATCAAACTAAAAACTAACAAATTAACAATCCAAGAATATCACTTTTAAAATATTTTCTCGAATTTAAACGCCAATATCTGACGCGATATTACAATCCTTCAGAAGATATCAGATCATACGTGAAAGTATTTAAATTATGTGTTTAGCGATTTAAATTAGCGAGGACAATCAGCGAATTAAAAACGCTTGTTCTACTTTAATTCGTTTGCTATAAGGATAATTAGCCGAGTTAAAATACTGTCAGATTCATTTCTCCTTACATAGCTCGCATACCTTTTGAAAAAAAAAATGCAGCTTCAAGCTAACTATTATAATGACTATTTTTCATTCATTTCATATGTAAAACCTATTTTAGAATACATTACTTTTTGTTAATTTAGTTCTTCTGTACTTCCCTTTCTTCTATCATCTGTCGTTGGAATGCAAATTAAATTGAGTTATAACAGCAAATAAATATGTACTTTAGAATTACAGAGAGAAATACCAGAAGTAAATAGTAAAGCTCTTTTTTTTCTAAACGTTAACTTGTAGCATGTCTGTATATTTAAGCGTGACATTTTTTATTTTATAATAAGAAGCCACTTGAACTGGAGACGAAACAATTAGTCGTTCAGAGTCAACTTCTGTTCCATGCGCATTCAGATATTTTACATATTGAAATCCCATAAGGGTGATAGCTACTGTTTGTTAACTTTTAGTTATATTACAAAACGGTACTTTTAAATAAAGCATATAAGTAGGGTTTAGTTATCTGTGTTATTATAATTAAAGTTTCTGTTTGATACGAAAAGGGAAGTTTGTCATAGAAAAGAAATGTTAATCAAGAGCTAATGAATAAATCGTTAGGCATTACCTTGCAAATTATGAAAATTTATTTCTGTATACATTATACATTTACAACCAATTTATAACCACTTTATAATAAGATTATTTACTTCTAATAAATTTTCTTTCATTCACTTCATTTTAATTTCTAACCTTAGACTACATCATTCTTTAAAAGCTGAAAATCACTTGAACACAAAACGTCATGTCTGTATATAAAAGGAGAAAAGAAAAACATTTTTTATTCTTATGTAAAATAAATTATTAAAAATTTTGTAGATATTGATAGACAAAATTAAATTTGAAAGCTGACGTGAATAAAGATATTAAAGTGACAGGATACAGACATTATACATTTACAACCAATTTATAACCACTTTATAATAAGATTATTTACTTCTAATAAATTTTCTTTCATTCACTTTAAGTACTGATAGAAATAATTCATTTTAATTTAAGTACTGATAGAAATAAAAATATGTTTCGTAGTTAATTCTGTATAAATACAGCAAATATATGGAACATTTTATTTTACTTTTCCAAAAAAGTGTTTTGAATGCGATCAGAGACTCATATTTTTATAGAACTCATAGCATTTTAATTCTAATGAGGAAATTCATTGAACATGGCAATAGATGAAATGAATTAAGTGTAAAACTTCCCAATTTCTACTGCATGTTTCTAACAGTGAGTCGTCTGAGGCCATTACAAAATGGTACAGGTTATTTTTATGGACATTGAGTTCGATTATTATAAAATGAGGTTTATATGTAACTAAATGAACCCAACATGAAATCATCAAATTTCGATAACAAACCGTAAATCTTAGGTGTTAATCAAATTTCGATAACAAACCGTAAATCTTAGGTGTTAATCAAATTTCGATAACAAACCGTAAATCTTAGGTGTTAATCAAATTTCGATAACAACCGTAAATCTTAGGTGTTAATGAAATTTCGATAACAAACCGTAAATCTTAGGTGTTAATGAAATTTCGATAACAAACCGTAAATCTTAGGTGTTAATCAAATTTCGATAACAAACCGTAAATCTTAGGTGTTAATCAAATTTCGATAACAAACCGTAAATCTTAGGTGTTAATCAAATTTCGATAACAAACCGTAAATCTTAGGTGTTAATCAAATTTCGATAACAAACCGTAAACCATTTGAATATTTTTCGTTACTCTTTAGATGGCGTTCTTCACTGCTTATGGCATATAGAACATGCCAATATCAATCAAGTCTCGGACCATGTGCTACGATTAGCTTTGTATTTACAAACCGAATTCGGCGATACAAAGAGGATGCTGGGTCAGAAATTAAGAAACCAAATAGGTAAATACAATTAATTAATTATTCCTTTTTGATTTCCGTAAAATTACCTCCATGCTACGTTTATGGAGTTAAGAATATTCTACAAGTCCAGCCTCATAAGATTCGTTACGAAGCTAGCTTTCTAATAATTATAGATACAGAGTATCCCATATATATAAGAACATAGGAAATGTAATATGAAATGAACATCAAATGGAGTTTTATAGAACCTGCTTTCTTAAAATAGTTGATATTACGGTTACTGGCAAAAACATCGCAGCAAAAATATCGCGAACGAAAACGTCGCAGAAAAAACAATACAAAGCGAAAACATCGTGGGAGAAAAGAAAGTAAGCAGAAAACATCGCAGTTCTAAAATATCGTAGTACATTGTCGTCGAAAACAAGCGATTCAGAAACTTCGCGGTTTAAAAAAAAATCGTCATCGAAAATATTGCTGTAAAACATAAAGCGCCTACACTTCATCGCATGACAACATCGCAGACATGTGTTTCTCAGGCTTTGAAAGTTGTAAATGAATATTCTCGTAATTTGTACGAGCAAAAAATAATATTTTTACTTTTACATTTTTGCATTAATTAATAAATATCTTCTGAAAAATTCAGAAGGAAATTTAAACATACAGAAACTGAAAATGAGTAGAAAATCAATGCTACTTATAGCAGTCAACATAATTTTATCATTTGATGATTAGTTAAACAATTTTAACAGAGGTAACCACATTCAGGTACTCAGCTTCTTCTTTTTTTTTTAATCTTGCCTATGTTTTTCATGAAAAATTACCAATAAAATTTTATAAGAAGAATAATTAATTATTGATCATTTTCTGTTAAGTTTAAAACTACATTGACTGCTATACCTATAATTACGTTTTTGGTCATTTTTAGTCATTGAATGCTTAATTTCCTTCTTATTTTTTCTGCAAAAATTTATTAGTCAAATCAAAAATATAAAATATAAAAGTAAAAACATTCCTTATTCCTTCGTGTAGTCACAAATTATTATGTGAATTTTAAAGCATGAAAACGCATGTTTGCGATGTTATGATCATGCGATGATTTATAGGTGCTTTATTTTTCACTACGATATTTTGGATGACGATGTTTTTTACCTGCGAAGTCTTTAAATTGCTTTATTTTCGACGACGATGTTTTGCACAACGACGTTTTGGCCTTGCGTTGTTCTTGCAACGTTTTCGTCCGCGATGTTTTCGGCGGACACCGATATTACTATTCTGATAATATACGTTCATGACAAGGATATACAGTGGTGGCCAAAATTATGGACACTTTTGGAATTTTTTATGATTTTGAACTTTGTATGCTTATAGAAAACGTTACGTTTCACAAAATGCAAACTTGTATCTATCATTTTAAAGAGAATTTATTACTGAATTCAATACAAAACACAAAATTCAATTATTTGCAATACAAAAAATTAAACGATAATAGTTATCGATATACATTAGATAGTGATGATTGCAGTGAGTTATCAGTACTTAGTTGGGTACCCTTTATTTTTGATTACAGCTTCACATCGACGCTTCATTGAGCTCACAAGAGTTTTAAGCTCTTCTTTCGTTATTACATGATGCCAGGAAACAATTATAGCCTCAATTAGTTTCCTTTTATTTGATGAGCGCCTCATTCGGACAAGAGTTTTCAAACGGTGCCACAAATTTTCGATAGGATTGAGGTCAGGACTGTTTCCTGGCCATGACAACAATAATTTAATGCTCTTTGTACGAAACCACTCTTTCGATATTTTGGCCGTGTGGCAAGGAGCAGAATCCTGCTGAAAAATAAACGAAGCAATGTTGGGAAAGAGATCTCTGATAGAAGGTAGAAGTTTTGGTTCTAGAACAGTGTCAATGTATTTTCTGGCATTCAGTGTCCCATCGATGACATGAAGGCGACCAATACCATCTGCTGACATGCAGGACCAAATCATAACACTAACTGGGTTCTTCACAGTTGCTTGAATGCAGTCAGAATGTAGCTCTTCTCCTATTCTACGTCTTACATATTTTCGCCCATCACTACCGAATAACGATATCTTGGTTTCATCACTCCATATAACTTGTGACCACTGATCATCTGTCCAATTAATGTGTTCCTTTGCCAACTGCAGTCTTTTATTTCGTTGCTGAAAATTAAGATAAGGCTTTTTTCGTGGAATTCTACCTCTCAGTCCAACATCTGTTAATCTTCTCCTGATTGTTCTTGAACTGACAGAAATACCAGCATCATTCAGATCACTTCTGATGGCCGCTGATGACATTTTCTATCTTGGAGACATAGTCATTTTATTCTTCTGCCATCAATAGATGTAGTGCACCTTTTTCGGCCTTTTCATTCTTTGTTTTTTATTGAATTTGTCTCCTGATATCGTTAACAAAACTTTCGGACTCCAGATGTAGTCATTGAACCACCGAACTGTCTTGCAATTTCAGCATAGGAAAGACCACTTTCTCGTAACACAATAATATTACATCTCTTTCTAGGTGTCCAATCTACTCTTTCATTTGATGTCATTGCTTCTTGACTAAATATTAAACTTTTTACAAAAATTCCTGCTTGTAATTGCAGTGTATAAGAAACAGGTCCTCCTTCTACAGAACAAAGCAAAATAATGAATGTTGTTTCAAGTGTAAACATGATTTCAGCTTCTACTGGCAGTTTACTAACATTTGATTGGTTCTCAGAACAAGAACAGTGATTGGCCAGGAAAGCTAGACATTACAAACCACTTCATAACTGTGTTTTTTATTTATATTAAAGTACATATACTTTTTTTTTTGTATTGCAAATAATTGAATTTTGTGTTTTGTATTGAATTCAGTAATAACTTCTCTTTAAAATGATATATACAAGTTTGCATTTTGCGAAACGTAACATTTTCTATAATCATACAAATTTCAAAAACATAAAAATTTCCAAAAGTGTCCACAATTTTGGCCACCACTGTATATTTAACAATAAGGGTAACAGATTGTTTTTTTCTAGACGTTGCAGATCACTAATCTCCTGTTCGAAACCTAAATTTCTCAAATCGTAAATTCAAACATAATTCTAACCCCTTGTTTAAACCCTTCTACTCCTCTACTACTTCTATAACTAAACACTTGCTTAAATCCTCCTACTCTGCGGATGAATTATGGTTCCATCTTTCCCTCAAAATCTGATAATATAAAATGAATACCGAAATCATAAGATAAATGTTCATGGGGGCTTCGAATGGAAGTTACAAAAATTAAACGTTAATAAAACAGCCAAAAGGCCTCTTACGTGCTGAAACTACATTCACATATTAAATATTTCATAGAAAATAATATATCAAAGATTAATAACCCAAAGCCAGTCTAACGCTAGTAATCTAACCATTGGTATTACTAGCATGGAGATTAACAAAACTCAAAACTCACTGAAAACGGAAATAGGTATTACGACAGGTGAAATATGAATCTCATAGCGCTGTTGGCTGAAGATCCAATACCCTTTTTTAATTTACATTGTCTCTCGTTATTTAGACTCGGTTTCTGGTGGAACTGAGTCTAAATAACGAGACCTCAGTTTCTGGTAGAACTGAGGGTAAAACGTAGAAATGAAAAATCGAATCAAACGTAAGAAATAATGTGTTAATCAAAAAAAGTGATCCCACAGTTATACAAGTCAAATTGTATTACGCCTGGGCTTCATGAGACAATCAGCGCATCCTGGAGGACTTTCTTATGGATTTAAAAAATGGCGATTGTTCTATGGGACGCTTAGCGATTTGTTTACAGAAGAAATGTTTGGCTAATTATGGCAATTTTGAATCAAAGCATTTCAAAGTGGTATCTAAAATAAGTGAGAGTGAGAAAAACAAACTATAACAGCTATTCACTACACAAATCATATGGAGTTTCATTCCTTTCAAATCGGAGTTTAATAAACGCATCTTTTTACATATTCTAATGACACGTCAGTAGAACCGTTTCTTGCATTATAGTTCTAATACTTTTTTAAAAGAAGAAGAAACAAAATTTACCTTCTCGTAATGATGCTATCTTAGCATTTTGATAAAAAAGTTCATGAATTATCTGCTAGGTAATTAATTAATAATATTTGAAAATACGATATAAGATTTTGGAGATCTAAACTTTTGCTTTGTCTTCATAAAGGATTTAATGCTGTTACTACATACAGTACTCTTCACATTTTTCGAAAGAATTATAATTGGCTTCACAGAACTAAATGTGTAGGTGAAAACAAGGCGGACAAAATATCGCGGACAAAATCGTAGCAAAAACAACAAGAAACGCAAAAGTGAAGAGAACAAACAACGCAAAGAAAAACATCGTCATTATGCAAAACCGTACAAAAAAGAAAGCAAGGGAAAACATTGTAATAGAAAAATGTAAGCTTCTGCTTGCATGTTTACAAATAGCTTTCATGAATAAAATAACACTAATTCTGCATAATAGTAGGTAAATCTTTTGTGCTAAACCTAAGAAAAGAAACTTAAGATGCAACGTTGAAAATCATCACTGCAAAATTAACATGTTCAATTTTTAAAATGGCGAAATGTAAGTCAGCATCATTCGGCTCGTTAAAACGTTGGTTTTTATGTTTTTTTATGTTAGAATTCTGTTTATAATATATGTATAACAGTACATTCTATATGATAATATGTATTTTATATACCTATAATGCATGCCATAAAAATAAAATTTAAGGAATATTCAATTAATAAATAGTATTAATGTTGCACAAAATGATGCGAAAATTAATGCTGTTTTTGCTCTCACTTGCCTGACAGTGAAATCAGAACGAGCCTACGAAATTCATCGTGGGAAGGAGAGCAAGAATGTACCTTGTCTTTGGCAAAGCCGTGAGCACCATACAGGCACTTTTTCCGCCCCCAACTTTGAAGGACAGCATCCCTGGAGGACAGCTCCGAAGGTTTCCCATCCCTCTTCTCGTACCACCATCCTCTCGAGAGGACTTTCGACTCGCCGTATATTTAGAGTACCCCATCCCACACAGACACTATACAAACATCCATGCCTTCTCTGTGATTTGAACGCGGGCCCTTGGTATCGCAGTATGTTCCCCTAACCACTATACCGCGTGGGCGGCGAAAAAATTAATAAAAACTTTTAATGTAGCATAAAAGACTCTGATTGATAAATACTGTCAATGCAGTGCAAAATGGTGGGTTTTATAACATAATATTATCTTTCTTATAATATTATTGCATACGTACGGGTTCGTAATAAATTGAAGGCACAAGTCCGATGAAACGTGAATAAAATTTATTTTTATCGCAACAAATAAAAACAAAATGCTTAAATTTCCTCAGATATTCGTACAATACTGCAATGTCTCGTAGTAGTTATCTTTTAAAGTACCAAAACGTTCAACAGAATTAATTCAAAATAGAGAAAGCTAATCCGATTTCACCGCGAATTCGCTACAGTAAACAGCAACAGTTTTCTAAACAAACTGAATTCAGGTGTTTTCCTCCAGCTTTTATAAGCTTTTTAAATGCACGAGAAACTTCTCGTATTTTCTCAACTCTTATGAATATCAAAAGAGTACAATTACGAGATATTTATTATTAAAATGTTAGATGCGGCGCGTGCTCCTGCATTTAATTGTTTCGGCGTAGCTTTCTTTCAAATGAGTCTCGTGTTGCATTGCGCGGTAATATAAAACAGTTTTAATTAATTCTATTTACAAACAGCTAAATCGATACAAAAACCGTAACAATATCTTATAAAATATTCTGCACAGATATATTTAATTTAGATCTAAAATTATTAATTTATTGCCGTCCGCTATTTTTTTATTCTGTAATATGGCCCTTTTCCCACGCTTTTGCATACATGGTTTATATAGTAGAAGCGTTCAATCTAAAATATGATTGAAGATAATTCGCAACCGTCTGGATTTGGGGATTGCTTCTCATGACTCTACTGCATTAGTCACAGTTTAAGTGGGAGAGACTGTAAGAAATTATGAGTATCCTTTGTGAACTCTTGTAGCGTAAGCAGTTAATAAGTTTAGGAAGCACTGAAGTACAGATGGTTTGAATTCCAAGTAGAACAGAGTTGATTTATTATGTTTCCTGCTTCTAGATATTTAGACATCTCTGCAAACTAAACACCTGCGTATCCTAAAAATATCCTGAAAATACACAGAATGTTAGAACGCCATTTTTGCAAGTTTTATTCCTTGACTTCGATTTGTATATAAGGCCGGACAGCTGTACAATTCCGGCTTATGAGATGTACCTGAAAGACAAATTAAGTATAAAAATACCCATGTCTATAACTTAAACTATCTACCTATTCAATAAATATATGGATTCAAACAGCCTTGTTTGGATGGCCTTGTTTCTTTTCATAGTTTCTGATATCCGTGATCAGAAGGTACTATTAAAATCAATAACTAATTTTAGTATGTATGGGATATTAAGGGGACTCATACACCTTAAAACCCATAAGATCTTCGAATATGTGACAGTTGCAAGAATTGGGATAACTTATTTATTTTAAAAGCGATTACTTCCAACCGTTTACAGCTGACTACATAATATAGCTGCCTTTTGAAATAATAATCAGAAAGTTTGTGTTGCCACAAATATTTTTATAATTTAATCCGCTTTGTGACAAACGTTTTCGTCATGTTTCCACCTTGCGCACACAGTTTAAAATAATCTGTTGCATAATTTAATTCCATATTTAATATATAGCTTTTATAACATTTGAAAACTACCGTGAACCAAAAATTCTAAGAATTTCTTGCTAGATTTTTATTTTATTTGGAGTTGAGTTTATAAAATGTATTTTATTAAAAAAAATCTGTAATTCTTAATTATATATTGCAAATATATATAAATATTCATCAAATTTTTGGTTTAGTTAGAAAATAGTGCCCATATAAAGAATTTCATCAAATTTCAAGTATGTACCATTAGCTATTTTTAAAATATGCGCGCAAGGTGAAAACATGACGAAAAATTTTGTCACAAAGCGGATTAAAATACAAAAATGTTTGTGGCAACACAAACTTTCTGGTTAGTTCCTAAAGCAGTTATATGATGTAGTCAGCTGTAAAAAGTTAGCAATTGCTTTTAAAATAAATAAGTTATCCCAATTCTTGCAACATTCACATATGAGGAGATCATAATGGGGTTTAAGGTATATGAGCCCTTTAAAGTAAGAGCGTAAAACACTGATGAATAGCTTATCACCTCTAATGAATGTAAATGCTACAGAAGCTCTAAATTTCACAGATTAAGTAAATATTTTGATTTCGAATATAGGAATTGCGACTGGAGAACTGAATATGCTTTTTGTAGGATTAGATACAGTTTACTTTGTAAGTATTGGTGAGGCCGTTAAAGAATCAGTTGCTTTGTCAAAATTATGCGGTAAAGGAGAAGTAGTGGCATCGCCATCCTTTTGGAAAAATCTGGATACAGCTGAAGACTACAAATGGCAAGTTCTAAGTGATGATTCCACAGCGGTAAGTCACACATTACTCTCTCAGATCCGATGAAAGCATATTGCGTTGTGAGTGTAATAGTAACGTTTTTGCACCGGTATTATAATAGAACACTAGTAATTTATTTTAACAAACACAATAAATCTCGTGTTTAAGAAAGGAGATTAATTGAAAAATATTCAGTTAATCCTTAAACGAGCTACATACTTTTCCTAAACAATCATATACTTGTTAATTTTAAGTAATGAATACATAAGCTTGACAATGATTTCCGTGATGTGTTTTTCGAAAGTGTTTGCATATCTGCAAATTTGCATATTAAAAAGTGTTATGATATGATTTAATAAAACCTTTAGTATGAATCTATAAAAAAGATAATATATATATAAACAGTTTTAAATAAATATTAGTAAAAAACTGCTTACCTAAATTTTAAGAAATTTCTTCGGCGTAGCCAAATAAATAGACGCGTGCTTGATCCCAAAATTATTACGATTTCAATTACGTTTATAACAATTCTCACACTCCAGTGCACATTAAGCTAAGAAATATGAAATCCAGATTCTAAGACTGGTAATCAAGAAAGAATTGTAAATGTTAGATAAGAGGTATTTAGTGTAATAATATTTTTATTTTATTTTATTGATTTAAAATATTCTTTGGTACTTTTAAATAACCAAATAATTCATCGTGAATCATCCAATATAATAAGAATAAGTATTAAAAGTTGTTAGTACTATAAGGTATTTATTTCTCCCACCTTCCTAGCATGCCTTCGTGGTGTAGTGGTTCTGCACACTGGGCCGGTATTCCAGAGATCCGTGGTTCGATTCCCGGCGACTGCGGTTGCATATTTTTCATCTCTCCTACTTCCAAAAATACTTGATGTCTCTACAATGGCGCCCGAACTAAAAGGTTGGTGGATGATGATTTCTCCCCCACCGAGGATTTTGCGATTAAGTCCCCTAATAACCCCAATCGCCCTTTAAAAGTGGGAGTATATAAGGTATTTCTCCCACCTTCCTAGTGTGCCTTCGTGGTGTAGTGGTTCTGCACACTGGGCTGGTATTTCAGAGGTCCGTGGTTCGATTCCCCGCGAAGCCGGTTGCATATGTTTCATCTCTCCTGCTTCCAAAAATACATAATGTCTCTACAGTACAAACGTTATGAAATTAATTCATAAAACTAATTAACAATCGTCTAGGTAAATCAATCTGCATATTTCTAAAAGCCATTAAAATGCAAACAAATAGAGTGTGTGGAGAGACCACCAAGTAAATAACACAAATAAAACACAAAACATTTATCACTAAACACGTTTATTAAGTTCTAAATAAACATTCAAGTCATTGGGTAAGCTGGTCAGCTCCCTACAATGTTTTCCTCAAAATACGTTTAAAAACATAACTTTCAATATGTTAAATAAAATACCCTCATTTTACATATCCGTAAGTCCGTAAGCAAATATTTATTACTGTGATTCTCATTCATCGCCTGAATATTAGGAAGTTTTAATAGCCCAACAGATCGTCCTGTTTATTTTGTTTGACTGCCTAGAAAATTTCCACATAAACCCAAACCGTGTTAACTACTGAAAACACATATGAAGAATATTTAATGACTTGGATTACTATGAGTTCATACAAGTTTTATATGCAGATATGATGAAAAATCTGCGCAACATGGCTTCTCACTAAATTGCACTTTCTTTAGTAACACTAGGTGCCGGGTACTGATCAAGAATATTTAATGGCTCGGCTCAATATGCGTTCACACCAGTTTCGAGTTCGGAAGGGATCAGCATGAGATGCAGGTGAAGTGAAAACAGTTTGTGCTAAAATCTCTCAGTAAATTTCGCTTTGAATCTCACATTAAATTGCTAAATCATCTCGGACTAAATTTTGACCTGTTTTACACAGATTGTCCGTGAGGGCCCCTCGCGAGAAAACCCTCGTTTCGCTATTTCAGTAGGCGAATCTCTTTCCAAGCAACCTCCAGTCGGGAAAAAAAGAAACGCTACCCCAGCCCGGTTGTGCAGGCAAGCGGCAAGCCGGCAGCAAGACTGGCTCCAGCTTCTACGTTTTCTTACTTGACGATTTTAGAGCAAACTTAAAACTCATTTTAAACTCCCTTAGACGCCTCGACCCGTCAAAATTCTACAGGTTGAAAATTAAACATAAAATTATGTTTGACCAACCGAAATAATTTTTTTTATTACTGTCAGTCCCACCCCAACGAATAGAAACAGAGATGCTTCTACAATAACATTAGCTGGACACATCCTACTGAGTCACCGAAATGCGTGAAAAACTAAAAATCGACCCTTGCTAACTTCTGAGAACAACACAGATAAGGTTCGCTGCTACTTTGTTAAATTGCCACCCAAAAGAAATTTCAAACGACTCCCTCCCGTTCGAAAACTCATTAATCAATCACTTGCAACATTCACAAAGCAAAAGTGAAACAGAGACGCAACTATTTCTTCCTTTTCACACTCAGTAAACAACACCTCTTGCAGCGACGAAGTACTTTAACAGCTTGTAATGACCTTACGGATGAATAAGGCACCATAAGGAAAACGACACAAACATTTATTAAAAATTAACGTTCAAAGAATAATGGTAAAAAAAATTTAACGTTTACAGAATAATGGTAAACTCGGAGCAATACCTCGCTCCAACAACATAGTTAATCTACCACCTGCCTCCTCTGAGGCTAACATGCAACTGTCGTCTCTCTCACTTGCTGGGCTCTGCCAGGCAGCTGATTGGCTTACCGCAGCCAGATACATGACACAGCTCTTTCTCATCGTAAAGAGTATTCACAACCCGCCAAAAGAATCACTTTGGTGAACACTAACCAAGAAATTCGAATCCCCCCTTCCGCCCAGATGTTTCGGAAAACCGGATCCCTGTTTCTGCGTGAGAAAGCCCAACCATCGAAAAATAAGTACAACTAATTGGAACATAGAAAAAGCTTGCCATGTTATTTAGAGAAAGTCCCATTTTGTGTCAAAACACCTAGGTTAGAGCAATGCTATATATAAATCTAATATATATCCTACGTCGCGCTTTCGAGATGTGAAAAACGCAATTTGAATTTCGTCAATCGGCCCACGGGAGATATAAAACCGTCCTTTTTTTTTCGCTGTGTACTTTAATACTTACATTGTTTATCATACGCCCTAATTCCTGTTTTATATGTTATTCTACTCAGTTTTCATGTTTTTTTAATTCAAATTAGTTAAGATGCTGAATTAATTAAGTATTTTCTATATCGTTTAATAATTATTTTACATTAGTAAATTAGAACGTTCTAGCTTGAGACAAAAATTTTTCAAACATCTTCTCTGATTAAAATGCCTGAAATTTAATGGAGGATTCAAACTCAACTGATTTTTGCTGGTTTTAATATATTGGTTATAATTTAATGTTTCGCTTATAGCGAACATATGAATTTCGGGTTGCAGCGGCAGCGCCAAACAGGCGATACGGACTTAAAAACTGTACAGAAAAGCGCCAATTGGCGAAACAGTAAACCCGTTTGGCAAACCTACAAGCTGACGGAGAGAGAAGATTTTTCCCCGGCAGTCAAGTGGAACTACTTCAACAAATGTGTGCGTCACTGTTTTCGCCGAGATATGTAAACTTGTGTACTCGCATCTGTACTGTGCTCTGAATTTCTTAAGCCGTTATAATGTACCCGGCAACTGTTACTTTTCCTTATTAAATTTGATTATTAATTGTAACATGTCTATCTTAACTAAGATTTCGGCTTTCCTAGTTAATGTTAGGGATATTTTCGTATGCACGTGTTACTCACACGTACAGGGTAAATTCATATTCATACTAAGCAAAAAAAGCATACTAGTGTAGATTTTAAATAAAACTTTCTTCGGGAGCGATCAGACATGCGTATTTTGTCTTCAATATCAAAATTACATATGAAGAACTGAAGGAGCGCCAAGCATTTTGAACAAAAATCAATAGATTAAAAAGAATTTAGCGCCCACTACTAAGGAAAGTAGCCTTGAAATGTGAAAACTAAAGTATTAAAATTTTGAAAGCGCTAGGAAGAACTAGATTGAAACTAATGTGATTTACTAAAAGAAGATGATTTCTTATGAATGTTAAGGTCTTCAAGAAATTCCAATTCACCAAATGAAGAAATTTTGCAGTTAATTTTTGCAAGAACAATCTCTAAATTGTGATTATGTGTGCAACTACGATTAGCTGTGTAAGATTTATTTATTTCTCCTTTTATAACATAAGATCCGTATTCCCTGATGCGACATTTTAATTCTATTTTGGTTTAGATATATATCAAATCACACTAGCACAATATACCGTAAATTTTCCATTATTAAAATCAGAAATGCGATGTTTAAGAATGTCATTTTACCAATAAAGTACATAAAAGTACTTAAAATTCTTTTAAGGATACATGTTGTAAGATATCAAAATTATTCCTAGACTCCCTTCTGTGTCTAATATAAGTAAAACGACGGCAACATTTGTCACCAGATGCGGATTCTTTGATTTGAGCTCCCTCTGTTCCTCTTGCATCATTCTTTCCCTGTCACCGTTCACATAGACATTCTTTCAGTAATGTTGTGATATAACGATTAGTCGCTAAGAAACCCTTATTTGAAGATTCCTAATTGAGTTATTTCTCGCTCACCGGTATTCATAGGTTCAAACTGCGTTACTGTCCACCCAGATACAACACTATGAAGAATATATTAAATTCATGTTTACTGTCCAAATAAAATGACGTGTAAGGGTGAAAATGAGGTGTAAGGGCCTGTTTCGATTTACAAAAACAAAGAAGTCAATATTTTTTGTAGCTGTTTATGATGGGTAATAATTTCCGCTACCTGGTTCGGCAATCAAACAGAGATTTGGATGTGTTCTTGGAGAATAACATTCGGACTTTGTAGCAACCTAAAAACTTTAATTTGACAGAGTCCATTCTGACACAACCAATGACGAGGTATGTTGTGCTAACTGTTTGTCAATCATATTAGGAGACACAGTGGGAGAATGGGCGGACCAAGGCATCTGTGCTCCTAGTGGACGATGAAAAACTGAATATTACGCGCCACGTGCAGTCTCATTCTCCTGTTAAACTTGGTTCCGCCAATGCATATTAGAGGAGGGCAAGTGTAAATTCTAATAGCACCGCAAGTCGGATACGACCATCGTGGCATTGCAGAGTGAACAGAGTTTCGTCTGAAAAGACAATATTGTTGCATACCCGTTATTTAATATACCATTGCAATCGCTGTGCTATAGATTCAAATGTAAGTGCGGCAGAGAAATCTTTTCAATCTTCCCTTTCTTTGCAGAATGGTATGTACTGACATGGGTTGTCAAAAAACAGTCCATAATTCTTGCGTTGTTCATATGTTATGTTAAGGACGTAAGTTCTAAGTTTAAGTATTCCAATAGGATTTGCCATTGTTATGAATGCAGCATGTTTGTTCTTTAGTTTGATGGTGTGAAGAAACATATGCAATCGTTACCGTGGCACGTTCAGTCTCTATTACAATGTTCCTTTATCCAATACATTATACACGACGTTATACAATATTCCCCAAGCCTGTGGCTTGAAAATATAAACCTCAATTAATCGAAACAATAGTCCGCATTCTTTATCAGCAAACGTGCTTAAACTGACAGACTGCTTTCTTTCTACTTTTTTTATAAACTCAAGCAAAGTAGTAGCAGAAAAGTACAACATTCTGACATATAAAAAAAATAGCCTCTGTTCGTTCTCCCTTATTTAGTGCTTCAATGTATAACTATAATAAGAGTGCTTCTAAGTAGCACAATAGTGAAGAATTCAGTTCTTCTTAACTGATGCATCTGATTTACGTGTATACTGAAATGCTAATCATTTGCGTGTCCAATGAAGATGCTATGAAGTCTATTGAATGTTTCCTTCATGATGTTTCATTTTAGGTGATCAGCTGCGCATATTGATTAAAAATTAATTTCTGGATATATTTATTAATTTCTAGCAATCAATGTATATTTATTAATTTCTAGCAATCAATGTATATTTATTAATTTCTAGCAATAACTGAATTAAATGTCCTTGTTTTTACAGGTGTATTCGAGTAATAAAGCGTTCATTCCAGTTGATAACAGCAAAGAAGGTATGCGTCAGATTTTCTTCTTAACCTTTCTTTGAGAACACATGCATGATTCGCTCTTCCATTTATACGTTCTTTTAAGTTATCACCATCGATTCAATTTTATTTATATTTCCCAATAAAATATTTTGCATTTTCTTTTGAGATAAAGGAAATATATTTTCATGTAATGTGATGATTCATATATAATGACTTATATGTATACATGTGTCATGTGCATATGGCTCATGTGTTATATATATTATTTTAGATACTTACGTGCATTATTTCACTTTTAAGTACTTCTTGATTTGGTATTTCTGATATACTCAGATAGCTGTTCTAGTAAACTAACTGATTGCTACTTGTTTTCAGTTGCCCAAAATCAAATTACAATGACTGTAAGCTAGAAATTCAGTACATTGTTTTATCTGCAGTATAATTGGCGTGTACATTCAATGCATAAATCATACCTATCACTCTGTATAGGCGTTGGATCAAAGACATTATATATCGTACAGTGGCAACACTTACTAGATCAGGTGGAATATAAATGCTGGGGCGTAATGTGATGCAAAAGACATAATTATCAAATTTTTCCGTTTATTAATCCGGCTGTGGACTAGCATTATTTTACAGATTAATAACAGATCTTCTTCCGCAAGATCGGTGCCAAATCTAGTGATATTTAGTTTTCTAGACATGGAAAATTGATATTTGCAAGGTTTATCAGTATTGGATGAAGAAGACGAAAGCTAAAATTGCAAAGCTTATAGTGTTTCAAAAGAAATATTCTGGCAAAAACAGATATTTTCGTAAAATTCTTCATCTGATAATTTTTATATTATTTTGGTGGCCTAAATTGACGAATATTAGGGCGATATTTTGTTACGAATATGTATTTCTCATTCTTTAACCCTTTCAGCGTTCCTCCCAAGACAGACTTGTCGATTTGAAAAGCGTCTTCAGACGTCAACACAACATACATTCATTAGCATTAAATGTGAACTGCATCGTTACCGCCAAGAGAAACTCCTTGTTTCGTCTTTTTCCAAACCCCAGAATGCGGTTTTCTAAGTAGGTTTTGACAGCTAGTGAAAGGGAAAAAAAATTCTAAACCCAGTTTCAGGTGCAAATAGTTTATCTTTGGAGTTAAAGAAAAAGGAACCAAATATTTGAGATTTGTAGGACGGGAAAATGGTTAATAAAAAAATTAAAGCTTTCCTGGTTTCACTGGTTAGACATTTAAGGGAAAAAATAACAGTTTTTTAATTAAGTCAAAAAGTACAATTTTTGGAAGAATTTAAACCGTTTTCACCATTCAAACCATTATTAATGAAAACAACTACATGAACGTTGAGAAAAGATGCTATAATAATAATGCGTAAAAGAAGAAATCTTTTTACGCTTTGAATCTGCAAAAATGTTATAAAGTATTTCTCCCTGCCTTCTTAGCATGCCTTCGTGGTGTAGTGGTCAGCCCGCTCGATGTGTATGTGACAGATCCGTGGTTCGAGTCCCGGCGATGGCATTGCTCATTTTTCATGTCTCCTGCTTCGGAAAAAAGCTAATGCCTCTACAGTGGCGTCCGAACTAAAAGGATGGTAGATGATGATTCTCCACCACCGGGATTTGGCGATTGGGTCCTCTAATCCCCAGTTGCTCTTTAAAAGAGGGAATATATAAGGTATTTCTCCCGTCTTCTTAGCATGCTTTCGTGGTGTAGTTGTCAGCACACTCTGCTCGTATTCGAGACGTCCGTGGTTCGAGTTGTGAGTTGTACAAATTGTGTGCCCATGGCGCCCCGAAAAAACGTACATGTTGTTCCAGAATGACGTCCCGATAGATTTGGCTTGTCATGGTTCCAATTTGAACATGCAGGTCAGTTCTGGAACCCAGAATAGTTCCACCCGAAACAAGCACTCCTACAGCACCGTAACGGTGTCGTTCAATAATGTTTTCTTGGTGGTAACGGGTACCTGGAGCTCTCCGTATGAAAGTCCGGCGAGAATCAGACTGCAAGCTAAATCTGGACGTCGTCGGAAAACATCAAACAAGCCCACTGTTGCGGTGTCCGTAATGCATGCTCTCTACTCCAGGCTAACTGCAGGCGATACTGAGTTGCAGTAAGTGGAACGCATCTGACAGGTCTACGAGCATATAGACCGATCTGCCCTAAGCGTTTGTACACGGTCTGCCTTGAAATTGTCGTACCAGTGGCTGAAGAGAATTGAGAGAAAGGTCTGAGGCTGTGCTCCGCCTGTTTCCTTTGGCAGTAACTGCCAAATACCGGTGCTCATTCGGCGTTGTAAATCTGGGGCCACCTGTGCTGTAACGTCTACTCACATTACCAACATCTTGGAATCGTTGCCAAAGCCTGGAGATGACACTCTCGGCAATTCCAAATTCGTCTGATACTTCCAGTTGGGTACGCCCACATTCCACAAGGCCGATAATTCTACCACGTAAAAAATCATCCAAATGCGTCCTTTGTGTCATAACTATTCGGTTATTGCACTGAAATGCTTATAAAGTGCCTGCGAACAATTTTACTTCTTTGCCTGTATTCCTTATATATCACTCTCTTACACTCTCGTCATTGTGACGTACCATCGGTATCATCTGGTTACTTCCTGAAATTTGCATATAATTCTTGAAGATGTGTGTAGTGATTTTACAGGTGATATATTTATTTTAGAGTTCGATTTCCGCGTGACTCCGAATTATCCTTAATTTATGGACATGAGTGTAATTTAATACCTATAAAAGGTATTTTTCCTTACTAAATCGTCTTGAACGACAAAAACAAATTTAAGAAATGAGTCAGGCTTTTTAATTACAAACTACAACAGTTAATCACAAGTGACATCTTATGGTAAAAGATACATACAGGTGACAGGTGAATGCAGGGCCCGGACACCCGGACGGCTTAATATGACAAATCGGGTGTCGTCCGGTACCCGCACAAACAAAGTTCCATAAATTTAGTGGCAAATATAGTGGAAGTTGCTTCAAAGGTTGCGAGGGTTGGGATAACATATTCTCTTCCATTTCGCTATTAAAATACTAAAAAATAAAGGAAATATTCATTTCAAATTGTGAAAAAAAAAGACAGACATAGAGCCTGAATTAAACTAACTACCTTTACTTATTACCTTCGAAAGAGTGCAGTACTTGCATGAAGTAAGAGTGCATGAAGGCTTTGCAGTACTTAAATGAGGGTTGTAAACTTCGAAAGAGAGTAGTACTTATATGATGAAACATTTTGATTTCAAATTGTAGATTTTTGTTGATTTTAGTAAGAAAACTATTTAAAAAGTATTATAAAAGTTTTGCCTATAATTTTGTATGCTATACGGGCATGGGTTCCATATCAACTAAACTGCAGTGACTGAGAATGAAATTAAGTACAATTAAAAGGCGCTGGTTATTGACGTCACACACTGTTTCAGAACCATTTCGACTGAAATTGCTTATGCTTGGCCGGGATGCCACGCTTCTTGATATCGTATCAATTTTTCTATGATAAATTTCTTTTAAGAAGGACAGTTTTATTTATGAAGAGATATTAATTCATAATGATGTTTTTGAGTGAGAATTGTATACATCCAGCTGATAAGTTTCTTATTTCGTTTGACATGTATAGATATATCAGAAAAACAATAGGCTTCCTATATCGATGAACCTGGCCTGGAGGGAAGAATTGGTTTTGCAAAAAAAAAAATAACATTTGTAATTTTTTATTTCTGTATATTAAGTGGACATGTTAGAGAAAATGCTTTGATTTGGACTGATGCTTGCATTTGGATTGACGATAACTTCAACACTCGACACTTATTTCATACGTTTTTTCAGGTTATTTATCTTCTCTACAGGCCTTTTATGAACATATTTGTAAAAATGTGTTCATTAATGGTATACAAGAAAACTTTGTTGCCTTTTCTAATACACATGAAGTCTATTTTTCCCTTGGTTAAAGCCATGGTGGATTTACTGGAAACGAGAGGTTTGACACATTGGCCAAGCAGGCCGTTCATGATGGAAGTCTAGTTGATAATTAGGTTCTATAAGTAGATAGTTGATAATCAGATTCCCATAGGTTAGCTGTTACTCAACTAAATTCTTTTACTTCAGTGTTTAAAAAGAACAAATATGGTCGGAAATCTGGACAGTCGGAGATGATTGTAGTCCGGGTCGAAAACGGAGACTAATTATTTGGAGAATATAACTTTAGGAAAATAAATGTATCTAAAAGTCGACTTAATTTTGACCGGCCGTAGTAGTTATCAAGCATATTTAAAAATATTCAATCTTCAAGACTCCTATCTTTGTCGCTGCTGCAATATCCTTGGCAATGCACATTTCATCGAAGTCTGCTCTTTGACCCAAGTAGTGAGAAAGACGTATGTATAGTCTTGTTAACCGAAATCTTGATATCAAGAAAATTTTATTGAATTTGAAGCGGGAAAGAAAATTGCGTTTGAAATCTTGACTATTGCTAATTCGAATCGCAAGTTATTAAAATTACTGTTTGATTTTTGTTCATGTTTAATATTCATTTTCTTTTGTATGTGTGTTTTATCCCTTCTGCTAGTCGTTTATGGTCATAGAATGGGCTGAACTGCAAAGCTATTATTACTACATTTACTTTTTGCTTCCACGTGCTACAGGAAGCTCGTAGTTTTAGTTTTCCTGTACATCTTGCTTTCTTATTACGATCAATTATATGCAACGAAAGTAACTATACAGGCGCTATTGGTTGGTAGTAGCATGTTAAAAGCGCAGTCCAAGAAAAAAGAACAAAACCAATTTCAGAATGGCAAAGGCAAAACGTTTCAATCCCAAATTATAAAAACAAATGTATATTATGATAATTTCTGGAGACTGTCTCAAATTTCTTATACATATTTTATCATTAAATAAATCGAAAAGGTAATACTTGTGCTGAAGCACCTTTCTCAGTGAGCTGAATATATAAACAAACATATACATTTATTAACTAACATGTGTTTTTCGAAGAATTTTTAGGCATACCTTTTAAACTGGCATTTAACGTTAAATAAATAGAATGGTCAAAGATTTTGCGTGATATCTGTACGTAAGGACAGAATAAAATACTCTTTTCCTTCAAAAAAATTATAAAACTGCTTTAAAATGAATTCTGAAGAGAATTTTTCGTGGCGTCTGTACGAACGTATGTACGTACGTGCGTACGTATGTACGTATCTCGCATAACTCAAAAACGAGTAACCTGAGAACGTTGAAATTTTGTATATAGGATTGCTATAACATGTAGATGTGCACCTCGTATTTTGGTTACAATCGGCCGCACCAAACGTATATAAATATATTATATTATATATCCACTCTGTTACCCGGCTCAATGATCTCAGTTTCTTTATTCTCATATGTTTGTAAGCTGTACATTTTTTGCTTGATTGAAAAATGATTGAATTCATGTTGTTCTTATTTCTTCCGGTTAAGGATTTTTATGCCTTTAGGATAAATCTGCATGCAATATTTTTAAGAATTATCAACAATTTTAAAAGTTGTTTAAGGTGCCGCTAAGCCTAATTATTTTTGCCATGGCGGCCATTGTTTGTTTACATTTGAAACAGCAGAAGACTAGTGGATTTGTTGCCAGTCTAGAGAAACTAAGCTTCGCAACAACAAAGATAACGCCTTCATTTATTATTGCCAATTATATCATGCTTAATTCTTTCTGGAATTTCTTCGAGGAAATAAGTGTTTAAGATTTACTTCGTATTTTTTATTACAGATATTTTGAGTTTTTTATGTATTTTGCCTTGTCGCGAAGTGAGAACTAAATTAATTGAATGAGAAATACTCAATCGTCTGTGAAAAACTGTTTCTTTTTTGTTTTGTTTGCTTAATTTCTTTCATACATCATTCTAGCTTTATTATAGTATTTGAATAGAACATGGGGCAACGATTAGATAATTCTATTCTTTAAATGATATAAATTTTGTGCATTATGAGTTATAATATGAACGAAATATAATACTGTTAAGTGAATCTAGCGCCAGAGTGTCGCTATGGTAAACAAATACTAGAGTGAATTTTAAAGAATGCATTTATTCTATTGTGGTTTATGCGCTGTCGGCGAAGTAGATTTAATTCAATCCAATAAGTTTAAATGAAATGCAAGAAAAAAATGCGTACAATTTAATATCCCGTACAAGGAAGTCATGTGGTGTACACATCAGATTTTTTATTTTCAATCTCTCAATGTGTTAAACAATTACAGACTGATTATTGACAAAGATAAATTAGAAATCGTACACTTTACTGGATGACAGTACTTTAAGAACTGGTAATTAGGAAGGTAGTGGGGAAGATAAACTGAAGGTTTTACGTTTCGCGTAATGGCAGCACTTGCCAGTGAGCATCACAAAGTTTTGATATAGATATAAAATTCAATGAATATAACTGTCCAGAAATTCAGCTAAAAAGTTTTTTTGTTTTGGACTCTTCTAAATAAAACAAAAATGCAATATGAAGCAAAAAATAAAAATCTCAGATTAAGAAATAACTGAAAGCTATAAGAATCAATGAAAAAATAATGTTTATTTTCACTAATAAGTATATTGAGTGGCATAAATGAAACTAATGGAAGTTGAAGAAAAACGTTGAAAGACTTTACAAAAATTACATTTAGTAATCTGAAAACTAATATTATACCAAAATGCATGACTGAATTTTGCACATCGAGACTATTAAAAGTTTAGATTACTTCCAAATGGATATACGTAATTCCGTTTGATAAATTCTTTTAGAAATTAGTTTTGCTTTTATTTCAAAAAGGATACCATCATTTAGAAACGTTTTCTTTTTTTAATTCCTACTACTACTGAACGAATTTCCAGCTCTGTCACTTGTTATTTTCCCAGCTTCAGTGGTTATTAATAAAATTTCTTTTTAATTTAATTTCGAAACTACATATTTTAAAATTTCTAATTTTTTGAATGCCGAAAAGGTTTTTGCATTCAAATGAGCCATTTCGAGCCTTTTTTTTTAAATAAGCTCTTTGCATAAGGAAGGTGTTGTCGAGTTTTTGAAATCTTAATATATGAAATTAATTCATCGATATTAATGAGACAGAATTTTTGAAATCTTCGTTTAAGACGGTTTAATTTTCTTCATACCAAGAAATACGGAGAAAACGAATTTTACATCATGGTCATCATTTTCAGTTTTGAGGAAAAATAAACATGGTTATTCTTTTTCTTGTTTTTAATATCACATTTTTCGTTTTTTATCATTCTCTTAATAATTTTAATTTTATTTTTCCTAGGTAATCTAGAGCTATTACAGATTTATGATGCTGAAATTGGAGATTTTATCAATAGATATCTTCATCCTTTGTACAAAAATGTAAGTTTTTTGTTTGTTTTTTTGCTTGTTTTTGTTTTGTTTTGCTTTACATTTGACGTAAACTTCCCACTTGTGAAAAAGACTAGGAATTACAGATATGATAACGTGTTTATAAAGTCTTTATTACTTCAACTTTTGTTATCTTTCTAAATTAGAAAGGTCTGTAAGTTACTGTAAATATTCTAACTACAAATAGTTTCTTTTCTTTTTACAAGAAAAGAAATTATTTGTAGTTAGTAAGGTACTCTAGGTATTCGCCTAATATTTCTTAAAACGTTATGCGTAGATTTTCTACGGTAATTTGATTGATTCAAATACAACGCTGTAAGTTTTTATTTATATATGTATATTTCTTTGTTTACAAGTAACTTTTATCTATTCATATCTTTATACTTATTTGAAATGCGAACAAACAAATTTTATTTAAATATATTTAAAGTTTAAAACAGTGTCAAAATTTTAAAAGCATTAAACATCTGCTTAAAATTTATCAGTATCATAAGCATTTTGAGTTATAGAGAAGTTTTGTATTAATTAAACTTTAAGCTAAATTCTGCTTATATTAAGTAAATTTTGATTATTAGCTACCTGCCGTATTCTTTTACAATGGTATGTCATCAAACAGAATTCTTTCGTATATGCTATTTGTTCTGTGAATTTGTAGAATTCTATATGTATTATTTAAATAAGCTTTTTACATTCGTATTCTAAAATTTCAGCTTGCATGGAAAAACATGCTTTAATGTAATTCGTAATTAATTTTTGCAGCTAATTATCTAACCCTAGTTTAAGGCACGGGTATTCTTCATTTCATCACTTCAACAAATATAAATCAACAGTACAGAGTAATCTACATTCAACTAAAAGATCAGTGCCTTTTTCCTGTCACTTTTTCCTATCACTATCTCGGAACAGGTTTTTTTTTTTTTTCGCGTTTTCGAGAACAAAATAATGGAAACTAAGTTATTAGCAATGTACGCATGAAAATTTCGGACGCCATTGTCAAGATTTCTATGCATGAAAAATTTCTAATGTTCTTACTACAAAATAACAACGTGCGCTTCACTAGCGAAATCACGTTCTGTCTAACGTTTTCGTTTCAACAGTTTAAATACTCTCGTACACCTACTTAATTTCCATCCTGGCTAGGAAATGAGAGGGGAAATAAGAGAATTCAGGAAATGTTCAAAAATTAAAATGATTGATAGTAGAACTAAACTAAATAGAATCCTTATCCCGAGTTTTCGAAGCTTTTCGAAGCGAAACTCTATGAATTATATCTAGTTAATTATTCTCTATTTAACTTTTGGACGGCGGTATACATAGATGTACACATATGTCTATAATCAATATTTATCAGAATATAACGTTTTAATGTGGAATATCTTTTATCCCGATACTCTATATTAGATATGCATTATATTTCATTAAATCGTACACTTTATAATACAGGTACGAACTAAACAGCAGCTTCAGATTCTGTCATCTATGGCTCAGTTGGTGGTTATCGTAACTAAAATCTCTGACATGGACTTAAAGGAACCGGATTCCCTACAGGATGCAACCCTTGAAATCCAGGCTATCGTGCAAGAATACGAAGGTAAGATGCCTTCAGATTCGGTAAGGATATTAATAAAATGCATATATATTATTTCTACATATATATTATTTCTCGATTAACAAACAAAGTAATTGTGCTCTTTGTCAGTACTGAGTAAGAGATATACATTTTTCAAGAATACTTTTCACATATTCTTGCACGAAGAAGAGCTTAGTATGATCTCAAAACTCATTCAGAGACTATTAAAAACATTGTATACGTATTTATTGATCGTGTATAAAGTAAATAAGGAGTACTCATGTCCACAGTTTGGCTTATAATACGTATAATCCCTCTTAAACAGTAATCTAAATATGAGTTTAAAACAGCTGAAACTATTTTTTATTCGTATTTTTTTCTCGATTTTATATTTCTAAAACTTCATGTAGGTTGGGCCGTGAGATCTGATGCTTTTGCTCTGAATTAAGTCCATGAAATGCAACTCAAATACTTATTTGAAACCAATAGCAGTTATTTATGACATTGAACATTCCGTTTCCAGTTTGTTATTTTTTAAATAATACATTTTTAAATGCTCTCCATTATTTGTACCGCTGCTTGAATCATATTGATAGGTATAACTTTCTATCAATATGATTCAAGCATTTCATTTCTATCAATATCATTCATTTCTACTGTTTCTCGATTTATTTGTACATTTGAACTTTTAGACAGTTCGAGAAATAGTAGTCATAAACTGGAAAGTCTACATACTGTGTTCGCTAAGTTTTTCTCCTTTACAACCCGTATGTCAGAGAAATATTTTCTAATGCACAATCACAAATCTTCTAGCTTAATGAGACGCTACCACACTTGCTGTAACCATAACCTCTAAATCTACAGTCGTAGAAAAACATAATACCGTGATGCACGAATAAAAATGTGTTAGGAGTTAACTAAACACTACTTGGATTTCGTTGACTACATTACTGTGTTCCCTAGTCAACCTTTAAATGAGGAAGTGTGTAAGAAATGATAACATTCTAGCAGATGTTTTCTTGCGTTGTAAATGATTAACATATGCCATTGTCAAATTTGTGGTTTGAAACCTGGCGAGAGCACGGTTGACTTTTTATGTTTCCTGGCTTCGAAAAGCATAAAAATCTCTGCAGCATAAGCTTCAAAACTCCGATTTAGATTTTCGAAAAGGATTACTTTAGCCTGTAATTTTGCATAAATAGTAATGTAGTATTAATGATATTCAATTATGAAGCCTGACAATGGATACCATCTCCTGTATCTAAAATATAATGATATGGCTAATAGACTAGCAAAGGAGGGTACTTCCATGCCTCGGGTTTATGCTGAATCTTTGTCCTACATATACTCGAGAAGAAAGGCAATTCCTGGAAACAGATACCGACACATTCATGGTATCACAATACAGGTCCCGGTACTTCTATTGGTTTCAAAGGTGACAGCGAAGGACCAAACGACCCTGGTTCAATTGACTTCAGGACATGTAAAGATACTCAGCTATTCCTGTGGTAGTAAACCTTTTCCCACTTGCGCCACACATAAACTCCGTGAAGCTACTGCGCAACATCTACTTAGTTCTGTTGACGGGCATGTGAAGATCTGCTGAAGAGACCACATAATTTCGTGTCGGATGTCATGAAGGTGAATGAACTTATGGATCTTATCTGATTCAGATTAGAGGGATTAGTAAGAAGAAGAAGAGTTATGAAAACAAAACTAAAAGTAAAAATTTTAAAATAGTTCGAAAAGTCTGAAAATCACGGATATATGCTACATCCCAAAGAAATGTTTGGATTAGCCAAAATTCTAAAATTCGAAAAAATAATAGTGGAAATCTGCGCACAAAAAAAATTTAATTTTCTGATAATTAATACGAAGTTGTTACTGGTATGCTAGATACAATTTCTTTGTTCATGATTTTTTAATAAGTCAATCTGAATATTTTAGTTAATTACATTTTTATATTATAGTACAAATTTCGTTATAAAATTATTTAGCTAGTTTTTCTCTTATGGTTTTACTTTCTAGCAAGTTTTTCTATTATAGAATTTTGAGATTTCAGCAGTGCATAATATTAACATTCCGAGTTCGTAGATCATTTGTGGGCATAATAACTTCTTACCGCTCAAATATTTGAGTCTGTTTGGAATTTATTTATTTTATAAGAAAAAGAGTACAATTCTTAATTCGTAACTTAATGTTTTGTGAACAATTATTTAAATGTGCTCTGCGCAAATAAGCTGTAATACTCATGTCGACAGACTATCTGACGCATATTGTGATATATTTACGCAGTAAATATTATCACTCAGTCTAATTTATGCAATTCGTTTTAGGTAAATTGATGAACATAATTTACAATGGGGTAAGTTATTCCAATTGTTTTCCAGATTGCTTTCATTTTTAGGTTCAAATACTTACAGTAATACCGTAGAGTTCCTCAAACTCGACCTAATGTGGACTGAGAGACTGCCGAGTTTCCAAAAAGTCGAGTTTTACGTAATAAGGGGTGTGTTTTTCAGAACTCTTAATATTTAATTATAAATTACTCTAGACATTTGTAGCACGATATAGAACAAGGAAACATACAGCATTCAATGAAATTAATGTTGATTCCCTGATGTCAAGTTCTAGCACAACAGGAGTCATAAAAAGAACAAATACCCTAAGATAATTGAGTAAAAAAAACTTGTAAGGATTGTGTTAATTTTATTAGCAGTTACATTATGAGTTAAAGTTCCTTTCCTATAAATTCTTAGCTTCAACTTACCACTTCCGGCCAGAACGTAGTTTTAGAATCACGTCTGAATACATATAATGAGGAAGAGCGAAATTTAACCGCGAAGTTCTTCGGTCTTAAAGAGAGAGATACCAGGTATTCTGGCTGCACGCGTCCTCCTTTTTTAGACTACTCTCTCGTAAGCTGTTATTTTGCTCGGCCGTACTTTAGGCCCTTGATAGCTTCGCAGTTTATTAACATTAAGGTGCCAACTCGGTTAGAATTTTGATAGCTTCGGCTATACCTCTTTAGTTTAGATTAGTTAGTATTATTCTGAGTCTCTTAAGTTCAAAGCCCAAGTGTCGGCTTTATTGTACACTCCAAGAAGGATTTTTGCTAAATTTTAGTTGGAATAATAAAGGGTTAGTTTAGCCTTTTATCTTGTTGTTTTCTGTCACACGAACTCAAACGATCATTCGCTTATCAGTTCTTAAGATTCTTCACTTCCGTCAGTAACTTAGAATTACACAGTGAGGAATTCAACAAACTTACATAGAAAAATGAAGTAAATTATTAGTAGTTCTTGGTAGAAAAATATGGTTTCATAGTAGATTGTCTCTCACACTCCTTCCGTTATCGTGCAGCTTCATCCCGTAGGCGACGGAAAAACAAAATGTCCATACCAGATGCCATACCAAAATCCATAGCAGCAAAATATCCTTACCAAAATTACAGAAAAAGAACACTCAAATCTTTGAAGAGAACAGGAAAGACATACTCATAAATAACAGTTGCTATATATATTGTATGCAGTATTTTGTCTGTTAGGCCTTTTTAAAAGTTTTTGATTTATACGGAATGTCGAGATATCGGGAGTCGAGTATGAGGGACTCTACTGTATTTGAATTGCTTAAGTTTTTTATCAGTAACTCCTACTTGTTTTAATAATTTACAGATATTTTTGGAAACTCATTCCATATTTTGATTCTCAAGAAAATTCCTGAACTTCAAAAGTTTAGTTTGAAGGTGTTCAAAAACATTCAGATTGATTTTTTTAAACTAAGGCGAGCTAAAATTTTACATTGTAAGAATCTTATCCATACATTGGTTTTCAAATCCAGTTTACTGTAATGACCCTACCCTCTAGTGCGCCCTTAATATACCCTCTAGTGCAACATTAAACTCTAAATCCTTTCTTTTTTTTGTTGTAAATCCTTTCGTACTTATTCAATACCATAACCCTTTTAAATCCTTTTATTGCATATCTGCCAGTACACAGATTGAGATTTAAGGTTTAGGACTGATTGTTTTTTCCTGTAATATCTGTGAAAAAATAAATAGTTGGCAGTTATTAATAATATGTCCGAAATTGTTCTTGAAAACATCGTTTTAAAACACCGTGTTCTTAAAAAAAGGATAATTTAGCTCAGTTTATACAAAGTAGCATGAAATATGTTACTTTGGATTCAGAAATTGAATATTAAAAATAATAAGACTTATTAAAATGACAGACTATATCCATGAAATTTTTAAACAAGTAATGTGACGAATTTAATAAATTATGATGTTTTATTTAATAACTTGCAGAGAATAGATAACCATTTTTATAAGTAAATGCTCCTAATTAAAACATTTTTCTTTTAGAAGCTTTTAATAAAAATCATGTTGAGGATTCTTTATTAGCATGTATAACTAATAAGAAAGGTGAAACGAGGAAGAATTTATGAATTCTGTAAAATATCAAAAGACCTAATTTCTGAAACGAAATCATCGTAGTACTCTAGAAAAGGCCTAATTACGTAACTGATTACTGGTGCTTCTTTGTTTAATGCAATTATCCTCAAACGTTTAATTTAAAGAGAATATATATTGTTTATTAATCTTTCCCTTACACGGTAGATTTTTCATAAGGACTGCATCCATTCCATTAACTGAAATCTTGTCTTAAAGAACTCACTTTTGACAGCACTTTAGAAACTCAGAAAAATACAATAACTATTTATGTCAAACAGTGCTTTTATGAATTCAGTCTTAAAACTTCGTAGATGCACTGTGCATACAGCACTTACAAAATTTTAAAGAAGCCTACTAGAAATCATTTTGCAATGAAAACTGTTTTATATAAATGTATATTTATTTGCTTTTACAAAAGATATTAAGATATATTTTACAAAGATTTAAAATTATACTATGTAAATTAAATCTTATGTTTTCTCACTTTAAAAATGTTCTATGTTATTTGAAATGATATATTCTGTAGCACCTTTTTCAAAAAGTAAAATGTTGATAATGTTTCATTATTATCACAAATTGTTTTAGTTCCTTCTAATAATTATACTTTTAATTTTTAAACAGGACGTATTATTCATAATACTGTTCGGATATCCCGGATTCACCCATACAGACGATGCTGTCAGAAGCATTTTGTGTTCTCAAAAAATAGTCAAATCACTGAAATCGTTAAATTTGTGAGTGTGTGCTTTTTCAAATATTTCTTTACTCTTCAAATTCAAAAACTATAAATGCTACATTTCGTACCTCAGTAACTGAGTGTTTTTGAATATCTTGGACTTCATCATTAAGTACTAATAATTTTCTGATGTAATTTTCTGAAAATCATTGATATCACAATATAGTTTTAAGTAAAGATAATATCGGTTTGACAAATGACTTTTTGAAGTCAGAAACGTTATGTTCATAAATAGAAATATTTCTAATTAAAGCAAAAAGGAATTTTTCAATTTATGTTTCTTGGAAGGGATCTTTTGTTAATAATATGTTTTATGCCTTTATTATATAATTATTATATTAATATGTCTAAGATATATATAAATATATATGTGTATATATATATATATATTTGTAATAATAAAATTCCATAGTCAAGAATACACTTAAAATTCTAACTGTATGTTCTTTTCATTTTAATGCCGACGGTCTCTTATTTGAAAGTACGTGGAATTAAATCCACAGCCCCGTAGTCAAGTTGTTTTTCTCGCCTTTTCTACACGTACAGTTATAGAATGTTGTGGAAATATTTAAAGCGAACTGAATTGGCTGACAAGGCTGACGTAATTTCTTTGAAGCTCCGCCTTTCCAGAGGCTATAAAAGGACTCGCAAAGGAATATCGGGGACTTTTTCTTAAATGTTACGATGCAGTAAACTTCATACAAAAAGTTATTAGTAATTCTTTTTAGTTACTCCGGATATCTGATTTTGTAACTGCTATTTCTCCTGAATAATAATAAATGGATCCTGTTTTTTTAAAACTTATCGTCTGATAATTTAAGCTATATATATATATGTCTAAGATAAATATATATGTTTTATGATTTTCGCATAAATTTATATATTTTTTATGTTTAGAATTTTTAACACACAAAAAAAAGACTTTAGATCAGCTTATGGATTGCTACATTAGCAGTGTTGCTTTTGACATGCCAATAAAATTTTATTTTGAAGCCCTTATATTTTCTAATAGGTTAAAATTTAAAGCAATGCTACTTACATAACATTCATTAACTTCTTTAGAAAAATATTTTGTTTATTTAATTTGCTTTGTTTATTTATTTAATAATCTGGTTTTAAAAGTATGTAAATAAGTTTTCAAGAAATAACAGAGCCAACTGTACCTTGAATAAGATAATAAATAACGTAGTGAAATTTCATGACCAATTTTGTCGTTCAAAGGGAGAACACTATGAATAAATCATTATAAATGTAATATCAGAAAGCTAATACTTTTGCTTATGATCGAGGTTCTTATGGGCGATATTTTTTTGCTTTAGTTATTGGTTCTTAACATTATCTTAAATATATTTATGATTCTATTTATAGTGCTTTTAACTTAAAATGCAATGTAGCTATAATTCAAAACTTTTTGAATTTTTAGGAAGGTTTCAATCGGAATTTCTACTGGTTTGGTATTCTGTGGAGTTCTAGGCCCACCTCTGAGGCAAGAATGTTGCGGTAATTATAAAATTAATATAAAGTGCTTCTGATTTTTACAAACATTTCCTTTTAAAAATGGAAATATAATCCTTTTAAAATGAATTCTTATAGATTTTTATATTTGAATTCATAGTTTAAACTATAATATAAATAATCTAAAATAATTCTCTTCATCTTACTTACTAAAAATTTCAGATCAGAATACAGTATATTATTCTGATACCAGGGGCATCCAGGGGAAGTTATTTCAAGGTTTACTTCCGGCTCTTTTATTATTAAAGGTCTACATAAATGGTGCCTTTAATCACGATGACTTTTTCTCTTCCGATTATGCAAGTGGTACTAGTCAGTTCCAAAATGCAATTAGATCTTAAGAGGACTAGATAGATAACAGTAATAAGATCTTGACACGAATAGATAGATAATAGCAATAAGATCTCAACACGACTAGACAGATAACACGACTAGATAGAGAATACCACTAGATAGATAATATGACTATATAGATAACACGGCTAGCTATCAATAAGATTTTAACACTAGACCGTCAATCTCGGAACTCCTGCTATTATTAGCTGGGGAAGTTCAATATACGCAGGTTAGAGGAATAGAAAGGAAAGGTTCTGGAATGGTTTCCAACTGAAATAATTAGATCATGGAACTAGGGAAAAAAGGGATATGCTCGCTGACTTATTCCCGTACCGTGGAAAACATTTCACTGCCTATTTTTATGCTCCATGTTTTACTGAACATTTTGCTTAAGGACAGATTAATTTTTATCAATTTATGAAACACAAAAAATATTTCGTAGAGAAATACGTGTTTTCAATAAAATTGTATGCTTATTTAAATCTGCTTAAAGGCATAACGTTTTGGCGAATTAAATAATTTTGTTTATTCCAACGAAATTAATATTTATTAGAATTCTTATTACGGTAAGTAACAGATTATTACAGGAAATTACAATAAGTAACTGTAAAGTTTTTTTACTTGAGGTATTGCGAAAATTGTAACTGTAAAAAAAAAGGCAGACATCATCGAATAATAAATAATACTTTACTAACGAAACGCTAGCACCCTCACAAAGCAGGAGCACGTTCATAGTGGGCGCTCAATCCCGGAACGACTGAAATTATCTATCCCTTTCTTTTCTTTTCTCCTCTTAGCTCATCCCTACTTTCACGTACCATACCTACAAATCTTGGGGTCTTCCAGCGAACAATAGAATTCGTTCCGGGATTGAGCGACTACTGATTTTAACACGATCTTATTATGAGTTCCACATTTCACTTCATTCAGTCATTAAGGATATAGAAGATTATATATAGATAAAAATATAGAGCATATAGGATATAGATAAGAATATAGAAGAACATATAGGATATAGATAAGAATACAAAAGATGAAATAAAAATGGACCATGTTTCAGAATTGTCTAGAAGACATTCCAACATTAGCTGATTGCAAGATAAACGCATCAAAATAATTCGTAGTTAATTGGACAACACAGAGCTCGCGTTACTTTGATAATATCGTCCTCAACGGCGCTGCACTGCTTCAAGTTACTGCCGTGAAATATACCCAGAAATTCTGCAGTCGAAACACGTAACATAAGCCAACAATCTATATATATCTGAAAAATCACTGGAAGATGACTAAACTTTTGCATGGAGATTATAAAGGTATTTATATCAGAATTGCCAATACAAAAAAAAACTTATTCTATTTTAAAGCATCTCAGTTACGACTGGTCGCAATTCGCAAATGCTAATAAATTCGAACCTGAGCTTTTAAAGTAATATTAAATTCCTTTTTGTTTATCAGGAATACAAAAAAACTGCATAGTAATTTAAAATCTCACTACATAACGTCATCCTGAAAATGATTAATAAATTTTACGCGTATTTCAATTTTCGCAGCTCCAATTTCGTCAACAGAAACATGGCCCTCTATTGAACAAGCATTTAAGAAAGCAAGAACAACTTTTCGCAGTAAAATATCTGCAAGAACATGCACATCTGCACTTCTATTAAATGACTCCAAAGAATAAAAGCATCAAAGTCATGCAAGAAAATACCTGAATGGTGATACTTACTTTTAAAGAAGTTCTACGTTCTATATATAAATCGTTTTGTTATGCGAGTATATGTTACGCAACTACTAAAATACAAACAGATTACAAATCATCAAATAATCTGAGTACTGTTAATATATTTTTAATTGGGAGCTTTCTGAATATTTTATTTTATTTTAAAATTTTGATAATATCATTTATATAACACTTCATAATCTGTCTAGCAAAATTTTAAAGAGTAAGAGCAGCAATCATTCCCTCTGTCACAATTAAATATGGAAAATTCATATCATCAATAGGTAATTCATATCTCCTGAAATAAAATGTTCTATGGACATTCTTTCTTGTGCTGCGTAAGATGCCTTCTTATCTCAGTGGTAATAGTTATAACGTTGTTAGAAAAGCCAATGAACAACATATTAATGTTTTTAGTGTCTAAAGTACAAGTGAAAAAGTTTTCCTTAAATTTTCGAAAGGTATTATTTCTCCAAGGCATGAAGTACGTTTTAATACATAAGTTATCGGTTTAACTGGATTGCACTCGTTATAACAATAAATATTAAATCTTATAAATATGTCATTTCGTGGTTCAATATATTGTTACTTTTTTTTCTCTTCTATATTCTTCTGACACCAGTTGTTACGTTATTTTCTTCCTTCACGTTCGTACGAGGTTCGTAGATTTGGAGTGAATAACGACGACACTTGATGAAGTATCAAAACACACTTTATTTGGCCAATGTTAATCAGGACAGCTCTAGTAACATTTTTTACAGTCGTCGAAGATCTACTATAAACACGCTGGAACAATCAGCGACACAGCCTTCACACTGTCAGGCAATAATGGTGGAGATAGCTTCCTGAAAAGCACCCGACTCTGCTTGGTCGTTCTCGGACTCCACGTACTCTCGAGACTCTCCACGCTACAACTCGAGATGCACTCACGACACCAGAGCACGCTCCCGACTCTCGTTCAGTCCTTTCCGAGCTCAACACTCTCTCGACGATGCACTAACCGCGATACTCTACGAGACTCTTTCGGTGCACTCGACGACCCACTCGGCACTCGCTGCCCGGCTGTCAACTCGATCGCCTCCGCATGGATTGACTCGCTAGACGAGACACACTCACTTGATGAGAGACGCACACTTCCTCTCGATGAAGCACACCCCTGACTGCGGACCAGCAGGATTTATATAGCTTTCGGCTTGTGTTCGGGAACATTCTGGACTACACCGGTAAGAATTCGTTCCAGAAGGTTCTCCAACCGTCCATGGTATATCGCCAATTTTGTCGCCAAATGGGCGATTTCTCGCCAAATGTGGCAACCCTGCCCTCTTTGCTATTTTATGGCAACCCTGCCCTCTTTGCTATTTTATGGCAACCCTGCCCTCCTTGCTATTTTATGGCAAGCCTAAAACTGATTTGCGGGGTACCTTACCGCGCCTTTACATTTCGTAACAATATTTTAAGCTTCTAAAAACAATTTTGCTCTATCATTTTGTCATTTTGAAAGTATAATTCATTATGAGTAATAAATGGTGACATCAAAATATAATCGAACTGACTATATAAAAACAATGCATTCATCTGAGACATTTTTAGTGTCCACAAAGCTCCTCAAATTATTCCTTCGGAAAGCTAATGCAGCAATAAAATCGTAGTAATTTTGTCGCTACTGGAGTACCTTCTGAACGATCTTTCTCCTTTCCCGCTGTCCGCTATAATCATTGACCTCTCCTAGTTTTCTTCTTCACATGCACTCAGAGACAGATGGGAAATTTACAGATTATCAAATCAAGAGAACATGGAAACACAGTAAAGAAAATCATGAAATTTCGATACAGAAACTTCGGTACATAGATCAACGCGTAAGTTATGTCTATTTTGTAGCTTATCATCCCGCCACGATAATGCAGTTTTTAATAACAAGTTTTTTGCTTTCATCTGCTATAAAACTTTGACCCAGAAACTTCTATAAAGGTATAAAAATCCTTCCAGAACTGGAGACTGTATTTGAACTAAATTCAAATTTTGCAATTATTAACTTGAATTTTATGGTCAATTATTCTATAAATTACAACAAACGTGATATGACCAATAATTCAAATCTTAATGTGCATGTATTTTAGTTCTGAATTAACGCTAAAGTTAGTAAAAATATATCATTAATGAAATTATATATTATCAGTTAAGTGTATAAGTATCGGTTTAAGTATATATATGAAGTGAAACACATGATCAATGAAGTGTATTCTTATTTTTCTTAATTGTAGTGCTAGGTATGTCTGTGCACATTGCCTTAACACTGGTCGAACAGTTCCAGGATTGGGAGATGGTATGTTGTATTAATACTTTTTTCCGAACTCGGAGAATGGTGGGAGAGATCTTCACTCCTCTGAGAAAGAGAATGAGAGCAGTAAGAGGTGCCAGCGTCTTTTTTCATGTGCACTCTGAAATCCAAATGTTCGTTGAGAACTTTCTTTAAATTTATTTAGGCATTAAAATTTATTTACGATACGTAACTGATTTATTTTATGAATATCTGGATTCTGATAACATTAATTTGTACTTTAAAAGTTACAAAGCAACTCATAATTTGTCAGTAAAGAATATGAAAAATTTCATTTAGAGTAAACGTAAGTATTACTTAAGATCACATCAGAAGTACTATTAAGGTCAATGATTTAAATGTGATCAGAAGCCAAACTCTTCCCTTCTATCTCCAAAAGACATTAACGTTGAATAGAATGTTAGAAAATCAGATATCAGATAATCACGTTGTTAAATCTGTAAGCATTTTAATAAACACCTAATTAGTATGCATTTATATTAAAGCAAAGTAGCAATACAAAATGTTGTAATTTAAACTTTCTTATTATTAATATTTGTTCATTATCATTCTCTTTGGGGCCAGGGTTGGAACGAACATTTAAGTTTTACTATAGCATAGTTAACACCATTTACATGAGTAAAATTTTATTACAGGGCAACGAGACTTCGGTACACTGTCAAACGATTCCGTTTAACCCTCTCACTGCGTGCTCTTTTTTAACAAAATAGGTTGAAAAATTGCGTATACTTTTTATTACATATTTCAAATCTACATATAGAGTTAAAACATACAAAAAATTTTTGTAAAAGAATTTCTTTTCAATATAGAATTAGACACATCTTTTAACACTGTAGCACTGCTATTGTCACTGGAAGCCAGAAAAAATATGCTACACTCCCTGCTAGACAGGTACTGAGTTATCGCTGTGTCTTAAACACTTACAAAGTACAGATGATGGTTTAAAATAACCTTTTTATTTTACGCTAAATTGAATATAAAGGCAAAACTTATGCTACAGATAAATCCACCATACTTGTCTATTTAAATTAAGCAAATAGAGGCAGTTAAATTAAAGCTCTACTAACTTAATCAGACTACACATAAGACTACACATGCAACAGAATAAGAGATAAGCTGGCTTATTTTACCGGCGCGCAGTTTAAAGCATTAGCTAGCGAAAATGCTAAAGCCAGAAATATCAATTTAACCAAAGCTGGCAAAGAATTAAGAGCGAGACGCGAGTGCCAAAAATCTTCTCAAGTGAAACTTCAATCCTCAGCTTAAATACACTCAAAGTTAATTTGCATTCTGGTTAGGAATACGAAAAAGAGAAATTATAGTAAAGATCAAAATCATAATAACTGGTTAAATAACATAAGCTACCTTACAACTCATATGCACAGGATGATTCAAATAACGTTAAGAAACATTTGGTTGGGTGGATTGTACAAAGGCGAATCGGAATTGAATATCACCGGAGGGTCAGAACATCTTCTTCATGAGGTAATATACAGAGAGGACGAGAAATGAAATAGCAACACATAATGAGCAAAATACACTGCTGACCACCCAAATTACAACACCAAGAATGACAAGAGATAACACAATAAAATTTATTTAGTAGATAACATGTTGACCAAGTATCAAATGATTAAATTTATAGACTTTTGTGAAATGTGGTTCTTTCCAGAATCAGTAGCCATAGTAGCCGCCATTGTTGGAGATCACCGCTGCCACACGCCTTGGCATTGATTCAAAGAGACTTTGGATGTGTTCTTGGGTACAGAAGACCAAGCAGCTTCCCCACGTGTTGCCCTAAGTTGATCTGGTGGGACAGCTTGAGGTGTAATCTAGGTCAATCGTTCAGCAACCATGGACCACATGTTTTCAATCAGCGAAAGATCCGGAGAGCGAGCCGGCCAGGGAAGTAATTCAATCTGGCGATTGGCGAAGAACGCTTGGACAATGCGTGCCACGTGTGGTCGCACATTGTACTGTTGAAATATGGTTGTGGGCAAGCCCTGAAGGTAAGAAAGGGCAACTGCCTACAACACCTCGGAGATGTAGCGCTGGCTGTTTAAAGTACCGGCAATGCGTACTAGAGGAGTGCGAGAGTGATATCCATTACCGCCCCATACCCGGTGCAGGACCGTGTGCAGGACCAGTGTGGCGGTGTATAACTTCAGCATCCTCTCTCCACGGTGTTTCCAGACTCGAATTCGATTAATTGGGCTGTATCTTTCAACATCTTTCTGATAAATTTTCACAGAATTCCTTCTGTTCGCGAAATGTTTTCCATTGCACTTCATGACCATGGCAAGACCTCATCTGAATTGTAGTAATGTTACATTTCTAATCTGGGAGCATATTTTAATTGAAGATTTCGTTTCGGAATACTTCATGCTTATGTTCGCATCTATGCAATTTTGACTTTTATCGCACAGAATAGAGTAGGTATACTACTCATTTGGTGATTCGTTAAGTGTGCACAAACATTGGAAGATTAGGCTGCACAACGACAAACGGAAGCAGTAATGTAGGGTTAGAAATATCATTTACAAGTATTCATCTTAACTCAAAAAATGAAATTTTGTGTCAGTAAATGGGGCGTGGCATTCATTCGTCTTAAGATCGTCGAACATAACATGCATTGATTACTTCTTCTAGGATCTCATCAAAGGATTGATGTACGAAAATTCCGCTGAAAGACAATTCCGCCTTGTAACACACATCTCTATAGATACTTTGGAAAATTTAGAAACTCCAGGAGGTTTCCCATATCCATTCTGTCAAGTTTCATGGTTGGAATGCTGATGCGTTCTTTAACCTCAATGCATCTCAAAAATCTCTTGCGAGTAATAAAAAATACACTGCTGGCCACCATAAATGCAACACCCTAAAGGAAACATGCAAATAACATGAAATTTACAACATGCATTACCGGAGGTGAAATATGCAAATGATTAAAATTTCAGCGCAGGCGCACATCACGCGCGCCTGTGGTGCTCATTATGTGTCGACCATTCTGGAGTTGCAGACAGAAGCGTGACTCGTCAGTAAAGACAATTTCATTCCATTATGCCGTCCACATCCTCCTTTCATCGCACCATTGGCGGCAGAGAAGTCTGTGGTTCTGCGTCAAGGGTAGATGAAGCAATGGACGTCTTGCGGACAGACCTCTCTGCTCGAATGGTCGCGCAGACACTGGTATGCGCAGACACTAGCGTCGAATGGTACGCGCAAACACTGGGTGATGCGTTACATACTGAATGTGTTGTGCTGTGGTTCATGATGTGACTGAACGATCCGTCACTGCCATGTGCACAATGTTCCAGTCATCACGTGAAGTGGTGCACTGAGGTAGATGTGATCGGACACGTACCTCCTGCATCCAACGTCATACCTCCTGCATCCAACGGTCAAATATCCGCATTACAGTTGTTTGGTTTCGTCCAACACGACTACCGATTTCCCTGAAAGATAATCCACACTCTCTGTAGGCCAATATCCTTCCTCTGTCGAACTCGGATACTTGATCAAACGATGATCGCTGTTTACTACGAGGCATAATTGATCGTTTTCTTGAAAAACACCATAAGAAAAACACAATTGCCTAACTTGAAATTGTCGAAAACTCCAAGCCTTAAACAGCGCTTTGAAGTGGCGCCACAGGCGCGCGTGATGTGCGTCTGCGCTGAAATTTTAATCATTTGCATATTTCACCTCCGGTAATGCATGTTGTAAATTTCATGTTATTTGCATGTTTCCTTTAGGGTGTTGCATTTACGGTGGCCAGCAGTGTATTTTTTATTACTCGCAAGAGATTTTTTGAGATGCATTGAGGTTAAAGAACGCATCAGCATTCCAACCATGAAACTTGACAGAATGGATATGGGAAACCTCCTGGAGTTTCTAAATTTTCCAAAGTATCTATAGAGATGTGTGTTACAAGGCGGAATTGTCTTTCAGCGGAATTTTCGTACATCAATCCTTTGATGAGATCCTAGAAGAAGTAATCAATGCATGTTATGTCCGACGATCTTAAGACGAATGAATGCCACGCCCCATTTACTGACACAAAATTTCATTTTTGAGTTAAGATGAATACTTGTAAATGATATTTCTAACCCTACATTACTACGTGCTTCCGTTTGTCGTTGTGCAGCCTACATCTTCCAAATGTTTGTGCACACTTAACTGAATCACCAAATGAGTAGTATACTACTCTATTCTGTGCGATAAAAGTCAAAATTGCATAGATGCGAACATAAGCATGAAGTATTCCGAAACGAAATCTTCAATTAAAATATGCTCCCAAGATTAGAAATGTAAACATTACTACAAATTCAGATGAGGTCTTGCCATGGTCATGAAGTGCAATGGAAAACATTTCGCGAACAGAAGGAATTCTGTGAAAATTTATCAGAAAGATGTTGAAAGATACAGCCCAATTAATCCAGAGCTGCTAACTTCAAAGTCTGTATATTTCTAGAAAAGGGATTAAAAAAAAAGGAAAATTTCAATATTGAGTAGAAGTTTTTCTCTTGGTCTATCATGTTGTTATCTGTACTCCTGAGCCATTATGAAGATATCTTCATTTTTTAAATGTAGCTCTTTTCATGAAGAATCTCTTCGGTTTCCAGATATAGTTCTTGTACGAGGGATAAGTTGTAGTTCTTGTAAGAGGGTTATGATTAGGATTAGTTCATTATCATTCTCTTTGGTGCCAGGTTTGGAACGAACATCTACGTTTTACTATGGCATGGCTAACACCATTTGCATGAGCAAACTTTTATTACAAGGCAACGAGACTTCGGTACACTGTCAAATGGTTTTCGTTTAATCGTTCTAGCCTTTCAGCCGAGTAAAGATGGGTAAAAGAAAACGAAAACTAGTCAATAATAATGAAATACATAAAATCATTACTGACTTCCATGAAAGTCTGTTCAAAATAGTTTGTCATTTAGTCTTAGCAAAACAGCTGCGTTTGACAATTGATGTTTCATTTTTATTGTGTTACAGTATTGGACAGTCTATTTTTTTACTGCAAACTGAATGCTTCTTAAAGTAGCAAAAGAAACGAAATCTCAGAGCGTTAACTCTGGTAATCGGGGCAGTCCGGAGGTATCTGGGCAGGTAATCCGCATTTACATGCTGCTTTAATTTTGGATTAATATCTTATTAAAATAAATGTGACTATTATATTATAGTATTCTAGTATCATAGTATTCTAGTATCATAGTATTCTAGTATCATGAATCTAGTATCAAGTATTCAGTATAGTATTCAACTATCATTCAAGTATCTACTTCTAGTATCAAGTATTCTAGTACCATACTATTCTATTATCATGAAATTTAACGAAATTAAATGATATATAACCATGCCTTGTAAAGCAGCTAATAAAGAAACATACTTGGATAGAAGGGGACAACAAATTAAACTTATTACTATGTTAAGGAAATGCGAGTAAAGGCATGCTTTTTTGTTTACAGTTTTATTCTATATATTTGCGTAACGATGCAATGGTACAGTAGAATGGGTTAGCTTATTCCACAATCAAAATAAAAAATGGTTTTAAACTGTGAAGAATATTTCTGAAGCAATTAATCAATGAAAGATCCTTCTTTTCTTACCCTTTCATCTTAGATTCAACTCCTCCGCTGTAAAGTGCATTGGGAGGTCCGCAGAGAAAAAGATGATCACTGATTCTCTAAAGGAAATAAAAAAGGGAATGGATGAATTGGATGTACTTATGCCTTTGATAAACATCAGAGGGAAAATGGGACTAGGAAAAACTACTCTTTTGAAATGGGCTCTTCAAGAGGCATCCAAAGTCGGATTTAAGTGAGTGTTTTTAAAGTGCATATATCTAGCGGAAACGTTGTTTATCATTTTCTTATATCTAAATTATCTTGTATTTAAATCATATAAATACAGTGTGTATTTAATATACGAGTTTCATTTGCGTTTGTACGCGTTTCAGTTGGATTTCGATGGGGTGCGCTTTAAAATTGTGAATTTTTGATCCCTAAAAACGTCAAAGAATGTCATTCGTGATTCAATCTATATAATTAGCATATTAGAATTAAGAAATCCTTTGGACTGTTATGCAGCATCCGATACTGGGCATCAACACAGTGATTTTTCTGTAATTCTATTTTTCATTGTTAGAAGAAACGGTCGTCAATGCAGTGATGGCCGCTTCGTTATCAATATGCACTGCGTTATAGCCAACTGAATTTATACCAACTGAAATTCATTGAAAGATGAAACTATAATACAGTGATTCGTATCTGTCTCTGAAACAAGTGTGCAACGGTGTAGGAAGTTCAAAAGTGGTTAGACGTGGCGTCATTTGTATGGAGAAGCTGATCTTACCAGCATGAAAATTCATAGTCATCCACTTCTGGGTTTCAAACTAAATAATTTGGGAACATTACAGAGAAAGGAGAATAACAGTAATTAGTGCTTCTAAAGCAGATCTGCTCAAAAATCATCATAGCCTTCTAATCAAGAGTAAACGACAGACTTCTAACTAGGAGTTCTGTATAACAGTGCCTATTCAGAAGTCAAACAACAAAAATCAGCATTATTTTTGTTGTTTGACTTCTGAATTGGTATTTGTTCGGCGTGTTATTGTGTCTTAATTATAACAGTGCCTGTTTAACGATTACGTCAATCCGGGCTATGAAATATGAATGTCTCATATATCCACCTTTTTCACCAGACTTTGGACCCAATGAATTCTATGTGATATGGCAGCTGGAAACGGCAATGGGAGGCAAGCATTTTCGAAGCGACGAAGAGGTCAAAGCGCATGCATGAGTAGCTATAATCGTAACGACAAAATAATCTTTGCGTGACGTATTTGTGCACTTTCCAAGTGCTGGAAAAAATTCATTGCACTTCATAGGTAAATACATGGAAAAATTATTATACATATAATGTTCCTACATTTCCTTACTGGCCTTACAATAAATACTCGAGGTTTTCATCTAAATCATCCTCCTAAATTTATGGAAGACGTAGCCACTCATGCGGTTTTCACCTCTTCATCGCTTCGAAAAGGTTTGTCTCCCATTGCCATTTCCGCCCGTCATTCTATTTTGATTCTATTGTTGAGGAATTCAGTGGCTCCATAGTCTGGCGAATAGGGTGCGTACGTGACACCACTCGGATCAAAGAACTTGTATTACTCATGTAATGACAAATTACTACTGGAGCTTTAAACGAGGTAAGACGCGTTATAAAATGTACCATAATAGCTTTTACGAATTCAATAAAAATTCATTTTTCATAAGAAACCTGAATTTCGAAAAGTGCTAAATTTATTCGAACTTTAACAAACATTTACATTCAGACATATATGTTTGTTTATTTTATGTTATGTAATAAAAGTTATGTAACTAAATTGTCAAATTTTAAGTACTCTTGGATTTGAAAAAATGTTTCAAAATTTAAATTTGTTTAATGCTAAAATCATATTAAATTTTAATAACTATTAATGTAAGCAATACTTGAAGATTTCAGAAGCTTCTTGAAAATCACAGTTGAGGAGGATGATTAGTACGAGCAATGATTTTAGCATCCGAAAATTTAAAGCTGTTATTTCTATCGTGACAATGAGGTTGCAATACGTAAATTTTCATACTTGAAAAAGTGTTCTCAGTCATAGAAGCAATATTTCTAATAATTATAATATTTTTATTATTGCTAAAATGTGAATTCAAAATATGTCTCACATATATTCTTTTAGGTGATGTAAATTAATTTTATGATTAACTTTTTCATCTAGGTTTATAATACCAGTAAATAATCATGTTTTTGAAGAAACATACGACAATGCCTGGAGTATCGTAAACTCTATTCTTCAACAATGCTTAATGGACACTGAAGAAAAGATTTTAGCATCGATTGGCAAAGATGCTGAAAAGTTCCCATTGTATTTACTCAATAAGCATTTGAATACTTCGGTAATATGTTCCATTCTACCAATTTAAGATATATGTAGCATGTTGGCCATTTTTAAAGAAGGGAACATTTTATCATCAAATAAAATTAAATATATTTAAATTGTATATTTAGCGAGATTTAATCTGCACCATTTTTAACCACATTTACGAAACAGATAAGGCATTTCCGCATTCGTGATATTACTTTGATTTTATGTTTTTCTCTGAACTCAACACGTCACTCAAATTAACTAATAAAATCTTTTTGAACTCCTCATTCCATAAAAATGTTTTTCCACTTTTGGAAACTAGTAGAAGTCAGAATCATTATCTTTGACTGCGACATATTGTTGCGTGCGTACGGGTTCGTTATGAAATGAATGCACAAGTCCAATGAAAAATGAACAAAAATTTATTATTATCACAACAAAAATGCTTAAATTTTCTCAAATTATCATGCAGTATTACAATATCTCACAGTAGTTATCTTTTAACTACTCAAATATCCAATAGAACGTAATTCAAAACAGCTAAAGAACGCTAATCCGCGAATTCGCTACAATCAACAAGAGCAGTTTCTAAACAACAACAAACTAAGCAACTACTACAAACTGAGATGTTTTCCTCCTTTTATAAGATTTTTAAAATCACGCGCTAGAATTTTCCAGTACTTTCTCGAAATCAAAAAGAGATATTATTTATTTAATGCAAGCGCTCTTGTATTTTCAATTTTCCGGACTTAGCTTTCTTTTAATATTCGTCACGCGCTGCACTGCGCGAGAAATAAAACCATTTAATTTATAATTGAACTAACATTAGCTTTTTAAATACCAAATTCGTAACACTGCCCCCTTCCCAAGGACTGCACGTCCCGGGCAGTACAATCCCTGGACAGGAAGCCAAACTTACAACTGTGGCGTAAATGCATTAATAAGCATTACATTACAATAACAAACAACATGAAAAATAAATGCAATAGATAACTTAAACAAATGCTATCAAATACAAATCAAATACTAAATGCAAATCAAATACTAAATACACATTTAAAAACAAAAAGGACCATGGTCTTACACTATTTACAATTATTTACATTACGTACTATGGCCATTGTAGTGAGCTAACATGTCGTAATGAACGACTTTAGGTTTAGAGTTCGAACACTTACGGATCATGACGTCATTCAGTCTCTTCAGAACTGTATATGGACCATCCAAAGGTGACTGTAGTTCAGGCCTGACTCCTTTTCGCCGAATCGGGTTCCACAACCACACCTTGTCTCTTTTGTTGAATCTATGTCCATTAGCTCTCGCGTTGTATCTGGTCTTCACTTTCTCCGTCGCCAAGTTCACTCGCTTTCGTGCGGAACGGTGCATCACTTCAAAACGGGCCTTGACATCTTGGATGTGTTCCTCAGGCGATGAAGGCGCATCCGTACGGCGATGAAACAGGCGGTCACAAGGCAGACGAAGGTCTCGACCGAAGAGCATCTGAGATGGAGAATAGCTGGTAGTCTGGTGTTTCTTTTCGACCCTAGCATGATTTCGGCTGTTTTTCTCGAGCTGGTTCTTTCGGACAAAGCGTCGGCATTTCCAGGTGAGGATCCCTTCTTAGGATGGATAGTCATGTCTTCAGATCCTGAAAGCAGTTTGTTGTTTTTCAAGTCTAAGGAAAAATTGTATTTCCTTAAAAAGTCCAATCCGAGTATGCATGGATCTGTAATATCCGCCACATATGCCGTGTGATGGTAGGCGGCACTTCCGTGATTTTCACGTTTAACTTCCCAGTCTATGTCGATCTTGTCACCAGACAGACGCAGTCTGAAGGGTAACACAGGATGGCGTCCAAATAAGTTTATCTTTAAACTGTTCAGCTAAATCTTTCCTAATGATGGTAACATTAGCTCCTGTGTCAATGATCATATCGCAAGGAACTCCATCGATATTCCCATTGATGGACAGTCCGTTATTGTTGCCACTCACTATAGATTCTTAAGCGCTTTAAAACAAGGGTTTTTCACTATCTGGCAACCTCCGTTCCTATGGTCATAATTGTTTTGTTTCCTGCGTCGTTGCTGGGAAATTTTCTCAATTTTCCGTACCCGGGGTGTTCTGCAGTTTCTTCGTATGTGGCCTTCAACTCCACAGTTCCAGCCCTTTTGTTTCTTGTCAGTCCTTTTCCTTTCCGTGGCATTGAATTGTCTGTTTAAATCGTATGCCTTATTTTCCGTGCTGGGGAATTCTGCAGTTCCTTCGTAGGTGGCCTTAACACCACAATTCCAGCACTTTAGGGTCGGTTTTTGTTCACCACTATTCCGTCTTAAAGCATTCACTGGTCTTGTCAATTCATTCCGTTTTATTATCCGTGCCTTGGGGTGTTCTGCAATGCCCGTCGTAGGTGACCTTCAGAACCACATCTCCAACACCTTACAGCCACTTTGTTCTCACTGCTACTCCGTATCAAAGCGTCGACTTGTCTGGATAAATCATCTAAACGAGCCATCAATTGATCCACTGGCTCATGGACTCGCACAGCTCTGACTGGCTAGCGATCTCTAAGAGTTGCTTGCTGGGCTGCCTCCGAATTTCACGGCGTACAAACAAGAGCGCTTTTTACATCCTTTACATCTGCCATTCGTAGAGCTTTCTGTATTTCAGGATCTCGGATGCCGTCGATGAAAGTATTGTAAGGGACAGGATTTCCCTTGTTTCTGTCGGGCACTTCCGAAAAGGCGATGATGGGACAGCCTTTCAACATCCGTGGCGAGCTCCTGAAGTGATTCGGTGGGCTTCTGTTGACGAGATTTTAATTGAGCCTGCTGTAGTCTTTTAAACATTTCTCGCCGAAGCGCAGCTCCAATGCGCCGGACAGAGCTTCGAAATCTGACCTTTGTTTTCGGGAAGAGTCTGCAGGATATCCGCTGCGTCTGCTCTCAAAGAAGCGGCGAGATGACAGGCCTTAGCTTGGGAATCCCATCCATTCGCATCCGCCACGATAGAAAATTGTTTTATACACTTGCCAGGAGGTCTTCCCATCATATGTGGATAGCTTCAGAGATGACGAGCAGGCATCGGTAAGAATTTAAAACCATCACTATTATTCCCTGCCGTCGCTACGAATTTCTTTAAAATATCCACTTCTTTGGCTACTGCAAACCCTATCATCAATTTGTTGTTCGATTTGGTGTTGGACGGCACAAACTCTTCCTTCAATTCGTTCCTCCACAGCAGAAACTCTCCCTTCTATATGTTCTTTAACAGAAGAAACTTTTCCTTCTATTTCTTCTTTCACCGAAGAAACTCTTTCTTCAATTTGATCTCTTACGGAAGAAACTTTTTTTTCAATTTGTCCAACTTTATTTTCAACTGCGTCAATTCTGCCTTCTATAGCTTCAAATTTATTTTCTATTATGCAGGTAATTTCTCTTTTCATTTCTTCCTTAACGGATTCCTGGCCCAATTTCATTTCTTCCTTAACGGAGTTGACGGCCTCTTCCATCTTTTCTTGGAAAGCAGCAAATGCAGTCATCATTTGCCTGAATTGTGCTTCCATCGCTCTTGTTATTGGCATTCAAATCCCACTCCTGACACCAAAAATTGTTGCGTGTGTACGGGTTCGTTATGAAATGAATGCACAAGTCCAATGAAAAATGAACAAAAATTTATTATTATCACAACAAAAATGCTTAAATTTTCTCAAATTATCATGCAGTATTACAATATCTCACAGTAGTTATCTTTTAACTACTCAAATATCCAATAGAACGTAATTCAAAACAGCTAAAGAACGCTAATCCGCGAATTCGCTACAATCAACAAGAGCAGTTTTCTAAACAACAACAAACTAAGCAACTACTACAAACTGAGATGTTTTCCTCCTTTTATAAGATTTTAAAATCACGCGCTAGAATTTTCCAGTACTTTCTCGAAATCAAAAAGAGATATTTATTTATTTAATGCACGCGCTCTTGTATTTTCAATTTTCCGGCTTAGCTTTCTTTTAATATTCGTCACGCGCTGCACTGCGCGAGAAATAAAACCATTTAATTTATAATTGAACTAACATTAGCTTTTTAAATACCAAATTCGTAACAATATATTAAAAAGTCATTATCGTCTAGAGATCCAAAATGAACATCATAGCAATCATGTATTGTTTTGTGCTTTGATTTGTAAATAATTTCAGGATATAAATTAGCCAAAATTTCGTCATTTTGAGACAATTTCATATCAAGAAATTCTAAAAACGTTTCTTTTATATTTTTTTCGAACATTCGGGATCTCCTCTGAGACATCGCTTACCGTTTTCCTTGACATGTAGCTTCATTTGAAACATTATCTTCCTTGAGTTAAGAAATCAGTATGATTTTTCAAAATTTGCCTCATTTATGATAAACTCCATAGAACTTAATTCTTTAGTAACATATTTCAATTAGCATCGTTAATAAAGAATTGGAACATGCAAAACAAACGGCCCCAAATGAAAAGTTAATATGAGTCACCTATTTTGAGGCAATATTTTCTGATGACTTGTGCCATCAGAAGACGTAACTGTTCTTAATATTTTAAATAAGCCAGTTACTTTAAGATATCACCTATATCAGTATTTATTTTTGTCTTTATTCCTGTAATTAAGAATTAAAAATCTCAGCTACTTTATTATTATTTTCTGTGAGTCGCAGCATTATGCGGATTGCATAAATTATGTTTTTGATTTTAATGATTGCTTACTAAATCACGTCACATACAAAAGCATTGATATGCCAATTAATAATTTTTCACCTCTTCTTCCTATTTAGATGATACAAAATGATGTTCTCTAATTCGAGTAACTTTAATTAGTGTTTAAATAGGGTGAAAAAGTGGCAACGCCAAAAACTACGCAACAAAACCAAGAATATCGCGTATACCACACGTAAACTACATACCTACCTTACCTCTCAAAAAGACTCGTCCTGCCTACGTCACGCGCATGCGGAGTGACGCGAAGAACGGATCCTTGTATTAGCTCGCGGTCTAAAGTAAGTGTTGTCAGGATGTTTTCAAAACAAGAACAACGATGTTGGATAAAAATTGAATGTGCCAGAGGTCGTACAGCACGACAGTGTCATCAAGGGCTTCAAGAGGCTTGCGGGGAATCTGCATTGCCTTACAGAACCATAGCAAGATGGGTGAAAGCATTCAATGAAGGACGCCAAAACGTGGCAGACATGCTGCGGCCAGGTCGTCCGAGTGTCAGCGATGCAGACGTGCAAGCTGTTGCCGCACTAATGGACAGTGATTCGCCGCCAAACGGATTCGTCAGCTGGCCGGACAAACAGGATTAGCGCATATACGACTGTGCTGCACATTCTGAAGGAATGCCTGTCCATAAGAAAAATTGCTTCACGATGGGTTCCACATCAATTGACGGAAATGCAGAAATGGCTACGATACAATGCTGCCCGAACCCACCTGGAGCGCTATGAGCGCGAAGGAGATGCTTTTTTACGCCGTATCATTCATTACGCTGGATGAGACTTGGGCGCGATCGTACCAGCCAGAACTGAAACGCCAATCAAACGAATGGTGTCATCACAGGTCACCACGACGTTCGAAATTTCGTCAGAACCCCAGCAATGTGAAAGTTATGGTGATTCTCGTGTACAACTGTGATGGTGTCATTCCTAACACATACCGTTCCCCCACAGCAGACCGTCACTGCGCAGTATTACTGCTCATTTTTGGAGCACAATCTCCGACCAGCTTTGAGAAAAAAACGGCGACACTTTCTGCAGAATGCTCCTCTCATTTTGCATGACAATGCTTCGGCCGCATGCAGCGCAAGCTGTGACTGATTTGTTCAAGCGATGGGGCTGGGAAGTGCTTTACCATCCACCATACTCCCCAGATCTAAGCCCCTTGTGACTATGGACTTAATTCCTAAGGATGAAGGAACCACTTCGTGGCACTTGCTTCCAAACTGTTCCTGAGATTCTTGCGGCAGTAAACCGGTCCATTCAAACTATCAACAAAACAGGTGCTGCTACAGGTATTCTGCGACTTTCACACATCGTTGGAAACGGGTTGTACACAATGCTGGCGACTATATTGAAGGACTGTAAAACATGGTGACATGAATCACTTTTGAATTCCTTGTAAATGAATAGTTGCCACTATTAAAGTTCCAACCCTCTCATATTTTCGAGAAAATTGAATTTTAATTACTAATTCATCTTATATCGAATGGATCAGATCCTAGATTCAGTTATGTTTACTGCTTATCGAAGATACAGAAAGTAGTAATTTGAGCTTTGCATTTTCTTATGTAAATAGCAAAATAACATGCATTTATATTGGTGCTAACAGCATAATAAATTGTATTGTTGATACTGCATTTCATGAAATTAAACGTCAGATTGAATACAAAATGTGCCAAAAATAACTAACCACCTGCATGACTGCTGTTTCCTTCCCTCAACTTCAATTATTCTTATTCTACAAACCTTTTTTTTTTTTTTTTTTTTTTTTTTTTTTTCAAGAAATTGCTAAAAATAGCAAAAAACGTATTACGTTACACCACGCCATACATCTGATTATACGAAAATGCTCATCTCTCAGGATCATTGTCAACACAGTGTACTAAGAGGATGAAGAATTCAGGCTCAAATATCGGGCAATGCATGGATAATTGAAATTGCAATGCTTATGCAGAGAAATTGTACTTGTCCGCATAAGACTTCCTTGCTTCCTTCTTTGGAACTTCTTCGGATCTGGCGAACTTAGGGAAAGGCAGATGTATTCTCTCGTGCGAAAATATGCATACTGTCGTACAAAAGCTTTGTAGCTCTATGGCGCACAAAAGTTCTATCATTCTCAGTGTGACTCATAACTTGAGTCTTGCTTCTTTTAGAGGTATGTTTGTCATATAAGAACTTCCAGCAACTACTACGTTATTCCTATATACAATCTTTATTGATATATTACACATGATATTTACAGACTACGCAAATCCATTTTCTTTTCTCAGGTTCTCACACACGCACACCAGCCTCTTCCTTGTTAATCTTTTTTACTCCCCCCCTCAAACCTTCCCTCGGCTCACCAGTCCTCTCGACCGCTTTTTTTGGTGTTCTCCCGTCATAAATCGCAATCCTAAAAATTCATTTTGACAGCGAAACATATGTGTAAATTTAGAATGTTTAGGAAAGGCGTGTTCCGAAATAAAAGTAACTATTAGAAAAGTAAAGCAAAACCCTACACTGTATCGAAATGTATCTGATATTCATATTGATGACATACATAAGCTAAACTGACTTAATTTTTACAAATTTTTGTTGACAGTCATCGAAGAATGAGCCTGTGGTTGTTGGTATTGATAACGCTGAGCACACAGGCACAGAATCATGGCTATTTATACAAGAACTTCTCATCACTCATACAGCTTGTGTCATCATGACTTTCACAGAGGAGTTTGATTTCAGTGTGCCGTTCATCAAGAACTTCATCAAACAACAATACCTATGCATCGTTCTCGAACCGTATAATGAAGAGGAGCTGGGAAATCTCATTTGTCAAGTGCTCAATGTGGAGGCCATACACAAAGGTTTTCTTAGGTGAGTAACTTTAAAATGCACCAGAAAATTAGCAGTAATAATCAAGCGTAGGATAACAATAATAGCAATCGAAAAATGCTGAAATTATTGGTCTTGTACTAATACTTTGCCAATCCCGTAAATCAGCTTTTTCGCACAGGTATGTCATGAGGGTCCACGAGATGTGTCCCAAAAGTTTCTAATTTTAGAAGGCAGGCTTATGCTATTCAGAAAAGCCTTCTACATAAATTCCACTTCTAAATAAATTCATATTTACGTGAAGCCTTTTAACGGAGTTTTCGTACTATGCTCAAAAAATGCCGTAACACTCTAAGATGATATATTTTAATGCTAGAGAAGGATTATTAAAATCTTAACATGATTACAAGAGGTTATATTTTTAATTTATCTAAATGGTACGAGGAATTGTAAGAAAAAAGATAGTGAAAAAAAAAAAGAAAATGTAGTAGAATGCAGCACATTTTTCTGTGGGAAATTAATTATGCATCTGCGTTAGGACTATAAATTAAGTGTGTTACCGAAAAGTATAAATAATATTTTCTGAAAGTAATAAGGCATGTTTATTAATAATATAAATGTTGACTAATCTAATGTAATATAAATAATGGAAATTAATTATGTAAGCTGTAAAAGAAATGTCAAATAGCTGTCATAAATATCCCAGTTAAATAATTTGAATTTATTACATTTTGTTTTTGTTACCTGTTAATTTCAAAATTTACTGTTCATAAGATTTACAAAAAGATTAAATTTGATAGCAATGGTGTTACATGTATATGTTCTCCGTGCCCATGGTTAGTAAATATGTAATCGTCGATCAATTCGTAATTTTAGTAAATCATTTCACGCAATCAAAATTATGTATGGAATATAGGGTGCATAGGTGATGGTATCTTTGTAGCAAATGCATCAAAAGTTCTATGTGCACTGATCTGTTGTTGGCCTGGTCTTTATTTGGTTCTAGTGTCTTCCATTTGCAACATACAGTAAGGCGGAAAAGTCCTGGTAATTTATGCAAAAGGTTTTTTTAATGCATGATAGTACGCACCCTCGTATCTATGCGAACTGTTTCTTTCTTCCTTCCTTTGAAAAGTCTTTTATGAAATGTCAATCCCAGTTGAAAGAGGAAATGAAGAAGGCTGTATCGAACCTTTGATGAAGAAAATTCAAAGAAACTCTTCTGAATAGCAGATTTTTAACAAAAAGGCATCTTAGGTTTTCTTCGCCGATTTCTGGATAACTATCTTAATGCTAGTGGAGATTTCATGTAAATAAAGCAAAAGAATCGCCTTCCGGAAGAAATGCATTTGACCGCTCCTTAGTTTAGAGAATTACATGAATAAGGCAAATATTCCAAAGCATTAATTCTTAAGGCCTTAATAACTTAATAATGATGTCTGTTTTAACAGCCCTTATTTTTATCTTCTATATTTTCACAGATAACTTTAAGAACGTTTTATTAACTGTGCTCTGTCATTTTAAGAAAGAAAAGAAATCTATACTACCTACTCTGGGTCGATGCACTAAAAGTATTAAATATACTGCTTTGCATGTAATTCGAAATGTGTCCTATAAATTTCCTCACAGCTATTACAGAAAACCTTTGTTATTCAAGATATCAGCTTTATGGTCATTTACTTATACATACCTTGAATACGTAAGGTATTACAGCACAGTGTTCGCCAACCGGTGGTCCGTGAAAACCTTTTGATGGTCAGAAAAATTGGGACATTATTTATATTTTTATGAAGATTCAGTTTTAAAAATGACGAGTAACAAAGCCTGTTATGGAATATGGATTATACTTTTTCTTTTAATTTTAGCTACTACTTTTAGCGAAATTCCTTCTGAATTTCACTACTTTTGCTGGTGTATCTAGAGACGTTTGAAGGTGAGAGTTGGCATCCGAGGATATGCTGTTGTTATCAGTAATACCGCGAACTGGAATTTTTTTTCCTTTTGAATTACAAACATATGGTATTGTGGTTGTTAATAACACGTTTTTCTCCGGGTAATAAACATCTTGACAGATTTTTATGAGAACCATCAGCATTCTTATTTTTAGTTGCATCTCTGGAAGTTTCCGTTTTTGTTTTGTCTAACTGTTGATCGATGGCGCCATTGCTGAGTAAGCAAGGATTATTATGTTTACAGTAATTAAAAATTGGCGGCATAAAGCTGTCAGTTTATTAGTTTATTGATACTGCTTTGCGTTTGCCCGTTTGTTCTTGCTTTTGGTGAAGTTCCTTTTCAGTGATATGGAAAGGTGAAGCTTTTTGTACAAGAACGTAAGATTTTTGTACTTTCATGTAATTTTTCAATGTGGACAAAATATGTCTAGTTTGCTGATTATTATTGCATAAATATATTTACCTTATTTCAATTCATATTAGTTGTCCGCCAAATATAAAAGTATATATGTAGTGGTCCATGAAGGTCTGAATGTTGACGACCGCTGTTATATAGCAAGTTGATTTACCATTCATTCGTTCAGTTGTTCGTTTATAAAACAACTAGATCTCACCGGCTTATAGTAAATATCTTTAGCAATTGAAAGAAAACACAGTTTCAATCACGTAGATAGATTTTACACCACCAATTAGAATGCTGAAAAAAAATTAAATAGATGCAGTATCAAAATTCTCTGTTAATAATAACCCTCACAATTAACGCATTTATTACTTCACCCCATTTATCCATACATTGGTTATGCTATACTACTTGGTAAAGTGACTTATTTCAAAATGCATAAAAAGAAACCGGTAACAATATTCATAATAATTAGAAATTTAATGATATGAGGATTTAATTTTATTTTATGCTGCATTTATATGTAGTTCTAATTTTTCAAAACTAAGATGCGAATAATGATGTATGAAATTTAAGCTTTTTTAGGGAACAGAGCCAAGGAAATGCCCTCAGATTACAGGAAATACTTATGTTACCGATTCTACAGAAGCACTTTTGCATAGTTCCTATTATCAGCGTAACAAAAAGCACGCTGGAGAGTAACTTCCAGATCGCAGAAAACGCAGAACTTGATCCATCAAAAGCAGTAAGACAATTTTTAAAGTTAATAATGCAGAATTTATATATACAGTAAGACCCCGCTTAACGCTGTTTCGTTTAGCGCTGTTTCGGTTTAGCGCTCTTTTATTTCAACCCGGGGATTCCACGAAATCGCTCGCAGCATACGGGGATTCCCCGAAATATTATGCAGCGATAGGTTTCAAATACATATCCGAAAGAGTGTACTTGTATTTCTTGTTTTGTGCGGTATTGTACAGACATATTTTGAATGGGTAAATGTGGAAGATGTCGAAAGAAATAATTCAAGAAGTAGCGGCTAGTCTTTCTAATGATGAGCTCAAGGAATTAACTGAACAAGAAGAAAACAAAATATTGACAGCAGTGATTCAGAAGAAGAGCAAAAAGAACTTTCGATGGCGTTTTGTAAAAAGGAGTTTGTCTACCATAACTGAAATAATGGATCAATTCATTGAAAATGATCCATTTTGACAGGAGTTCAAAAGTAAGGCGTGGTGTTAGAGATGCTCTATCCGTTATGAAGAACTTTTAGAGAACAACGCAAAAGAAAAAGGCAAACAACATTAGATGCTTTTGTCACAAAAGGCAGAACACTGAAAAAGCGGAAGGCTAACTAAATATGACTGACTTAGAATTTATTTGTTTTTTTGAAGAATATTCTTTTTGTTATTTATATTTTGTTTTTATTTTTGCAAGAAATAATAATGTGGTATTAATTTGGGCTTTAAGAAATAAATGTTTGGTTTTATTTTTATTAAAAAAACATACTTTTTAAATTTAATACCTAACCAATTTCCTAGCCATCTTCCCCTAACCCCAATATTTACATGTAAAGATAGCCTCGTTTAGCGCTGTTTCGCATTACGCTCTACTTTGATGGAACGTATCCCCCGCGTTAAGCGGGGTCTTAGTGTATATATATTTGTAATAATAAAACTCCATAGTCAAGAATACACTTAAAATTCTAACTGTATGTTCTTTTCATTTTTAATGGCGACGGTCTCTTATTTGAAAGTACGTGGAATTAAATCCACAGCCCCGTAGTCAGTTGTTTTTCCCTCCTTTTCTACACGTACAGTCATAAAATGTTCTGGAAATATTTAAAGCGAACTGGAATGGCTGACGTCATTTCTTGGAAGCTCCGCCTTTCCAGAGGCTATAAAAGGACTCGCAAAGGAATATCGGGGTCTTTTCTTTAATGTAACGATGCAGTAAACTTCATATCAAAAAGTTATTAGTAGTTTCTTTTTATTTACTCCGGAAGATCATGATTTTTGTAACTGCTACTTTCCTTCCTGAAATATAATAAATGGATTCTGTTTTTTAAACTTATCGTCTGATAATTTAAGTAACGACTACATCTGTGATTCTTCACCAATCTATTTATTCCGGACAAAAGCTGGTACATCACATATATATATATAATTGTATAGCGTCTTTGAAAAGATTCAAGTAGCATAGCAAAGTTGCTAAGGAAGCACTTTTCTCGCTAAAATAAACTAGATGTGCTATTTTCTGCTAAACTTCTTATGTTAACTGACTTCATTATTTAACTTCCGTGTAGAATACATACAGTTAAAAGTAACTTTAAGGTTCCTCATTCTTATCTTGCTAAATGTAATGTCGAAGAACCTAGTGAACTAATAAGCGAATTATCGCCTAGTCCAAGAACAGAAACGTAAATTCAAGTAGGGTTAATTACACTTTATTTGCTCAAAATAAAGATTTAACAGTTGGCCCCTTTCTCAGGGCGTACAGCAAAGCCTTCACTCGGGCTTAAATTCAAAATGTAAGAATTAGGAAATAACGAAGGTCTAATTAAAAAGATTTAGCAGAAGCTAACACAATTCTAAACTAGTTGAGCCGTAATATTAAATTAGCCAGAGAAGCTATCAAAAGCACATAATACAGCTGAGCGTAGTAACAGTTCGAGAGATGTAGCCAAAAGGCAAACGCGTGCTATTCAGGCTATTCACAGTGCTATTCAGGTTATTCACAGTGCTATTCAGGCTATTCAGTGCTATTCACGCGTGCTAATCTTAACTCTCTCTGGTGAAGTCAGTGGAACTTTGACTTAAATACTACTCTATTTCTCATTTGCATTTAATGCGTTTCTCAATCTGGTAAGGAATTGTAAGCTGAGGGCAGAAGAGATAGGAAAGTATCATAAAATAACTGTTCTAAAATTAAAATATACCTTTCAAACTTTTTTATAAATTCATAACTGTTTGCTCACTTTTAAACATTTTATTTGCTCTCACTTAAAAATTAGAACTTTGCTACAATTATTTTAGATCTAGTAGTCTGTAAAAAGTAAACCGGAACACCATCTACATAATCGATGGTCGTTACAAAGATCCCTAATGGTCTTAAGAAAGGACGTTATATTAAATGGTTATTATAATAAAAGTGTAATTAGTATATATGTTATATAGTTAGTCAGGGGTGGCCAAGCACCTTTATAGTCCGAGCCATTTTTCAAAATTTGAAATTTTTCGCGAGCCGCAATTAAATACGTATTTAAAAGGTATGCAAAAAAGGTATTAATATTTTTTTACAGAAACTATATTTGTTGAAAACATATAAATAAAAGTATAAAATATGTGTATTGAATTTAAATATTAAAAATTAAACACATTTATTTTACTTCTCTTGTTAATTCTTTAAAATTTGGTGAATAATTGGTGACAGCACTTCTCAGTAATTCTTTGAGATGCTTGTTAGTTAATAGTGTTTGTATTTCACGAATTTTAAAGTGGAATAAAATAATTCACACAAGTAAGTTGTTCCGAATATTGAAATAATTCGACAAGCAGCCTTTTTTAATTCGGGATACTTTGATTCTGGTACAAATTTCCAAAATTCAGTAATCGGCGTCGACTTATATTTTAATTGTAGAGCTTGATCTTCTTGAATCTCTATTAATTCTAATTCTCCAGATGCTTTTTGGGTCATATTTATATTAGAAATGGAAAATTCACCTTGAATTATGTTAATTTCAAATGGATTCAGAAAAAAATCAAGAGACGATTTAAAAAATTTCAAGTCTTGAAATCTATTTTGGAATTCCGTCAATATTCCTTCTAGCTTTTTTATATACTCGTTGAGTTTTCTTTTTTAATATTAAAACAAATTTTTTTAATTCGAGGAAAATGACAAGATGTTTTATTTTTAATGTCCTTTTGAAAAAGTTATAATTTAGTTTGAAACTAAATATATACTGTGAGAGGTAAGATATTATTTTATCTTTCCCCTGCAATTGTAAATTCAGTGTTTGCAAATGTTCCATGACATCAGTCAAAGACATTAAGTCTTGTAACCATTCGTCATCGTCTAATTCTGAATAGGTTATTTCCTTTTCTTTTAGAAATGCAGTTATCGGATCAAATAAATCTACAAATCGATTTAATACATTGTATCTAGATAACCCCCTAACAATGGAAAAGAAATTAATGTCATTTGGAAGAAAAGAAAGTAATGACTTCGTCCTTTAATTCTTCAAGGAAATTTTTGAAATTGTCGATGATTTTTTGCATTGGTGCGAATGCAATTTACAAGTGTGTAACACTGTTTTCATAACATCAGGATATTTTAAATATTTTTGTAACGAGGATGTTCTCCGGTGAATTATGCAGTTGAATCGGTATGAATTGTGGAATCATTTGAGAATCATCTCTTAAAAGCCCAATAAGACCGATTTTTTTTTTTTTACCCAGCAGCATTGCCGGAGCTCCATCAGTTGCAATGCTTACAAGTTTATTAAGAGGCACATCAAAAGTTTTCACTAATGGAAATCTAATGCATTTTTAATATCGACACCACGGGTTGACTCTTGAAGTGCCTACTAAATCTAATATTTCTTCTTTAACAACGAAGTCAGGTGAAACAAAATTTTAAAAAACTGCCAATTGCAGAAGATCTGTGATATCTGTCGATTCGTCAAGGGCTAAGCTGAATGCAATACAGTTTCTTCAAATAATCCTTTTTAAAATTATATTCAAGAGATGTATTGATGGCAGTTATGCGCCGTTCGGTTGTGTGTCTCGAGATGGGAATTATGAGAAACAACTTTGTGCAATGCTGCGTTATTTGAGATCTATAAACTTTAAGGTACATCTTTCCAAGTTTTTTTTAATAAACTCTCCCTCTCCAGTACAGGCATTGTGCAACGAGCAAGCAATATTCCAGGCAATAACAAAACTGGCTTCAGCCACATTATTAGCTTGATTTCTAAAGGTCATCATAAACTGACTGTATGTATTTAAACTGATTTTAAAGAAGCAAGTTTATCTGATCTTAATTTGGAATTTAATGGATACTGATTAGAAAACTGATTATGATTGGCTTCATAATGTTGACTTAAATTGCCAGCTGTACAATTTTTGAATGTAGAATTATAAATAACACATAATTCTTTTCCGTTATTGTCAATAAAAAAGAAATTCTCTTCCCAATCATTATTAAAACTTGCTCGCATTTTTCTTTTTTATTTCAGTTCTCTATTCATATTTTTAAAAGAACTGGAAATAAATAAATTTAGAAAAATACAAATTTTGTGTTATTAAAACAATAACAACACGTGTTACATACTACGAATAAATTCACGTCTCATAATTTACGAGGCAGTCGAAGGGGAAGAAAATCCGACGAACGGAACTGTTACACCACTGTTTATGTTCGTCCGCGCAGTTTTCGATGAGTGATATCATTCTTAACTTGGACGGAAATGAAATTTGTTACAACGTTGCACTTAGTCTTTCATATTTGTTGTCAGTAATTTAAAAGACATTTTTGAAACAGGCCCACCAGCGGCCGAGCGGTAAATTCGCTGAACACTGGTAGTTCAGTCTGAGGTTCGAATTCCGCGAACGGGCTGGCTGCATGGGCGTTTTCGTGGTTTTATCCATGTGTAACGTATATATGAGCCATTTTCCCTTAGAAAGTCCTCCACGAAGGCATCCCTCCCCTTAGGCAGATAGCCCTAAAAGCTTTGCCATAATCACACACACACATTTTGAAACATAGTATACGGAACGATAATAATTTTTTAAAATATAACACAAAAATGAAAAGGGAACTCGGGTACATTTATCGAGAGCCACAAATAATCCTTCAAAGAGCCGCAGGTTGGCCACCCCTGGTATATGCTAATAAGCTGAAGAATTTTTGCACCAATGGTTATTATGGAACGGTCGCTATAATGAACATCATTGTAACGTACATTGACAGCCTTTATGAAGCTGTTGTGAGAATTTGCATCACTCACTGATTAATATCATTCAAGGATAATTTTGTTAAATTAATTGTTAATTTGTGTGTACAGTTTGAATATTCTTTCTTTTTGAACTGCTGTGACACACTGTTTAGTAAAACTAAGTTTTTCATTTCAGACACCAATCCCTGTTAAAAATGCATGGAGGATGTGCATTCTTCTCAAAGGTCTTGTGTAAATAACAAAAACAAAAAAAAATCATCCTATTAAGTGTAATTCAGTGTTATAAAAATGCGTTATGGAACTGAAGTTATGCAATATGCACAATGTCTGTAAAACAGAGGTTATGATATGGTAAAATCGAGTGGTCATTACAAGCCTAGATAAAGTCAGATTAAAACGCATGTTCAGAACAAAGGAATTATTTCGCTTCCTATGAGTTTTATGATATGGTTTTACCCGAAAGAGGTTTACCGAATTCAGAAAAGATAACTCATAAAACTTAGTCTCATTTAATGCATCGATGATTTGCCAATTCATCGATGTCAGTTTTCTTGAATTCACTTGCGTGATTAGATTGGTGTTAAATTTAAAAGTAATTTATAGAGATTTGACTATTATATATTGACTAATTAATGGTTAATTAGTTAAATTTATCTAATTTTCAAATGCTGCTTATTATCAGAAATCACTTAAATAAATTATCTGCCCTCCGTTCAATTTGATCTACTTCAGCTATCTGTACAAGAACTAGTAGAATTCAGTCTATTAGTGTTAGCAAACAAGAGTCATAACGTAAATTACCTACAACAGTAGAATATTTTCTTATGTTCTCACTTTTCTCTTGCCCTGCCCCGCCATGTCACGTCCTTAAAATGTATTAAAAAGTTCGAGAGTTATCATCATTATTACTCGTATCAAGGAAATGTTAGAAAGTTGTGAAATGGCACATCTTTAGTGAAGTAAACTGAATTTTACATATGGAACGCGCGAAATTCCCCATGCTGCCAAAACCCCGCCATCGCCATACTGGACTGCATATAACACTATAATGTTCCAAAGCTTCATCCATTAATCATCTTTATATTCAAAACGATCATTCTGAAACACAAAGGTTGTAGAGTCATTGGGTTATTTAGAAGCAAGAGACATGAAAAATGAGCAATTCTCTCGCCAGGACTTGAACCTCGGGCCTCTCTAATACGCGCCGAGCGTGCTGACCATTACACCACGAAGGCATGCTAAGACGGCGGGAAAAATGCCTTACAAGGTCTTTATTAATATCCCACAGTTATTAGCTAATTCGGATACTAAAAAGATAGATTATAGTCAAAGATAGAAAATTATTGCTATTTAGTATTTATATATCTCAATTTTGGTCATTTATTTTCTTTATGAATTAATTCATTTTTATATCTTTACAGAAAGTTTGTGATATTTTAGATACTGAAGGATTATGGTCAATTAAATTGCCTACTCATCTTTTAGGTAACTAAATGTTGGATTATAATTTTAAAAATATTCGAATATTAACGTGAGTCTAATATAAAAATATTGTCTTGATAAGGTATGACATTTCACAGTATGTCCTGTATTTTTTTTCCTTAAAAAATAAAACAAAAGAAAATGTTCAGATTACTTGAAAGAATAAAAATTAAGTGGCACGTTAAATTCAAAGTGTTCAAAAGGGAGTTTTTTTGGCTAAATACTTCTCAGGTTTCAAACTCGGTTAAGAAGCGGAGAATAAAACAAGAAGAAAAAAGTTAACGCCAGAGGAAAATATAGATGTATATAGACTTTACAATGAAAAGCAAAACAATACAATGCAAAGGGGAAGCGTTGTAATAACAAGCACATCATGTTAAAAAAAGTAAAAGTGAAATATCATAAAAGCAAGACATTACGGTAGAGAAATGCTGACGGAACCGTAGTAAAAATATAGAAATATGGTAGAAATATAAATTTTATGCGTCTAAATAGGAATCGTAGGACTACTCATTTATGCTTACGAGGAACTCAAAAAACTGTGAACATATGCTTCCTAACTGTATACATAGCACTTATAAGAAACTAATAAAAACAAAAACTTACTAAGGAAACATATTTATTAAGGATTTATGAAGAAAATGTTTTAAAAAGTAAATTTTCAAGTTAACAAGTTAGGTACCCTTAATATTTTCCATCCAAAATTATACATTTATTTCTTTTGACTCACTTGTTAACTGGTTGCATGTGTCCCAAGTTTCAATATATGATTTTTATACTCTCAAGAAATTCTAAGGTAGATTTATAAGCATTTTCTGATAATCTTATATTGCGTTGCTCAGCCATAAATTATATCTGTCTTGCAGAATTTTTTAAAGCAAATAAAATGTTAAAACACAGATTTTTGAATGTATATTTTAAATTATCGTGACATATTGTTACAAAAATCTGCTCTAAAATTCGTTTAATCAAAATTTATTTTCAATACACTGTCCTCTGCTTATTAAACTCACTGGTTATTAAAATCAGTCGCTTATTGCATTCAAATTTCCAGAAACCTAAACGAATGTACGAGGGATTTCGAAAAGTAAAGGTACAATGCCTCGCATTCCTTAAAAAAATGATTTATTTAGAAAATGTCAGTTACCGCTTATTAACTGGATTATTTATTATTTTTTGACATAATCACCCCCGTTATCCAAACATTTGTTAAGTCAGTGCACAAGCTTTTGTATCCCACAGTCATAGAAGGTCGCGGCCTATTGGAACCCAGCGCGCACACAATTTCCTGTACCCTAACTTGACAGTCACAACTTCATAAAGAGTTATCATTGACACTTCCGGTATGATCTGATACAATTCGTTCAATTTGAGACGTCTGTTCGCACGAATTGCGTTCTCTGTTCTCTGAAGAAGGGCATCAGAGATCACAGATGGTCGACCTGTTCTTTGTTCGTCATGGTCCTACCTTCACAGAAATGACGACACCATTTCGTTACATTTTGTCGATTCATAATGTTCCCATAAACAGAAACAATTTCTTTGTGAATATCTACTGGTCGCTGACCTTTTGCATGAAGAAAACGTATGATTGAGCGCACTTCGCATTTGGCGGGATTCTGAACCGGCGCAGCCATTTTAAACACGACCTACTCTGACCAGAATCAACGTTGAAATGCCGAACGACCGCGAGGAGAAAGCTAACGGTTCAAGGTTAACATCTATGTTGCCAACTTGCTCACCAAAACTTTTCTTTTCCTCTGGCGTATTAAACTCATCTTCCCCGGTTATGAAACTCAAACTGGAAAAAGTCTGATTATTCAGATGCAGAATAAAATCTTTGTGGCTGATAAAGGCTGTTTGTAGTATCTTTCAGTTATGTAGTGCTTGAATAAAACCCATTTACCAGATACTTCGTCTGTCAGTGTTGTTAGAAACAAGACCCCTTGGAGTGTTGGATAGATACACTTCCCTAGTTCCTGTCAAACACTGATTGCAAATCTCTTTGACTAGAGCTGGCAGCAACAGAATACCTTTATCTTATGATTAGCAAAAGCTGGCTTCTAGAGGCTTGAAAAGAAGCACTTTGATTATAAATGATTGTTTCTCAAGATGATGCTGAAGTGAGCACTGGTTCCCTTTCTCGAACACCAAATGATAGAGGATGGCATTCATACACACATCAAGTTTGAAGGATGTTTTCAGAGAACGTCATGAAATGTTTCTTTGCGTTATCGTACATTATACGTTTTTGATTGGAAAAGAAGAATGATCGTTGTAGGCTGAAGAAAACAGAAAAGAAAGCGTAAGTTACGTCTATAACTATGAAGTGACAAGTCGACTTGACAGACAAAGATGCAATCTTTTTTCTTGTTGCCAAGAAACGGGAATTTTAGATTTGAACAAATTACTGGAAGAAACATTTTTGTTTGCTATATGCGTGACTTATAACATAACGAAAATGCCTAAACGAAATTTTTTAAGTCTGAAAGAAGAGGCTAAATTGATGCATTTGGTAAATGCAGCCAAAGAGAAGCAGCTCTTGATTTTCCAAAGAACTGTGCAGTTTAGTTAAACAAAGAAAAAATATAATAAAGAGCTAGTGAAAAATGAAAATATTTCAAGAAAAAGCAAAACGCGTAGAAAATAGAGATACATTGAAACCGCTCTTCTAGAATGGTTTTGAGATAAGAGATTAAAAATGTTCTAACTTCTAGACCTAGCAGAAAAGGAGCTAGGAGGTATTCGCTAAAATGCTAAAAAAAAATTTGTACCAACTGATGGATGATTTTGCGAGATGAAAAGAGGTAAATAACGTTGTTTATCGGAAACTACATGGTAAGAAGCAAGAGGCGGATCATTACTCTGGTGAGAAATGGATAAAAGGCGTTTTCCTCGGGCTTCTAAAAGAATACAAGCCACACATAGTTTATAATACAGATGAAACTTATCTATTTTACAGAGCATTACCGAAGCACACATTAAGGTTCAAATGTGAAATAGCCGTTGGTTTGAGAAATTAAAAGAACGAGTTACTGTGTAGTAACGTGCAATATGGATGCACCAGTTACAAAGACACCAGTGGTTACTGGAAAGAGTAGGAAACCTCGATGTTTAAAAGGAATTTTAGATTCTGGTATGTCATTTAAGACTTCAAGATAATATTACATCTACAGAGGCAACTGAAACTAGTTTTCTAAATATTTAGGGGAATATAATGAGTACACGAAGCTTCAAATGTTATGAAGTTTCTTTCTGTTTATTCTGAGCCATGTAAAAAAAAAAAAGTTATCACCTGCGACAATGGGTACACGCAATAATGATTTGCTTACATTTCGCAAGCGGAGTCGATATGTAGCTGCAGTCATTTCACACTTGTAAATCTGTACTTGATAGGTGATTTATTTCGCACTGTTTCAGTTTAATACTCACTAATGAATCATGATGTTCTGTACGATGTTACTCCTTCGAGCTGGCTACTGAAAGATTTTCATTCATAACTTTCTAAAATACAATAAAATGTTATGATGAACATATCGGCCTTGAATTTTATTTATATTATCTGAGTTTAATACCTTATTCTGAAAACTCATATGAAATTGATAACTTACATGAAGAGATTATGTCGTCTTTGAGAGTTACCAAGTAAATCTTAAATTTCAAAATGTTAATTGTATTTGTCCTCTTAAGAAGATAAAATGTTAATTCTTTTATTCGTATGTTACCAGATTCTGTTAAATTGAAGTTATTCGAATTATTATCCATATTATGTTCTTAAACTTAATCTGAGTAACTGTAAAATACATTTTAATTAGTGACTGTCAACTAGTTAGAGAAGAAGGGTACTAATCACAATAAAATATAAGTTATGAGATCAGTTATTAAAGAGGAGTTAACTGTTGATAATTAACTGTTGATAATCATGACCTAAGAATTAAATTAAGATTAAATTATTTTATGTGTGTTCAGTTCGTATATTTTTAACATTGTAGGGTTTTCCTTATTTTGCTTAACAAATTTATTTTAAGTTTTCCTGTTCTCAACTTCTCAACTTCCCCTCACATTCTCTCGCCAGGATGTAAATTTAGTTATTGAAGTGCTATTTTAACGTATGTTTATCTCAGTTTATTCAGAGCATGTTTCGCTAGCCAAGCGCAAGTTTCGTCGCTATTTCGCGGTCACGCTAGTAAGCCTCTTGGCCTCATCAGTTTAGTAGCCCGCCAGTTAGATTTCTGTGAGTCCAACTCTTAGGCGTAATTTTGAAGTGCGTTCTTGCACTCGTTTATTTTTCAGATTTGATTTGTATTATAGTGTCTACGTTTAGTTACTGCCGCAAGTGAACGGTGTTTTGTAACGCCCGAAGTCCGTGCTTTCTGTTAAATTAGTTTGATTTAATAAAGGGTTATTTTGCAGCCTTCTTCTGTTGCTGGTATTTAATTCACGCCTGTGCAAGAATTCGCCAGGTTTATTGCAGGATCTAAATTAGTGTATGTGGGAAAATAGAGATAGGTCTTACAACATGCATTTTTTGTGTAATTTTATAAGCTAAATCATAAATCTTCATTTATTATTAGTGTGACTTTCGTGTTTAGATAAGGTTGTATAATGACTATATTTTAATTCATTTTAGTATTTTTATTTTAAATATGAAACATTTAAATGATCTCAGCATTTTTATAGAGAGGAAATAATCTAACGGATCAACACGAAAATTATGAACAATCCAGAAATACAATGATTTCCAAAAGTTAAGCATGAAGTTAAAAGTATCAATTTTGGAAAGTGTAGCAGAAAGGGCTGAAAATCATTGTAGATGCAGACAGCAATATGCAAATTCCATACAGCTAATCACAATTGATTGTCCGAACATATGTTCACATGCAGTCATGTAAGTATTCCGAAGGGTTCGAAGCAGTTCATTTAAATATTGATACAAAATATTTATAACTTTCGTGGCATAATATTTGCAATATTCGTGCTCTTATAACTAAAAGAAGACAGACAGATAGTAAGAGTTGGCGTGTTTTCGGAAGCATTGAAACAGGATAGTCATTAACTCTTTCGCATCGAAGTCGCCCCAAACGCCCGAGCATTCAGACATCGGCTGGACGCCCGAAACGCCTGAATAATTTCCTACCCAGTGCTTTACCCCATCACGTTACTGCATTACTCATTGCTTTCAGGTTTTGTTAAATCACATGTCAATCATTCTTTTGAAGCTAAAAGTAGCTTCATTGTTTCCTTTGTTCCCTCCTTTCCTTTGTTTACTGTCAGTGTTTAGCTTTTGATGCCCGAAGTTGCAATCCCGTCCCAAGGGGGAACTTCACACAGTGTCAAAGCGTCGAAGAAAAAAGTTCTTGCTTTACTTAAGTAAGGCTATTGTAGCGCTGTAGTATTCAACTTCTCATGGGGGAAGGAAAAGCATTCCAAGAGAAATTCTTAGATACGGGCGTTTTCGATGTTTGGGGAATTGAGATTTTGCCCTCTCTCGATGCGAAAGAGTTAAAGAACATTAAAGAAGTCGTTGTTTTCTTTGGTATTTATCATTCGGTAATTTCTGTAAAGTGGAAATAATTTGAAACAAGTCAGACAGTCGTCCATATCTGTGTCCGATTGACAAAGGGTTACCACTCCGGCTGATATAATCGATTTATTGCCATTTATAATAGCCAGGCGGAATCGAAAAGCAACTTCCAGAGTTGTCACATCCATGGTTGTCGCATCACTTAGTAAGACAATATCTGGCAGTTCTGTGCCCCAAAACTTCGCATGAAGGGACTACACGCCCGAGTATCAAATGTTTATGTTTCACTAACCGTCCAATTCAGAGAAGCAAGATTAAAGTAGTATCACCAATTTCTCAATAGGACTGTCTCAGATTGACGCAACATGCTGCTCTCAGACAAGTCTAAATTTTCTCTTAAATCGGACGATAAGTGCCTAAGTTTTGTAGGAGAACATGTCCCACGGAATATGACTCAGAATATAGTCGGACAATACGCTTACAGAGGTAGCTGTATCTTCGTGTGGATAGGAATTTGAACGGGGTATCTCATCCAGCTGGAAATCTTTAAAGACTGCTTGGAAAGGGCTTTGCGGTTTCGAGACGAAATCCTACATTTCATTTGAAGACTACGCTGCAGCATTTGGCTCTGATTTCCTCCTTATGAATGATAATGTCCGTCCCTGTCGAGTCAGCATCGTTAACAGCTACCCTGGAGACTGACGGTATTTCTCATATGGAGTGGCCGAGGTATTTCCCCGATTTTAATCCTAATGAAAAACCTTAACTTTGGACGTCTCACTGCTGCCAATGTATAACTCATGAAATAGTTCGACAATCACTCATGTCCATAAATTAAGGATAATGCAAAATCAGGCAAAGGAAAAGTTAGAAGCAAAACAAATTTGACTTATTTGTAAAGCTTATTTATTAAACAAAAGGTAAAGAGCAAAAACAGATGCTATATGTTTGATATTATTAAAAAAATTAGCGATTTTTTTTCTCCCTGGAGCAAATTACCAAAAAAAAAAAAAAAAAAAAAAAACTTATTTACAAAAAACCAATATTACATGGTTGGTTTGATTGTTAATACATTGTATGTCTCCCAGACGATGCAATACAGTCCGTACAACGCCTAGGCATCTGAGTATCAAATTATCGATCTGATCTTGGGGGATATTACATCACTCAAAAAGCAATGCACTCCGAAGTTCCGGTAGACATGTAGAAGGAGGTTGACGGGCTGCAACTCGTCGGCCAAGCATGTCCCACACGTGTTCTACTGGTTCAAGTCTGGTGAGAATGCTGGCCAGTCTGTACGGGTGATATCCTCCGATTGAAGGCATTCGCTTACGATATTTGCACGGTGAGGACTGGCGTTGTCATCCATAAACAAATTGTGTGCCCATGGCACCCCGAAACAAATGTACATGTTGTTCCAGAATGACGTCCCGATAGATATGGCTTGTCATGATTCCAATTTGAACATGAAGGTCAGTTCTGGAACCCAGAATAATTCCACCCCAAACGAGCACTCCTACACCACCGTAACGGTGTCGTTCAATGATGCTTTCTTGGTGGTAACGGGTACCTGGAGCTCTCCATATGAAAGTCCGGCGAGAATCAGACTGCAAGCTAAACCTGGACTCGTCGGAAAACATCACACAAGCCCACTGTTGCGGTGTCCACAGTGCATGCTCTCTACTCCAGGCTAACCGCAGGCGACAGTGAGTTGCAGTAAGTGGAACGCATCTGACAGGTCTACGAACATATAAACCAATCTGCCCTAAGCGTCTGTACACGGTCTGCCTTGAAATTGTCGTACCAGTGGCTGAAGAGAGCTGACGAGGCAGGTCTCAGGCTGTGCTCCACCTGTTTGTTTTGGCAGTAACTGCCAAATACCGGTCCTTATTCGGCGCTGTAACTCTGGGGCGACCTGTGCTGTAACGTCTACTCACATTACCATCATCTGGAATCGTTGCCAAAGCCTGGAGATGACACTCTGGGCAATTCCAAGTTCGTCTGATACTTCCAGTTGGGTACGCCCACATTCCAGACGGCCGATAATTCTACCACGTAAAAAATCATCCAAATGCGTCCTTTGTGTCATAACTATTCGGTTATTGCACTGAAATGCTTATAAAGCGCCTGCGAACAATTTTACTTCTTTGCCTGTATTCCTTATATATCACTCTCTTACACTCTCGTCATTGTGACGTACCATCGGTGTCATCTGGTTACTTCCTGAAATTTACATATCATTCTTGAAGATGTGTGTAGTGATTTTACAGGTGATATATTTATTATAGAGTTCAATTTCCGCGTGACTCCGCGTGATTTATGGACATGAGTGTAATTTACGAAAATTAAATATTGTTTTCATCTTTGTAGATAATTCTGGTTTTCTTTCATGACTAAACACATTTGTTACCTTCGCGTGCTTAACTTTCGGAAACCAGTGCATATACATTCTATGCATTTAATTCGGGTTAGGTTGCTGCCTTTCACCTCAAAATCATTTTTATTTCATTACTTTGTACAGGGAAAAGCTCGATTATCAGTGCCTTAATTAACTGCAATTTTTGTCATTGCCAACCCTCTTGCGTACAATTAACATGTTTAAATTCTTGCTCTTCATTCCACGATGACTTAAGTGAAAAGTTAAAGCTAGTGTTATTATTTTTTATTCGTATAAATCGATACAAATTTTGTGACGTCAACACGGCACACGGTTTTACTGTTTTTATTCCTAATAATAGTGATTTTGATTTGTTTAAAAAAATATCAGTTAAACATAAAGCGAAATTAATGTCATTCTTTCAGATTTGGTGAGGGATCATACCACTGGTCTTAATCCTGAAGAACAAATGTTAATGAGAAAATGTGCTTTGCTTGGAGACACCTTTAGCCTTTACATTCTTGAAGCTGTATGTCCTGAATATTCAATGCTTGAAGTAAGATATTTTTAATTTAGTATTACATTTTCCACATTCATTGAAAATTGTTCAGAACTGCAAATGATCAGACATTAAATTTATACAGTTCGTTACATAACGTCTGCGAATATTTATTATTTTTTATTCTTTTTCTGAGTAGCTAAGAGCCAAAGCTGAAACTCTGCTGAAGAAGAACATCCTCACTTTCCAGTGCAATCACTTAGAGATAACGGAATCAAAAGATAAAAGAAGCATAACTTTGAGAGAAGTACCTTCGGAATTCTGCATTCATCCTTTGAAATTCTATTCAGAATTCCTTAAAAAGAGCGTAATTAATTCTATGCCCGAGAGCCAGCGAGAGCGGCTGAACTTATACCTTGCAGATTTACTCACAGAAATCGACAAATGTTGCGATTCTTGTAAAAGAGGCTCTGAAATGCGAAGGCTTTCTCCTTACTTTAGTTTGCTGAAGTAATTGTGTGAAATTATTTCCTCTGCTACGTCTATCTTTCATAAATGCCAAGTCGGAAAGACTTAGAACTTCTCTTACACTGGTGTGCAAAAATTAAGGACGAAGTCGAAAAATTAGCATACCAGCTGAACGAAGAGGCAGAGCGAACAGAAAGACCAATCAGGAGATTAAGTAAGGTGATGTACGGTAGCACATGCGCAGATATGCAGGTAGACGTAATGGGGGAGTGTCTGAGTAGTATAAAGCATGTTGTCGGTGTAAGATCAGTATTTCTGGCAGAGAGATTACACGCCGTATAGCAGTTAAAATCACACCGAGTTGCTGCCTCAGCGAGAAATGGCGAATAATCAATCTGTTAGACGACATCTGGATGCTTTTACCCGAGGTCGAATCATTGGGAAGTTGGAGGAAGGCCGCAGTGTGACAAGTGTGGCTGCAGAGTTCGGAATTGCTCACAGCATCGTTTCACGACTTTGGAGACAATTTCAAACTACAGGAACAGCTATTCGGGGGTTTAGTAGTGGTCGTCCACGAGGAACCACTGCCGCAGATGACCGGTATATTGCCTTATAGGCCAGAAGAAACAGGCGGCAGACAACGGGAGAAATCGCTAGACACACGACACAGGCGACTGGACGATCGATATCGCGTTTTACCGTGGCCAGAAGACTGCACGGTGGTGGTCTGTTTGCACGACGCCCTGTACGGTGTGTACCCTCTAACGCCTGCCCATCGGAGAAGGCGTTCTCTGTGGATGCCGGGAACACCGGAATTGGGAGAGATAATGAATGGGGACGAGTACTCTTTACAGATGAGAGCAGATTCATTCTGAATAGCGATTCTCATCGCATACTCATCTGGAGAGAGCGGGGAAGCCGCAATCATCCCTCGAACATCATTGAAAGGGACAGGTATGGAGGTGGCGGTGTTCTCGTTTGGGGAGGCATCATGCTTGGTAGTCGTACAGACCTTCACATCTTCGACGCAGTTTCAGTCAACGGGACCCGTTATTGTAACGAGATTCTTCTTCCATATGTGCGTCTTTTTAGAGGCGCTATGGGTCCGCAGTTTCTTTTCATGGACGACAATGCACCATGTCATCGCACAGTAGCTGCCGAACAGCTCTTAGAGAGTGAGGATATTGAACGTATGGATTGGCCGGCACGATCTCCGGATCTCAATCCCATCGAGCATGTATGGGATTTTCTAGGCAGACGCTTGGCAGCTCGTACCTTACCACCAGTAACGATTCCGCAGCTTCGATTGGCGCTGCAAGACGAATGGGCAGCAATGCCTCAACAACTCATTGACACCCTCATTCTCAGCATGGGCAGACGCTGTGAAACCTGCCTAGCAGTCAGGGAAGATTATATCCCCTATTAAAGACCGGATGTTTCTTGCTGGATACCCATCACAGGGATGTTTCGGCCTTCAGTTGCATTGCGCTCCATGCTACCTTTTCGATAAAGTTACTTTTTATCCCTCTGATTTCTCTTTTAGTAAGTGTTGCTTACATTAGTCATGTCCTTATTTATTGAGGATCTTACGGTACAAATGTGTTGATTTGGAAAGCTTTTGTACAAAGTTATATTGAAAAAAACCGTCTCGTTCTTAATTTTTGCACACCAGTGTATATTAAGCATACGTCGATATTAGCAAACGATATTAAGCGTAGATGTCAATAAGTTCTTATATTGCTTATCTGATTTCACATCATTTAAGGATTTCTAGAAATTCTCTAAGTTAAATTAATTCATAAAATTAAAGAAATGAAAAAAAAATTAATTTATTACATTTTAAACGAATTATAAGTTATTAAAAGTACATTACAATTGCACTGTAACAATTTTATGATATGCTGCAAAAGTGCTTTCAAGTTACGCTAACTTAAACGTAAGCAGCGTAAATTGTTAACGCAATAACAGATATAAAAACAAATAAATATTACATTTAATATATACAGCGCGTGCATGAAAGTCCTTATGTGATTTAAGATATTGTCATTAATTTTCTTATTTTAATCTATTTCGGTTCATTGCAGAAACTTCAGAATTCCATTAGTTGATCTCCGAATGTGCCAATGTCTGAATTTGAGAACACATATTCTGATGCAGGTAGAATACCATTTAAACAAAGGAAACGGTGATATTTCTAAGCGCATAAACATGTTGCTAAAAGCCGCAGAAAATGGTCTAGAAGCTGGAAACGCAGTTTTGGTACAGTAGTTCTTTTTAATTATTCTGGTATTTAAATCTTTCTTATTATTTAACACTGTATATTATTATAAATTCTTAAAAAAAAATATTTTTCATCTTCATATGATTTTATACTCAAATCAGCTCGCTTCAGAGGAAAATATAAATTAGTTCAGGACAATATGTTAAAATTGAATGTGAAAGCTAGCTTTTAATATAGTTTACATTCATTATTTGCAGCAATTTGAGACATTTCTTTGAGCTACCAGTTCATTTTCATTTCCGCTGTCATGTTTAGCCTGATGTACCATTTAAAACTGGTAGGCGCGAATTCAAGTTTGTTGTGGCATTTAACAGCTAAGGGTAACTGAGGACCAAGTACCCTATCTGAATTAAATTTGATTGGCGTGCTGACCATTGCATTAAATTAAATTATCACTCACTGAAAGCAGTTGCTAAGTGTTTGTTATATTGTTGTCAAATCATTTTCGTTCTGTAATTCATAGGTCGTTGCTAAAAAGAAACACTATTTTCATCGTTCATTCTGATGTTTATATAATTACTAAGCCATAATTAACACCTGACAGCATACAAGGCTCATACCTAGGACACCATGTTTTAAAGAGTTGCAGAATTATGTTATACTCTCCCATAAACATATTTCATACTTTCCCACTGTTTTTTCCGTTATAAAAGCAAGAAAAGTAGGCTTTGAAGGCCCCTGAAAGAGCACTGTGCCTAGGAACCCAGAATAGTTCAATCAGTAGACTTTATTAGCTCTACCTACTAGCTCTATGCTTTAAAGGTAGTTTCTTTGAGACTGAAAGCCATAAAGCGTTCTCCATCAATATTTGTGAGCGCTTGATATTAAGGTTAGATTTAGTTCAGTTAGTTTATCAGAACGTGGCAAAGCAGGGTTATCTGCTTATGCATTCATGGAGAAATTTCTTAGAAAAACTATCTCATATTTACGCTACACATAGAGAAAACCAGGAAATACCACTATGCACCCTGCTCGTTCAACAGGGTTAGGATCCGGGCTGAACTACCAGCATTCAGCGATCTTAACCAATCGAACACAAATTGGGGCCTACTTGATGTTAAATATTATCAGCTAAATGCTGCATGATATGTAAGTTTTAACTTTAATCCCTATTATTAACTCCAGTTTTTTTATATTTTACTCACTCAGGTCGAAAGTATTCTGAACAAAATTAAACGTTTGCTTAAAAATGTCACAAAGGAAAATGGCGACGAAACAAAACCAAATGCAGAAGAAATTGCCACCGAAAGACTAAAAGCGGAGGTATGAAAGTGCTATTGTTTCTGATATTTATTGCAAGAAAATAATTTCAAAAGCAGATTCTTTTAACTCTTTGAAGACCATAATGGCCCAGGCGGCCTTTCATTCAAACGACCACAACCGCCCAAAACGGCCGAAATTCCGATGTTGTTTTCTTCCCTCCCCTAAAGTATGCAGTAGCAGGTGCAGTTTCCCGAAATGCATTGTATCAGTTTATTGCAGACAGCTTGTCCTAAAAGGATTTATTTATGGTTTCTTATCTTTATTTGTTAGGAAGTAGACAGTATGACATTTGAAATCTTCACTCTTCTTTGTGCGTTAATGGATGGGGAAGAGAAAAAATTGCTGTGACTCTCGAAAACCTTTTCGGACGATTCGGTATTTTATGCATACAGATTAGAGAAAACTTCGGTTTTCAAAGAGTTAAATAATTCATAAATTCGGGCTAATAGTACGTCATCAGAAATTCACATGCTTCAAGAGAATATTTTTAGGTTCTTAAAATAATTCCTTTTAGTCCAGTGAAGTTAATTTAAAATTTGCAGAGCTTAGAAAATTTTTCTCGAGATCTTAAAAATACTCAATAAAAAAAAAACTTAAAAAGTACTTTAAAATATTTTAATTGAGTGTAAATTCTGCGTTTTCAAAGGTTCAGAATTGAATTATTTTTATTGCAAATGCTAACTAGTATCAGTGATTGTAAGTATGTATTAGCTCACTTTTCGTAAAATTTTGTCTGCTTATGAAATTTACTTTAGCTAACATGATACTTTTACATTAATTCTTCTTTGTACCTTCTATTTCTTCCATCATTCTAGAATGAGAACGGTGTCAAGTTTAAAGAGCAAACAAAGTTATCATTTAGGATAGTACTGAGGTTATGACCTAATAGCTTGTAAGCTTGAGAATAACCTCCCACCTGTAGGCGCTCACTCCCGGAACGAATTCTATTGTTTGCTGGAAGAGTCCAAGATTTGTAGGTATGGTACGTGAAAGTAAGGATGAGCTAAGAGGAGAAAGGAAAAGGGATTTTGAGTAATAGGGAATTCATACGTTTCCGGGACTAAGCGCTTACTATGAACGTGCGCCTGCTTGTGAGGGTAGCAGCGTTTTCGTTAGTAAGTGTATTATTTATTATTCTTATTGATTGTCTCCCCCCCTTTTTTTTAAAGTTACAATTTTCTACAATACCTTAAGTAAATAAAACTTTACAGTTACAAATATTCAATAAACCTGGAGCATAAATAATAAAATAAGCAGTGAAACTCCTTCCACGGTTCGGGAATAAGTCAGTGAACATATCCCTTTTTTCCCTAGTACCCACTTACCCACTGAAAGCCATTCCACGATCTAATTATTTCCGTTGGAAACCATTCCGGAACCTTTCCTTTCTATTCCTCTCACCTGCATATATTGAACTCACCCAGCTAACAATAGCAGGTGTTCCGAGATTGACGGTCTAGTCCTCCCACCTAGCCAAACGGCAAATAGTCTGCGGTTTTGATATCTCCCCCCCCCTTAGTGATTAAGATTAGTTAGTCAATAGTTAAGAGCAGACAACACACCACTGCTTTGCCGTAGGGTTAACAGCTGTTGTCCTCAGATTGCAGTTATTTGTAGTTATAAATTTTCAGCATTTGTGCTTGAAATAAACTGTATGTGTACTCTTGCATTTTTGATGATACAGTATGTATGAAGAGTTATCTAAATGATTATTTGCCTGTACGTTTTGGAGAGTAGCTTTCAACATGGAAGCTAATAACGCTTATTTTTCCTATAATATTCGTTATTTTGATTATGTTTCTTCTGTTCTCCTTCCTTTTCATGAGGCACATCCTTATAATCACTGATACTGAGTTATATGTGATGAGGGACAAATATTGAGGCCTCTTGTTATTGGGATAATACATTAATCTGAAAATAAGTTAACTAAATGCATTCCAGATATACTTGATGAATTAAACAACTGTAACTGTTGAAACCTTTCAAGTAATACAGGGTATTGTTTGAAGACTTTAAGCTGTGAATTACAAGGATTAAGCAAGTGCACTTAAACAGCTAACGGGAAACCTTACATATCTATGTGAAGAAATTTTAATAGAATTTTTGTTTGCTTTATGCAGTTAATATATGTATTACGAATTCAAAAATTTACAAGCTATGAATCATGAGAGGCAATGTCTTCATCAACAATTTCTTAGAAAATTTATGGCTTTTCTTGTCAATACGTTTTGAGATATATCAGCCTAAAACAGCTTTAAAATTTCGCATCAAGACACACAAATCTTCCGAAAGGGGAAATTAACTAGTCCTAACTAAAAGTTAACTTTGAATTAGTTTACAAATGCCTAACACTAAGATTGGTCTTTTTAAAAGGTTACATAGGTAGTACGCAAACTGCTGAAACTACAATACGTTTTAAATATCAAGAGGACTAAACCTCTGGCCTTAACCCCTTCGAGCCGGGTAGCGAAAACGCGCGCTTATCGCTGAGGCCGGCAGTGTCTTACGCGAGCGTCTCTCCAGGGCCGGGGGCTTTTTTGCTACTAAGCCTGAATCCATGAAATTTCCGAAGTATCAACGCATTGTTTAATAATGCTCTATAGAGTATTTAAACGGCTTATGCTTTATAACTATTTTTATATATATACTTTAATTACCTTATTTCTTGTTTAAATGCATATTTTACACATTTTATTTTAATTACTCACCATTTATGAATTTTAACATTATACATCTGAAAACTAAATATATTACTTAAAATTCTCTTTTCGTATGAAAAATTTGAAAACATGGATCTACACACAGTCCTACGTTACATGCCTTGAACTCGTAATAACTCATTTGCCGTTTTGGAGGATTTTTCCGGGAATGTGAACAAACGAAGCATCGTCGTCTCATTTTCTTATCAGTCTCTTCTGAACAAAGTTTTGGAAAATGTCTTTCAGTTAATCTTTCAGAATCAATATCAGAATATCAGAATTTCAAAATCAATATCTGAAATATTTTGCATCATTTCTGCTATTTCATGCTCTGTTAAACATTTTCGACGCTTCGACATTTCAACTGTAAAAACAAAGAATTCACGTCTAACAAGATCTAATTATTTTCTAAAAACTGAACTGCAAACCGAAATACCCAACGCTTTAGAGCAAATAAAACTTCTCTACTTACAGTAAACAACTACCACGTGCGAATAAAGTGCGATTTAAAGAGACGTCATAAATCACGCCATTCGGAAACATTTATTTTCCCGTTTGTTTATATAATCAAAAACTCGTGTATGTGAGTCATGCTTCTCTCATTTCGAGTAGAAGGTCTAATTTACATGTATCTGAAACCATATGGACATACAGTGCCATCTTGTGGCAGAAATTATAGTTTGAAAAACGTTCCAAAGTACTGGCACAAATACGTGACAGTCGGTAGAGAATGGAACAATCCTCTGGCACGCCTGCGTGTCGGCCGGTAGGTAAGTGCGTTCGTTGCTGGCACGTATACGTGACAGTCGGCGCGAAAGGGTTAAGGGCAAGCAGCAACTGATTGAAAACTCGTAAGAATGCAGTGGCAAGGCGGTTCACTCCCCTGTCTCTCTAACTCTTGGCAAAAAGCCACAACTTAAATACTTGGGCGTTAGCAAGTACAATTTGCATAAACAAGTTAAAACATTTAATTCTGGCTGGAAGTGGAAACTAAGAAAGTATAGTAAAGTTTTAAATTAAAATAAACGTTAGGGTAAAACTTAAGATCCTTACAAGGGTTTAAAATGCACGACGGGCAATTTTAATGCTTCTTTAAACTACATATGCGTTCCAGAAGATATCACACTAAGGCCATTTATTGCTCACAGAATGCAGGACCCCAATTTCGTCACTTAAGCACACATTTTGCTGCATATCTCATTGTAAATATCATTAATTTACACTTTATTTGTTCATTTTTCTGCAACTTGATATCGCTACATTCGCACATGTATGTTTTGGTTACGAACATACATGTGCAAATGTAGCGATTTCTCATCACCTCTTTGATAAGTGGTGGTGATGTAACGATTATCTTAGCTTGGTTTTGCGCTTCGCGGCCAACGGGCCCTCTTTTCAACCTTGATCCGTTTCCCGGCTGGGATTGAGTTGATAGTTTAAACTGTGATGTTCCCTATGTATTAAAAGAACAAAACTTATAAAAGCCGCAAGGTTACATAAGCATAAGCAATTCGCATTCATCCAAGCATGCAGATTTCTTTGCTCCAGACAAAGAGGGACCTGTACTTGTTTGCCCTCAAAATCGAAAGAGTCTTACTAAAATCTTCACCAAACACAAGGTTGTAGCTTTTCGTAATTTTACGTTTTATTTTGGCGTGTTTCTCTACTTCCCTTCTATACTCTTCATATACTGTGTTTTGTTTGAAAGTAACGTTCCGGCCAAAAAAAAAAAAAAGGAATCAAAACTTTTCTGCATTCGTTTGAATGCATTTGCGCTTTCCTAGCACTCATTTATAGAAATTAATTATTTAACCAAGCGCAGCATGTTGCACACACAAATTCTCAACACTTCAGTGACTACCATTCCGTTAGTATAAAATGTTTCAAAGACTCTCAAAGGGTAGAAAATAGGATCCTACCTCGCAAGTGTGGTTGAAAGGAAATAAATAACTAAATTTCGTCCGGAAAATAAATATTTCTTATACTGCAAAAAAGGTTTCTGAACATGATACAGAAAGCTGAGCTGCGCAAGGTCTCTGGTGGAGCGTCTATTGCATTGAAACTTGAAATAATTTGAAAAACAGTTGTAAAAGTGGGAATGAAAAGCAATAACAAGCTGCGATCTTTTTTTTTTTCATCATACTCATATTTTTTACCCAATAAAGCTATTATTTGGCATTTCATACGGCCGCCCTGTATTTCGAGAATTGTATACTTAATATTTATTTTTATGTTTATTCAACACAGTCAGATCACTGAATATGCAAAATTTTGATTTATCAGCACACTGAAATATTAAACTTGAAAAAAGACTACGTTTTGTTTTATAATATAGCCCTTATTTGCATACTAAAAATATCAACGAATGTTAACATTTTCATGATTATATCATCCTGCATCTTCTAAATTGTATATATCTCCAATTATTCTAACAAAAAACTTCATTTTTTTTTTTTTTTTTTTTTTTTCTTTTTTTTTTTCAAATTCATACATTACTTAATAATCAGTTAGCAGGCACAAAACTCAATAAAATTCACAAATAAGTGAATAAATGTTAAAAACTGAAAAAGGTTTATTATAATTCACGCAATTCTTAATGAATGGTATGTTTAATTTTTACAGGTCAAGTTATACGTAGGGAAGAACAGCGAAGCCCTACGTAACCTTAAGCATGCCATGCTTCTCATAAGCGTTATATTCCCAGAAGATATCCGAAAGAAACACTACAAGAAAATGAGGTCATTTTCCCAATAACATTTGTTTCTATCTATCATTTAGCTACTGAGATTAGTTCCTGTTAAATTACTTTCTTTTTTTTTTTTTTTTTTTTTTTTTTTTTTGTAGATTCGAAGGTAAAGTTGCCATAGAAGAGCATAAGTGTTTAGCGGTCGGCTGTTACATACTCCTGACACTTGGAGATTACGATATAGCTTACAGAGTAGCCAAACTCCAATTAAAAATCCTCCTGAAATGTGGACACACCTTCACTGAAGTACATTTGAAATTTATTTTGATTTCTGTGTAATTATTGTGAAGTCAAATTATTTTCCTTTCCTATCAATTTATTTTAATTACCTATGAATGGAAAACCAAAATCAGTTTGTTTTGATTCCATTTCAATTGTAAATTTCAAACCAGATTCATAATACCTAGTATAGAAAAATTAAGAGTAGTAGTAAATAAGGTAAATAATATCAAAACGATCGTTTGAAAATGTTCTTTTCCAGCTATGCAAAGTAATTATGTTGCATGATTTAGTTTAAGATTAAACAAAATATATGTAAGTCTCTAATAAATCAGACTGGATCAAATGTAAAAGTAATAAACAGAGGAGCGTTATTCCACACAACGTTCATTGACGAACACCAAACACGAACTGATACATATACATAATTATGACATCACAGTTTCCTTTTACAAACAAACACTACCGCCATCTATTGGGCAATCTAAGGATACATAATCCTAAACTTAACAAAGATCTCATGCCGATCCTTTTAAAAGAATAAAAAACTCGTGTATAGACAGTAGCAGGAACAGCATGCAATTCGACTTACTGAATTTTTTGACTTAATGGAGTTCGAATATTCGAAGTTCTATTGTAATTTAAAGTGCTACTCATACCTCTCATGCCGTTTTCTTTAAATATTCCGTAGATGTATCATCGTTTTTCAGCAAGCAATAAAATCCTCGATTTTAGAAGAAAAGTAAGAACCACAAAAACTGCTTGCTGTTGATCGATGTCAAATAAGATTCGTTATTTACGTTTGCAATTATATAAATGCGTTGCTCTTCAAAATACAAAAATGAATCGGTTAAAATTTTACTTTACCTATATTCTTTCAAAACATTTTGCAACCAGTATTATCTTATATAATGAAGCTCATAACAAAATGCATATCTAATACCGCATAATGCGCGTCTATTGTAAATTTCTCTTTTTCTGTACATTTTACTATAATGTTAATATACAGACTGAAATCCTCGCTATCTATTTCTTTATATATATATATATATACACATTAATTTACCATTTACCATTACATACATATACACATTAATTTACCATTTACCGCTTTTTTGTACTTTTGCTTAAGTCTTATATCACACTTTTATTCTATTGTTTCAAGTTTGCCTTACTTTGATCAACATATTACTTACAATTAAATCTGAATTTTATTTGTAAATATTCTAGTAATAATATTATTTATTTAGTGTTTACACTTTTCCTTACACTTTATTTTACTTATGTTAACATTTTTTCACCGAAACAACAGTATCAAAGCAACTTTTTAGAGGAAGCACTAAGAATATTCTTTTTACCTTGTTTTCTAATTTTTGCAACTTAATGAGCAAAGGTTCTTGACCACAAAGGTCTTTTTTAGTTTGTTCTCCGTTCTTTAATTATATATATATATATATGTGTGTGTGTGTGTGTGTGTGTGATATTTTAATGCGTAGTCGTCATGGCTGAGGGTGAAGGCATACAGAAGAAACTAATAACAAAACTGAATTTTAAGAATCACCATCTTTATTTTTACACGTATCAAATTACTTCTTTATGGCAGACAAATTACTTTTCAATCATAGTTGAATACAATAACTTTTATGTACACGGAGAGCAAAGGGGATACAATCAAGTGTAGCAGTACAGCGGTTTTGCATGGCAGGAGAAATTAAGAACATGTAGTGACGTAATTGCTCGCGACGCAGCACTTATACAACGCAGGTGCATATGTTCAGCTAAGCTGCTATTGGTTAATTTTAGGTTTTAGTTTCCTTTTGCAAGCAGTGTTATGTAACGTGGAAAGATCTCGAATTTGGAAGTACAGATGAACTTAGAGGGAGACCATAATATTTAGAACAGTCAATTTTGAGGTCGCCAATAATTTCTTAGCGTAGCCATCATATTTTATTATATCTTACATGTATACAGGGTTATCCAAATTAAACTTCCCCAACCCAGAGGCCTGTGCGGAGTGTTGTATGAGTCATAATGTGATGAAATTTTAAAAACAGACACTTCAGATCATGCGAAGTTGGCCGATAGGTGGCGCTGTAACACTAGTAATGTGCATATTTCAGCAACGTGATTTGCAGAAATAAAGCTTCTGCGCAACGTATCCAAAAGACGAGCCCCTACAAAAGTGGAAGACAGGCCTTGCACAGGCAGTTGTTTCCAGCTCGCTGATGCACAATGGCGACTTTGAAAGACAAAGCTCTGTTAGTGAAACCTTTCTACCAGAATAACGAGAACTCCTATGATAAGAGCATTCCGTCGGCTGAAGATCTTACGCCGAGGACCAATGACACCACGCGCTCTACGAGACATGATGAAGAAGTTCGAAAGAACGGGACAGCTGGGAATTTTACCAGGTAGAGGACGACAGGTTGTGGAATCTGCACGCGTAGAAGACGTTGCTTTGGCGGTCGTGGACCCCATTAGCCAATCACCACATGGTGTTGTCAGTGTGCCAACTGTTTCTCGTGCTGTTGATATGCCCTATACGACCGTCTGGCGTGTGATGCGTAGAATCCTCGGTTATTTTCCTTACAAAATCCATAGTCGTCATCAGCTGTCCGACGGGGATCCTGTAGTTCGGGAAACATTTGCGTTGCAGTTCCTTGCCAGAATGGAAGTCGATGCTGCTTGGCGGTGGAACATCCTTTGGACGGATGAGGCCCATTTTCACCTGAATGGTCAAGTGAATACGCACAACTGTCGTATTCGGGCAAGTGAAAACCCGCGCGCAATCCATCAAGTGCCCTTGAACCCTCCAAAGGTTACTGTATGGTGCGGTTTCACTACAACATTCGTCATTGGGCCTTATTTTTTTGAAGAGGTGACTCCAACAGAGTTCAAAACCTGCTCTGTCACAGGAAAACGGTATCAGGACATGTTGACAACGTTTGTGATCCCTGAATTGCAACAACGTGGCCGTCTCCAGGACACGATATTTATGCAGGATGGTGCCCCTCCCCATATTCTTCGTGGCGTTTAACAGGTGTTACGGGCAACTTTTACCGATGCACGTGTTATCAGCCGCTGTTTCCCTAGAGCTTGGCCTCCCCGCTCGCCTGATCTCACGCCATGCGACTTTTGGTTTTGGGGATTCTTAAAGGATCGGGTCTACCGAGAACATCCAGCAACCTTGGCACATCTGAAAGACGCAATTATTCGACATGTTCGTGGAATTAATATGGACTTACTGCGTTCCGTTGTGGAACACACTGCTTTGCGAATAGGAAGAGTTGTGGAGAACCACAGCACACATATAGAACATCTGTAGAATGTCTTGTTGATCTGCAGCGCCATCTATCGACAACTTCTTGTACTATTTGTTTTTGTTTAATAAATCTTGAGCGCATGATCTGAAGTGTCTGTTTTTAAAATTTCATCACATTATGACCCATACAACACTCTGCACAGGCCTCTGGGGAAGTTTAACTTGGATAACCCTGTATAAGTGTGATTCTGAACTCTCTGCCAAGTATGTAAAGCGGACGGGGAGAAAAAATGAATTTGTAAAGGAATGTTTATTTAGAAGTGAGGCGTGCTTTTGAGATCGGTGGTGAAAGCAGTTTGTCATTCTTGTCCATCATTAAATCATTTCCAGTGCAAATGTCGAGCAGTACGCATCACTACTCGAAAACGAAACTTGCCGAGATGCATGTATGTGACTACAGACGAAAACAGAGCAGCTGCCAAAAAGGTATACGGAGAACACATCCTCAGTAGACAAATGGTGAATCTTCGAACTTGAGAGCACAGATTATACAAAGTGTAGCAGACTAATGGTCGCAATTTTAAGGAATGATAAAACATGGCAAAAATAATAATTCTTACAGTATAATCTGTGGTGGAATGTGAAATGTGAATGCGGAAACACAGTAAATACGAAGAACATGGCGAACGAAAAATCACGTTTTAATAATGGATATTCAAAAGAATTGTTCAAATAAACGACCACCAGAGTGCATCACAATTATGAAAAACAGACAGTTTCTTGCGCCTGTTTGCGACAGTATCATTCAGTATCTCATATAAGAAATCTGTCTTCGTTTTGATGCTTGTATCACATTTTCGGTAGTCATCTCGATACTGATGTAAATATTAAATATCATTTCCTCTAAACATATGTGAAAGTAACAACTTGTCGTTTTCCATGTTCTTCTCGCTTACTGTATTCTAGGTTCACATTCCACTCCACTTACGGAAATTATAATTGTCAAGTTCTGTCGTCTTTACAATTGCAATCAAACATATGTTTACATCCTGTATAACTTTTTCTTTAAGTTTGTTCAAATGGCAGTACAGTAGAATATTAACCGACAGCAACAGACAAAGTCGCTTCCAGATAATAATTTTTTCTGGATTATTCAATATATGTATATTTCTAGAGCTTACTTATATAGTTTTGTAATACCACCTATTAAAATTCATGCATACGATAACCGTTGGTCGTGCTTTTGGGTTTCTCAGCCCGAATTAAATAAATAAAATTTACAGATTATTTAAAATTAAAACACATACGCATGATTTTATATTTCGGAAGAACAAAATTTTAAAAACATTTTAGAATTATCATACATAATATTACACGAAAGCTACAAATTTTTTAGTGTGGTGGCGTATAACTTCGAATGTCTGCTTGCTTACAGTTGTAAAATTTCGCTCTGCACAAAATGAAGCTTCATAATGTCATGTACTTACATAAATAAACATTTCTCAGCAAATCTTATGAAAGAATTCTTCATCATCTTCTTTCTACGTAATTTTCTCGCTCTGATATTAGTCTTCATCTTTCCCTCCTCCTCATTGGCTTTCTCTTATCCCGTACATGTCCGATTCTCTTGTCATCACATTAAAAGACTGTGATTAGAGCAGAATTGTCTACATCCACGCAAGCCTGCATCTCTTCTTCACTAATACGAGCCTTTTCCGAAAATGTAATTAAATCCAAGATGTCGACCATAGTTACTGGATGTGTTTTAAAATCAAGAGAATTTTTGTCACTCGATTTGTCATCCACAAAGATCACAGGTGACAATTTACGCCAACAGAGACATAAAATAATATTCCTCACATCTTTCCAAGCAAGCGTCAAAATAAATATCACGTCTTCGAAAATCAAGGGGCCCACCAGCGGCCGAGCGGTAAAGTCGCTGAACACTGGTAGTTCGGTTTCAGGTTCGAATCCCGCGAACGGGCTGGCTGCATGGAGGTTTTCGTGGTTTTCCCCATGTGTAACGTGTATACGAGCCAGTTTCCCTTAGAAAGTCCTCCACGAAGGCATCCCTTCCCTTAGGCAGATAGCCCTCGAGGCTTTGCCATAATCACACACACCACATCGAAAATCAAGGACACTACCTTTACATCGATGTTTAAAAAGGTGTTGATAATTCATGTTTATATTCTGGATAATTTCTTCGTTCATTGAAAAAGACCTACTTAAAGGCTTATTTAATACAAATATCTCCCACATTTAAGTCTTCAGATTAATTACTCATTATATTTTTTACCTTATTACACCACATTTCGGATTTAAATGTAGACCTTCAAAAGAGTCGTTATTTTTATATCACTAGTTAACTGGATGCCAGTTCATAGGAATTTGTTTTATAGCATGTGCTTTTAATGCTTCGACGTCTTTTTGTTTATACCGCTTCGTGTAAAAACAAACTGCACAAACAATTGCCAGAGCTTTTAAAATTGAAATTCTTTTTAAATTTTTATGACATATAACAATAAAGATTTAGTTTTATGAGCTGATATTCTTTATTAAGAAGGAAAGAGCACAAATATTTGACATATTTTTTAAATTTCTAATACACTTTTATAATTGTTTTAGTTCGTTGCATGAAGCAAAGGAAGTATTGCAATCGCGAACACTTTCGGGTTTCATATTTCAATGGAAACACCTATTTTGATTATTTCTTTTTCATCGCATATATATATATATATATATATATATATGGTATATATATATATGTGCGATGAATTATTGGAATAAATTTGAGTCAGTATTTTAAGTATGAGTTATTTAGATTTTCTACTAAGCTGTATAAAAATATTAGTATTTTAAAAATCTAAATAGTAAAATTAAAAAGCAAAATTTAAAATATTAAAAAGGTAGCCGTTGTTACCGACCTTAAATTAATTGACTTGTCAAGGGACACAAACCAATTCACTATCAGTTAATATACATATATATTATATCCCCCCTTATTCAGCTTAAAATTCTTTACCCGCCCCTTTATTTTTGCAATCGCTCGTAGTCATAAACTTTAAGTTCGTTTTGACAATGTGAAATTAAAAAAAAAAAAAAAAATATTTTGGACAAGTAACGAAATTTTTCATTAAGGTATCCCAGTTCCTATCCTAATAGTTGGGAAAATTTTATATTTGTAATGAAAAAAAAAAAAAGAAAATTATAAGAAATTTTATTCCCGTGCGACAAAACTTAGCCGCAATACCGAAATATTTACTTTCAAACTTTTCAATATATCATGTCATTTTCTACTCACCTTTAGAGATCGAATAATTAAGTTACAATATTCAAGGAAATAAGTTTAAATGAAGAGCAGCAAAAAATATCTATAATTTTAAGGCGGTACAAAGAAGACATATATTGTCAGCATCAAATTTCATTTTAATTTTCAGTGATGAATTCTAGTTTGAGGTATTACACTATACTGTGAAATCTTCTGATTAGATTAGAGATTAGGCAAGAGGATTAATCTCTTTATTAACCCGTAACCAAGAGATTTCTATTTTTGTTTTGTTTAATTGAAAATCTGCAGAATCGGAGATATATCAAGAGCATATGCATTGAGAGTTTCTCTTCAGAGCGTTCTTTCAAGTGGAACTGAAAACCATCACATATACTCATTTGCTCGAAAAAGAAAGCGAACAATAACGACCGAACCTTGAAAACTAACACTAACCAAGAACTAAAACCTTAACCATAATAATAATGATGATAATAATAATGATAATAAAATAACAATCCAATAATCATTATCTATTAATTTCTTTGTGGCATTCTTAAGTGGCTGAAAGAGGATAATAATCTAGAACAGGGTTTAAACTTTTTTCAGTCGCGATCCCTTTTTATCACTGAGATTTTTTCGCGACTCCCAGGACCCCATAATATTTACAAACATTTTGTGGGGCCTCATAAGTATTTTGCAAATCAGACACACTCGTGAGTGAAACCGTAAATTTTTCACTTGTACTGTAATATATTATTGCAGATTTTGGTAATTAACTTTAATTTCTAATTTTAAGACATAGAACAATAATAAAATAACAGTCCAATAATCATTATCTATTAATTTCTTTGTGGCATTTTTAAGTGGCTGAAAGAGGATAATAATCTAGAACAGGGTTTAAACTTTTTTCAGTCGCGATCCCTTTTTATCACTGAGATTTTTTCGCGACCCCCAGAACCCCATGATATTTACAAACATTTTGTGAGACCCCATAAGTATTTCGCAAATCCGACACACTCGTGAGTGAAACCGTAAATTTTTCACTTGTACTGTAATATATTATTGCAGATTTAGGTAATTAACTTTAATTTCTAATTTTAAGACATAGAACAATTTGAAAATTTTAAATAAGTAACAAACGAAATGACAGCGTCACGTGGAAATCAAGGAAAATGAACATTTATACTATAAAAAGAATGCGTTGAAACGTTTTCGTATCTTTTCTTTGTCTGTATTGTCTTATCTTTATCTATTTTCAGATACACTGTGATAAAATATTTGGTGATTGTAACATTAATACAATATGTTAAAGAAATATCAAAACTGCTAAAATTTTTGGCGACCCCCTGCTGCAGGTAACAAGACCCTCTTGGGGATCGCGACCCACAGTTTAAGAAACCCTGATCTAGAAGACGGCAGAAGTGGAGGAATAAAAAGAAAGATTGCAAATATTATTCATAGTTTACATTAACAAAAGTCGTTCTTATATTGTCATTTATTTTCTATTGCCATGCAAATTTTATATCCCTTATTGATATCCCTATATACATAAAATCTTAACATTTACGAGATACATAAATATTTCTCCTTAAATTTTATCTCATATTTATTTAGTTGGTCAAATCCAACACTCTACTTCTTCGTGCTGTTTCGAAAACTAAGCCAGGAAAGAAGAGAGAGACTGAAATTAGAAAATGGATTAACGAAACACGTCAACTGTAAGTTCGCTGTCAAAAATCAAATAATCTAATTACTATATATTTCTGCTTTACAGAAGCACGAAAATTTTCATTAAATGTATACCATCTTCCATTAACTAAAGAGTGATTGGAAAGTTCATTTTAATTCTAAAAATAGAGTGATCTTCACAAACATTGATCACGTAGCCTATAAAGGAATTTTGTGTCCAGTATGTCGAATGAAAATTGGTTTACGTTGCATCACTTTTATATTCACAAAGTAACATGGAAACGAGTATTTTGGAACACATCTTATTTAGGGTTCTAAAACTTTAAAAAAAGTCCGAAATAACTTACGATGAAGGGGTTTATTTCCATGCGACCTTGTTTGTCTAGTAGCGCAATTTCTTTTAGGGGAGTTTAAAACCAATGCTGTTGGATAAAATTCCTTAAACCTACTAATGACGATGTTTAATGATAGGGGGGATAATACCAGTAAATGTCGATGTCCGTTACTGCTCTTCTCGCGTGTTCTCTCGACATAAAGCCTTTCGATCGAGCTAAACGTGCACTTAAACAGAGTTCAAGTATTGACACATCCATGTCCTTCACGACAAGCGTTATCGCTGTATGCCATTTTTAGTGATTATATCTAGCGATTTATATTATACAAGCGATATAGGTAGAGTGGGTAGCGCTGTGGTAATTTATTTACATGGAGTGAAGATAAACAATATGAGAATAAAACTTAAACCAATGAATTCGGTTTATCAGGCAGAACTATGCGCAATTGACAGATGCTTTGAACTGGATTAGGAAAAAATTAACATTTCGATGTTTTATAAATATTTATACTGATGGTTATACTCTGGTTGGACGAGTGCGCTTCAGACACTCGTCCAACCAGATCACAAAAATCGACTGATTAATGAAATAAAAGACTTATTTAAAAAGGCTGAAATAAAAAATATTGTTAAATTACACTGGGTAAAAGCACACAGTGGAATTGTTGGAAATGAAAGAGCGGACACTCTTGCTAGAACGGCGGCACTTGGGGATGGGATCGATAATTTTGATATCCAAGATTCAAGAAAAAAGATCATTGCTGAAATGGAAAACTGGATTTATACAGAATGGAATTTTTGCTGGGAGTCGTCTAATAAGAAAAAAGAGTTAATGAAAAATATAAAGTTAAATAAGAAGATGAATATTATAAATAATGTTGATATAAATCAGGTACTGACTAATCATTGGCGTTTCCCTGCTTATTTTAATCGGTTCCATCTACAGAATAATGATAAATGCTTAATTTGTGATAAGTTTGGGGACGCCAGGCACTTCATCGATGAATGTACGCTTACGCGGAGTGCAAAAGAGAAATACAAAAAGAGTTTTAAGGAAGATTTTAAAAGGAACTATTCAAATTTAAAAGATTTTGCAGAGACAATAATGAAGATCATAAATACAACAAAGGTAAAATTGGAATTCGGCACTGAGATTCAGATTTTGGACTTTATATGTTTTTTTCTTATATGTGTTTTTTTCTGGTCAGTCCCATTTTTTGAACATACGGCCGGCTTGTGGCGGGTAGGAGGATCGGGGCTATGGGCTTATATTAATAACATGAACACTGCACTATATTTAGGACACCTTACAAAACTCATTTCTACACTTAATGCACTGTGTGTATTGGCTACATATTACATTGAACATTACGCTTGATTAAATAATATAAGCAGTGGGGGGAAGTAAGATGCAGTTAACCAATTAAATGCAAGTCTTTTTTTCCCTCAGATCTTGAAATCAGCATGGGTTCCTTATTAAGAAGATTTATTTAAGCAGGGCCTAGAATTAGGTCTTCTGACCGATATTTTTGATTAATTTTAATACAGAGCACGACGTTTCAAAAGACTTAACTACGATTCTGTCTCACGACAGCTACCTTAAACATTGTATCGGGTTTTATTGAAAGGATTCATGAGATGGTGATCTCTATCTCAAGTGCTAGTAATTTATGTATTTCTCACCTCTCGTCATAGAAGAAATCGGCTGAATTGAAAACACGATCGTGAAATGCACTGAAGACAAGGAAAATTTACCTTCTTCACCCATAGATCTAAATATCGGCTGAGCATCAGGCATTATTGGGTATGAGATATTCAGTCAACCGCTATCATCAATGAATGAATATCATAGATGATCACTTAAAGAGCTTATAATGCTTATATTATAGATGATCACTTAAAGAGCTTATAATTCAACGTGGACTGCAGGTAAAATATCGATTACAAAGCATCATTATACATTATTCGATATGGGCAAGTTCTGAAGAGAATTTTCGTAAACTGTTCAGCGCCTCATAAACGACGGAAATATTCAATTATGGACAAACGCAATACCACTCTTAATATAAGCACCAAATATACCTCTGTAATTATGTGAAATTTTCCACCATTATGGCTTGCCCCAGCACGTCTTGTCCGCAGGTTGCGCCGTGGTTCAAAAGCACATCTGCACAAGGTTATATGTGTACGTAGGATTACTCTCTTTTCGGTGAATTAAGATAAAATCACCCACTAAGCATGAAAGAGAAACATAAGCTTTATCTTATGCAGAGAATGCTACATAGCAGCTTCCCATTTGTGCCCATATACCTCTTCAAGTGTCATTTAGATATCTTTCAGAGTACGTACTTTAATAAATTATTGAAAATGGCAGAACTCTTTTAATAATTTTGAACTTTTCTGTCACTTTAAAGCTCAAAAAATAATTCCTATCTTATCCAAAGTTTATCAAAATGTTTCATTCAATTTTTTGCTTAGCTTCTTAGCTTCTGATTACTCCATTTATTTATGGAAACCAGTATACTTTCTTTTCATTGTAACCACCCTTTAAGACTGTTGTGGATATAATAGTCCACTCAGTATTTTTATGTTAATAGTACTATTTCACGATTTTAACGTGATATGTAAAACATGCATAACTCACCTCCAAGTCTGTAAAACTAATAGACGGATTCTATAATCTATGCATGTATAAATAAGAACGCAGTTATTTCAATTGTATAATAAATTAAAGGGAGCACATAAGCTTAATAGCTATTGGCTATTTTATTGCACCAAATCTTTTTTTGTTCTGTACGTTTTCCTATGCAAATTTAAAATAAACAATTATGTTCTGTCAAATGTCACCTCAGAGTAATTTATCTTTTTAAAGCAGAGTGCTGTTTCTCTTCAAAAAAGTGAGCTATTTAGTTTGATAAGCAAATAGTTGTATCGCTTGAAACTTATTTTGTGTGAGCAAAGGTAAATGGTAAAGACAGGTATGCTGTGATTCCCTTCGATGGAACCAATTATCCTACTTGAGAAGGCGTGTTGAAGCACTGTTCGCAGGCAAAAAACTGGACCTGTTTTTAGGAGAAAAGTCATCAAAGCAAATGTGGGAAAAGCTTCGTAATGTTTACGTGTCGAAAGGAGCAGTGAATCAGATACTTACTAGGAAATGCCTGATAAGTATTAAGGAAATTAGTGAAGTCCTTGATGAAGCAACATCTTGATGAAATGATGAAATTAGTGCAGAATTAGTGACTATCTGGTGCAGAAATAAATGATATAAATAAAAGTTTATATTTTGATGTCTCTTCTATCAAAATATGAAAGCTGCTTTAGAAAATCAACATTACACAACTAATAATCCTTTACAGTGATTCCAAAGGATACTAAGCGTTCAGCGAAGGATAATGTTGCGTTTTCTACAGATCAGAAGGAATCTGTTTGCTTTCACTATAAAAAGAAAGGGCATATAGCAAAAGAGTATAAGAAGAAGATTCTGTGTTTTCAGTGTGGAAAAAGTGGACTTATGAAACATTTTTATGAATCGAAGTTGACCGCTAAACGGGAAGAATCACAAACTTCACCAGCGATTTCCACCAAAAGAGAGTGATACTAATTTGTCGCATCGTAGACTTAATCACTGTTCCAGTCTTATACTCAAGAAACTGGAACTTAGAAGTTCAGAATCATTCTGAAGTGTGTAGTTACGCCAAACAAACTGCTACGCCGATGGGAAAAGAGCAAAGGCGCAGAGAAACAAATACACTGGTTACAATATATACAAATGTAATGCGCTGCAATTACGCCAACTACATAAGCAGATAAATTTAGTAACTGTTGACTGTTTTATTGCACCATAGGTTTTCTTACTGTTTTGCATCTTTTCCTATGCATATTTAAAATGAACCGTTATTTTCGGTCCAACCGAAACTCAGAGTTATTTATCTCTTCACAAATACATTTCGAGATTCTATAATACTTAGGAAAATTAGGTCTTGCATAACAAAATCTGTTAAAAATACCATTTTTTATTTCAGATGCTTCAATCGGTTGACAGAATATCCGCTTTTAGACATACCTGAGCTACGAGCCATTGCATCAGCTTTCAAAATTATTGTTCGCATATTATTTGAAAATAAAGAGCTCTCAGTTGCAGAAGACCTTGGTAAAATTTTTAATGTTCATTTTAAGATTCAGGAAAATTAAGATCTTTCTGATCGTCCTTCTGGAGTGACAGAAGTTATAACTGTATTTTATAACTTGAATTAAACAAAAACAAAAAAATACTTAACTTTGGTAAAAAAAAAAAAAAAAAAAAATTAGCTCTCGGTTAAGAAAATGGTTTTGAATCAAGATAACATTTTGGCAATTCATCTACTTGTTTCGCCAAGCAGAAACACATTGAATTCACGAAAATGTTAACAAAAAACAAAATGCAAACAATGTCCTTTGCAAGAATTTGATTTTTACTGTTGCATTTTTTGCTAGAATATTTTCGATTTTCTATGTTAAAAAATATGCAGTTTGTTTTTATAGAAACAAAATACATTCCTACAGTTTTAAATTCCAGAAAAATAAAAAATTCATCAGCCCTTATCTATCCGCTTCCAAAATATCTTCAAAGTAATTTTCAGATATTTAAATAAATAACAATAAAGATTAAAAATCTCTCTACGTAAAGTGGTTGATATTTATTTTGGCGAATGTTTCTCAAATTTTTCATAACTTTCTTTAAGTTTTAAAATCTTTCAAACTAATTCATTTCTCAAATTATTTTTTTGTTCTGGGGGTGACAAAAATATACCCGTAAATGATAACGTTTAAGAAGTCCTTAAAAGGAAAAAAATATTATATATTGTTATAGACGACCATATACAACCTACTATTTAAGCTCTCTTAAAACATTTAGAATAAAACTTCTATATAACATAATGTCAAACTGATAAGCAAAGTTAAAATTATTTCCCACATGATAGTCGCCAATCTCAGGTTACCAAATGCACCTCTTGATAAGATCGTTCTTACTACAGAAAATAACAAGTTCGACGCAACCTGGTGTACGTTACATTAAATTAGGTATAAATGCAAGGGCCACCAATCATTTACTCTGAGGATACGTAAGTAAATGTCCATTAAGCCATCTATCCAGCTTAACATCGCATTCCTGGGGCCCACGGTCTACTGTTGTTTGCTGCAACACACATCGCAAGCTCTGCCACCACTAGTTGGTGTCACCATTTGTCCCGTGTTGTGTTCGAACTTCGGCAAATAAGGCATTTACTCCGCTGACTAGGTTATACATTAAACACTGTATTCCCACAATGGTTATAACAGGAACTCATTACACTATTGCTTAATTAATATGCTAGCTTTCTTGGACTGCATTTAACTACGTATGAAATGATTGTATCTTCATCACACCTGGCCATTCGTTGCTTAAGCCCTTGCATTACTTGTTTAGCACATAAGTTTAGCCCCTTGTACTACTTGTAAATACTCTATGTTCCGCTTCATGTTGTTACCGGTGCTTATTGCTTTTCTGTGAAGTTTTGTACGCGCAAATATCGTACTCGCGTTTAATTGCTTTGTTTCGCTATCCCTGAAACACCTTTTTTTGGCGGCTAATTTGCGCTGCATAGCTCTTGATTTCTAGCAGCCAGAAAATCAATAACCTTATTAAATTTATCCCTTAAGTGTTTATTTTTGAGTGCATATCTAAGGAATGGGAATAAGTCCCCTTCTGAATTTGACTTCTTTAGATGAAGTGACTTAACTGGCAGGAAAAAAGATAATATTATGGGTGACTTCTTTCTCCACATGCATAGGAATGTGCTGAAGAGAGATTCCTTGCATAGAACAACTTGATGCAATAAAATTTATAGAAGATTTAGGAATTTTTGCGATTTTCTATTACGACATTCTGCTGCATATTTCACAATTTGCCCTTTAGTAGCCAATGGAATATATGATAGAAAGCCAACTGTGAATTTGGGAGTAAATATCATTGTTGTGAGTATCTACGCCCAGATTTTAAAATTCATTTGGGATAACTTTAAGAATTGATATAGGCATTTTTCATTAATTTGAAATAGATTTAAGATATTTATCATATGTTTTTGTAGGCAGGAGGAGTTTTCAGTTACTAAAGCTCGTCAAATTTCAAGAGGAATTGGTCAACATCCTGAATCTTCTTGCTCGCATATACTTCTACCAGAAAAAGTACGTAATGGTTATCTTTAAAAAAAAATATTTTAATGCACATTAAAAGAAAGATTTATAATTATCATATGTAATTATTAAAAGAATTTACGAAGCTGTGGGAATTATAAATTCTTTATTTTCATGTATATTACGTTTACTTTCACTATGTGATCTACACAGTAGAAATGAAATAGCATCCAGTTGAGTGATACTGAGTGTGCGAAATGCTTTACACAAGTTTTGCTATTTTCTACAGCGTTCTGCCACATGAATTTCATTTGGGCCTTTAGTATTCGATAAAGTGATGGGCGCGTTTGCGAAAATGACATTCGCTGAATTTTCACTTCCTTTGACACTTTTGCTATGATCATGCGTTTTATTCCTTCTTCTAATAATTACTATTCAGCATACACTATCAGTTCAATGTTCTTCTAACCTTCTTCGGAAACATACAATGACCTGACTAGAACAGAGAGCTTACTAAAGCTATGTTCACTAATTGTAGTAAGTAGACAGGATACAGACGAAGGGTATACAAAACCCTTTATTTTTTTCTTTATATACAATGACTTCCGTACTTCGGAATACAATGACCCTCCACTCGGGGTCTAACTTAAAAGATATCAAAATAAAACTAAACTCTAATTTAACTTTAGAATAAGATTGGCCTTATAATAACAGGAAAGCGTATGTAGCACAGAGACTGTGAACACTACAATACGTTTAATTTATCAAGAGGATTAAAACCTCTGGCCTGGAAGGCAAAGTAGCAACTGCGTAACTTCTAAGGTAAGCGGCCTGCTTCGAACTCACGGCTTCCTCTCTTCTGCTTGGCAAAAAGGCCCACACTTAAATACTTGGCGTTCGCCAGACAACTTTGCATAAACTCCTTCACGCTTATAATTCTGGCCGGAAGTAGAAAATAAGAAGTGATAGTAAAGATTTAAAATAAAATAAACGTTAGTAAAACTTAAGATCCTTACATACTTCCCGCCAGAGTTAATTAGTTTGAAACTGAGGTCTAAAACGACCTTGTTGAAAACTTTTAGCTCTAGAAACTAACGCGAGGCCAACCTTTTACAATCATAACTTAGCTAGAAACTAGAAAATTTTAAAAGAAAGAAATTTGTTACAATAGCAGCTCCCGGAATATACAACAATCTTTTTTCTTTTTCATCTGTACTGCATCAAAACAGGAGCTTTTATTCAATTCTGGTTCCTTCCAGAGATCTGGAAGGAAAACTAGTTTAATGAAATGTTACAGAATGACATTGCAAATAACATATAGAATATACTTTTCTTAACATTCTTATTTCATTCATGACTATTTTAATTATCTCTCCCCGTGCTCTCTGACATGTGTTGTAAAAAAAAACACCAAACACGAATGTGTTTCTGTCTATGTGTTCAACACTTCCTCCTACAATCAAAACACTAACGTGTTAAAATTCAACATAACGAGACCTCTTAAACACACCCTAATTTCAACTCTAAACCCTGAGGTACTATTCTGAAAGTGGCTAACTCTAAAGTGTAGCGTCAGAGAGCCTAACTACATCATTCAACCTTTAACACATATTCACCATGATTTAATCTTTACAGTCACACGAATAAAAAATTTTTTAACATTACTTTCACTTTTACCATATCACGGTATTTCTCTAAACATTTCAAAATAACAGTTCACATTGTATATAAGAACATATCAACATGCCGTTAATTTTACACATTTGAAAACATACATTAGTAGTACATTGTTAACTTCTATTCTTTTCAAAGCAAGTGCCAATTCTTTCTACATTGAAATAATACTACATTTCAAAAAGTCTTTCAGACTAAAACTTCTTTCTTGTTAGAATGTTTTAAATAAAATTTATACAATAACTTTTTACAATATTTAAGTCTTTATACAACGCTATTATACATCAACTTTAGTTTTACGCGCGCGAGTAATTGAAAAACATAATAAGAAAATCGGTCACAACTCATTTCTCGCCATTTTGGCGATAACGGTAGACCTCGCATGAGGTAAAACTTCTTGAAATCTGCCACTTGCAGTAAGAATGAAAGATTAACTTAAGTTTGCAAAGTAACATAAAATTTTACTTATCTTTGTAATATTCAGACATCCTTTTCTGGGCCCAGTCTTTAAAGGTGCTGCAGACCGTAGCTTGGTTGATCCTCCTTCTTGTACGGGCTCGCCCTTCAGTGCTTTCCTCTGGAAGCTTCCTTTTTTCACCACTACGGCCACCCTTGAAAACATCTTCCTTCTGTCCTCTGCTTGTGGTCTTGGCCGTTTGAAGGCAGCTGGTCTTGGTGGAACCGGGAAACTTCTGTCGTGATCCTGCTTGGACCTCGTTGTTGGCCGTTCAAATTTTTTCTTGTACTTTTTCCTCCGCCGCTGATGGCCCTTCCGCAGTTCGGCGACTTTTGCTGCGGAGAGTTCTGTCGGATGAGTCAGATCTTCCGTTTTCACAGCCGGGTTATAGTTGCCGTCCTCCTTTCTCCTGGTCTTTTTCCACATACGTCGTCTTCCTTCTCCCTTCTTCATTCTGGGGGTGTTCGTGAACTCTGTTTTTTTGGACGGTGGAACGGCTTCTTTTTCTTTGTTACCTTCAATTTTTCCGCGGGGCAATTTTCTTTTCACTTGCTTCTGTCTCTCATTGGCTTGCCCTTGTACTTGTCGTTTTCCCACCTCTGGAACTTGTACCTGCGGTGTCTGCCGTGCCGGATCCTGCAAAAGATCTGAAAAGATTTGCATTTTATTACGATCATAGAATGGTTTTATCTGGATCAATGTTTGCGGAACAGGTTTCACCATTTCTGGCCTTTAACACTACAACAGCGTGAGTTATTTTTTCTATAACATATGGTCCTTCAAATCGTGGAAAAAATTTGGCAGTTTTATCTTCTGGTGCTGAAGAAAGTGAATGCTTAATTTTTAAGTACTTCATCCCCTACTTTATAAGTTACTACTCCCCGTCGTTTCAAGTCATAATACAATTTTTGTTTTCTTTGTGCTACTTCCGTATTCTTTTTTGCTTCTTTTATTAGTTTTTCTATATCACCCATTTTAAATTCTGGGGCTCTTTGTTGCACATAAAATAATTTATCTAACGGTGTTATAATCTTTCTGCCTAGAAATAACTCAGCAGGAGTTTTGCCCGTTGTATCATGTTTTGCGGTCCTAAGGGCGAAAGCAAATTCATTGACATAGTTATCCCAGCTTTTATGAAAATTTTTAACATAACTACGGATAATTTTCACTATATTTCTGTTGACCCGTTCCGCTATATTTGATTGCGGCCGATACGGGACCATTTTTAAATGACGTATGCCCAGTTTTTGGCACATGTCTTCAAATATATTACTTACAAATTGAGGACCATTATCCGATATAACTTTTAGGGGCGCCCCGTATTTTAAAATATATTTATTTAAAATAGAATCAGTAACTAATTTCGCGGAGGCTCGTTTTAAGGGAACAATTTCGGTCCATTTACTAAAATGATCAACCATAACAAGGAGATAGCGACTTTTATTTAACTGACTTTTTGGGAAAGGGCCCAATAAATCGATGCCAATTATTTCATTTGGAAATTCGGATTTAATACTATTTAGAAACCCGGCCGGGCGGAAATTAATATAATTAACTGCTTGACATGTTGGGCAGGACTGGACATACGCCCTTGTTAACTTTTGCAGTTCAGGAAAGTAGACTGCCTCGCGTACGCGTTGGATAGTTTTTCGAATACCAGCATGAGAAGCTAAAGGGCTGTCATGGAGCTCCTTGCAGGATATTTAATCTAAGACTAGCTGGGATAACAGGTCGAAATTCGTTGTTGGAATTCGTAGTTTTTGTATAAAATAATAGACCATCTATTAGTTCGTAATGGGCCGCCCTATTTCTTATCGCCACAATATCTTGGTGGCTAAAATTTTCAGGATCCTTCAAATACTCATAAATACTTCCAAACTCAGGATCCTTACCCAGTTCGGTTATTACAGTTTCTCGGGAATTTATTGTACACGCTGTGAGCATTGCCAACTTTTACGGTATTACCCTGTTCGTCTAATTTAATTCGTGATAGGGCATCTGCTACGATATTTTCCTTTCCGGGGGTATGCTTGATTACCAGATTATATTCTTGCAGCTTGAGTGCCCATCTTATTAACCTTGGGGATAAATTTTTTCCCTGAGTACAATCTAGTTACCGCCGCATGATCAGAATATACTGTTATCGGCGCCTTTCCAAAATAGACTCGGAACTTTTGCACTGCTAACTAACAGAACTGCAAGTGCCTCTCTCTCGGTCGCGGAATAGTTTCTTTGTGTTTGATTTAAAGTTCGGCTAAAAAATGCCACGGGCTGCTGATTTTGCGAAAGTACCGCTCCTACCGCATAATCCGAAGCATCCGCTGAAATTTCTAAATTTTCATCCTTTTCAGGAAATTTCAACACAGGGGCTTGCGTTAATGCTTGTTTTAATTTTTCGAAAGCACTATTGGCTTCGGCCGTCCACGAGAATCTTGCCTTTTTCCTTTTTAATTTTAACAATGGCTCAGCGATAGCCGCAAAATCTTTTATAAAGGACCTATAATATGAACAAAGTCCTAGAAAAGAAGAGAGCTTCTTTGCCGTGTTTGGAGTCGGATACTTTTGTACAGCGATTATTTTTGATTCATCTGTCTCGATCCCTTTTTGCGATATTTTGTAACCTAAATATTTTAATTCAGGGGCTGCAAATTTGCACTTTTCGACATTAACTTTTAGACCGGCCTCATTTAATAAAGAAAACACCTGTCTTAAATCCTGTACATGTTGGTCTAGATTATCACTAGTAATAATGATATCGTCTAAATAGATAAATGTGGACTTTCCAAGAACAGGTCTTAACACAATGTCCATGCATCGCTGAAATGTTGCCTGGGGCGCCTGAAAGGCCAAACGGCATACGCAAAAATGCATAAGTGCCAGACTTGGTTATAAAAGCAGTCTTAGGCACGTCCTCAGGCCT